GGGCTATAATTCAGGAAGTTGCTATCCCATATACATGAATATCGAAAGGAACCAAGATCTTTGGGTTATAAACATGTATTTCAAGTTTCATCAAAATTGGATCAAAATTGTGTCCTCTAGAGGGTCCACAACCTTGATATACCATGTATTTACACTATTTGCGTACGAGGGGTGGTCGTTTAGTTTTGGGCCGATTTTAACGAAATTTGAACTCTACCATCATTATCGTGTAACGATGATATATTCAAACGTTTTTTGTTTTTTTTAAATCGGATAATATTTGTGACCTCTAGAGTGACCACAAGCTAAAAACGCGATTTTTCCTACTATCAACGACCATAATTAAGGACGTTACGATTCGATATGCGCAAATATCGAAAGGCACCAAGATCTTTGGGTTATAAACATGCAATTCAAGTTTCATCAAAATCAGATGAAAATGGTGACCTCTAGAGTGTTCACAGGCAAAAAAACCGTGATTTTTCGTACAATCAGGGGCCATAATCCATGAAGTTTCGATCCGATACATGCCAATATCGAAAGGAACCGAGATCATTTGGAGATAAACCTATATTTCGTCAAAATCGGATAAGAATTGTGACCTGTAGAGTGTGCACAAACAAAAGGGACGACGACTATATACGTCAACATGAAAATGTGGACATATAAAAAGTGTATCCTATTTGTAGCTACTGTCGCGCGTTGATTAGAGGTTATCCTAACTATAATAAATAAAATAAAAATATTAGGTAAAAATACAGATCTGGGAGCTAAAGTTGAAAAAATGTTATTCTAAACACTGTATCCAGTCACTATCATACAATTTTTATAGTATATATATATATATATTTAACACCTATCTGTATTTGTTTGCTAAAGATGGGGGAGGGGGGGGGCTTTTTATATAAAAATAAGTATGTCGATTTGTCCATCCTTGTGGACCTACAGGATATTATATTTAAAAATTGGCGTGAGACCAGGATGTACACTCGTAATCGTATGCCCAGTCACGTTTATATTCCGCGACACACAGTTTCTCTATCTACATTGCCTGACCTTTACAAATCAATTTAGGGGAGTCATTTGGACACGAAATAAATCGAGTATAGGATACACTAACATTCAAAAGGACAATAATTATAGTTATCGCAAACTGTTAGAATACTTTAAGGTTTGAAGTGGGCTGAATCCAACAAGACATTAGTTTGCTCAATCATCCCGTTAATTCTACATAGATGTAATATACAGATATAAATTGCTTCATAAAACCCATGGTTCCCATGGTTTCAGAATGCCCACGGTTAGTAACCCTTAGTCCGAATTTGTTTAGCAAATTCGGTGACCTCGTAGATACAGGATCCAGGCTTCTTTACGTCTTTTACACCGATAACGAGACAGCAGCGACTTCTATGGGCAACCAGTATACGGTCATCAGATTTTCCTACCAGGGTTTCTTTTCCATTGTGAATAAAATATGTGCATAAAAACAAATCCTCGCATATTTTAATTTTGGTGAAGCACTGAAATTGTGTATTGAGAATGTTCAGTATAATCCATAAATCACTGGACGGTATCTCCCAGTTTGGTGACTTGGCTAAAATATTGCCATCTTCTTGGAAAATTATGGCCGAATCCACCTTGCCTCGATTAATTAAGCACTTCAAAAGATTTTTCCAAATCATGTTTTGTCAACGATAGGTTGTGATTGTATACAGGAATTGTCCAAGTAAGTTTAGTCACGATCCAATCAAAGTCACTAATAAAAGTTTTAACCGGAATCACTATGTTACTTTGCTGTTCGAATCGATAAATTGTGTCTCCTCTGAAATACCTTAACAGTGTTTCTACTAGAATCACTTAGTTTCTTTTCACAAAATTCCCTTAACTGTCCCTTAACAAAATTCTGGAGTCACTAAGGGCCGTATCCACCAGAATGAGCTGTATTTCATCCGGAATCACTGAACTGCGTTTCCACAAGCATCACACACTCGGATTTACAACAAATAACGAATGAACAGTTCTGCTAATGTAGATCAGAAAATATAACTTATTTTAGTAGGATATATTTTTAAAGGATAACCATTAAATGCTCCGTTGGTGAAGAGGTTGTGCGTTTTTGAATGTGCCATTTGGCTCCGTACTGGAGTACCCCCCTTTTAAAGACAAACAAATATAACAAATTTCATTGTACTTGCTATTACCTGTTTGATATGATATTCTTAAAAATATGTACGTGAGACAGCTCCGATCGTTTTCTTATCTATATAAATGAAACGGAAGTTCGTAACCCCGGTCGTATTTTGTGGTTTAATATTTTGTAAATAAAACAATCGACGATTAACACAATTTGTCATGATCATGTTATCCGCTCTTTCTTTACCTCTTTATGCTAGAGTCTTATTTTTACCTCAAGTTTTACTTAATACACAAACCTATGTGTTTTTTTCCTTTCTTACCGCAAACAGGATATAGTTTCACAACAACAGATTTTGATTGTGTTAAGATATTACTTTATTATATGTTTTGCTGTTTAGAAAGAAAATAAAACCGAGAGGATTGGTGTGTTTATAATTTAATCTTCCCAAAAAAAACAAGAAACGGAAAGGCCACGTTCAGAAAAAATATTGGGAGTGGTTGAATAAACATAACCACTAACTAAATTTAGTTCGATTCTTGATTTAAAACTCATTATCTTTGATCTGTCAACGCTTAGATTAAATAAACTTTCTATTCTGGGTTTCAGGGATCAATTTTAATTATAATTGTTCAAAGTTTTTCAAAGTGATCAAGGACAATAACTCTGAATTCGACATTTTTTCTTCGTCTCATGAATTCAATGCATTCAATTCCAAGGTGATCGTGTGGTAACGTTATCCTGCAGAGCCTCGACAATGTAATTCAATGTGATCATGGAATAAGAATTCTAAATGTAATCATAAGGGGTAAAAATTAACACTGAAAGTAAGTATTCGAAATCGGAAATATACAATGTAAAAATTTAAGGTCGATCTGAAAATAACTTCAGAGAAAAGAAGGGAATTTGGGTTAAACGTCCAATCGACACCAATTAGATCATTTCGGGACTAACATTTCGTTCAATTTTATTTCAATAATCCGTTTGCCCGTTGGGGTGTTTTACCAGTGGGAGGAAACAGGAGGACCCAGAGAAAACCCACGAGGTCGGAGGCGACCGACTCCTTGTCACGTACAAGCGGGGATCGGAAAGCACGTTACTTGACTCAATATCAGACCTTGTCGTCTAAAGCGCACGCGTTAAACCATTCGGCCACCCACACATGAATGCATTTCGTGGTAACATATTTATAGCCTGATAAAGATGTCGGATCACCTAAGCAAATTGAGGTTATGTATAATGTTGCATTGAGATGTCAAAGACGCTCTACCAATCACCTATCCACGTGACTACCCGTGTTCTGCTTCAGACATTTTAACCAAAGTAGCTACCAAAAATGATTGTATCTTTAATAGTATGATGTAGGTATTTATATTTATATCTAATACTATCTTATATAAAAGATAAACATTGTTAAAAAACGTAAATACAATACTGACAAAATAATCAAATATATCAACAAGGAATGAAACAGGAAATAAAATAAGATTTATCCTAGTTTGATGCGAGTCTATTAAAGATATTACCGAGATAGGATAAGATCCGAAAACGTCATTTAACTACAATTTCATAAATTGTTTACAACAGTTAGCTTAAAATAGCTCTCGGAAAACAGATCGGCTTAATTTGACGTCAATTTATATTTATATTCTTGTCGGTGATTTTATTGTTCAAAGAGTTATTACCTCACAAGACTTTGTATAAATTATAAGAAATCTATTAATCTCTTACTCATATTACATATACATGGGTGTATGAGATTTCATAATATATTTTCTTTATCTAATACGTGTTTTCTTTCCAGACAAAGAACGCAAGAAAACGTAATAAAGTTGATAACCGACAGTGGCGTATGGGCTTGCGAATTCAATTTACCACCAATTCGGAATGATCACAAGGTGTTCGCCAGACATTCGTTCGTAGTTGTTCTCGAGCATTCCCGGGGTGTTGCGAATATAAGTTAAAATTTTCGTAAGCAGCCGCAAGTCGTTCTTACTGATGGCAAGGCATCTATGGTGATCATATACGTTGATGATCCGGCGGCTGAAACCCTATAACCTATTACGCAATTTCTGGTTAATATTGGTTTGGTAATTTTGCACACTTTGAGTATTCACACTTTTCCTGAAACCTGTTAAAATATCAGTCTGTGGTTACCGGGCGCATTTCAGATAGATGGGTAATTAAAGGGGTACAACTACAACTGCACTTTATATCAGGATTAAGACTAGTAATTCTCGTACCATTGAATTGAATCTTTAAATCCAAAGCATTTCTTTACCCCTACAATTTTCTTTGAATATTCCATCATAACCAAAAAAGACCCCAACATGTCACAATGATTCTATAAAAATATTGTAGCTGGGTGACAGTTTCGACACTAGATCTCGTATATTCTATAGGCTGAGGTGTCATTTTTGTAGTTATTTCATAAATTTATGTCTCTTTACTGATCAAATACGCTTCTTTAATTGTAGACCAAGAAGATTGTTTGCACATTACATATTATTACTACGTCCATGTTATATTCTACAGACATTGTTAAAGTTACGTTGCTAGGCAACCAAACATAGATCCATAGCAGCTAAGTCATCCACAAGATTTTTCTCTGTGATCAAGGGCCATAATTATGGCAGTAATTATCGGAAAACTTGAGAATCAAATGATTTCTTTGTCTCATGACCTTAAACACTGTGTATAAAATCAAAGATAATCAGATGATATCTGTAGCTTCCAGAGCAGCCATGTGCAATTATGGCCGACAGCTCGAGAGATGGGGTGGTAATAATATAATTTAATAAAAATTATGGCCAAAAGATTGGAGGAGGGTACATCACTGATTCAAAAAAGAAAAAAAAAACTATACCAGACTTCAAATATAAGATTTATATAATTCACAAGTATTTCTCTGTACATAATTTCAATAACAAACAATACATTTTCCCATCACAAGAGTATTTACAGTAGATATTCATTAATAGAAAATTCAGTTTTTAATTTGAGAAGTGTTACCGGTCCTTATAATCACACACTATATTATATAAATAGATAAAGATTGATTAGGTCATGCTTGAACTAACATGTCATATTCTTATCCAGTGAATCTTGTGCCCTAATGATAGGTTCCCACTATCACGATTCGCGCTAGATTGAAATCGTAGTTTTAATCATGGAATAATCGTGGTGATCCAATCAGGTCTTATCATATATTGAGGTCAGTCGTAGCAATCGTGTTGATCGTATCGGAACGTAAACGAACGTATCTGCGCGTACCAGATCGTGGACTCAATAGGGACAATCCTTTCGTAACGCATCGCACGACAGTGGGAACCTAGCATCACACACAAATACCGCAGGCTACAAAATGTAGAACAACTGCACCGCACAACACAGATAGAACATACAATACCAAAACAGAGCATAATAATTACTGGTAAACACATATTCCCAAAGAAGATATAAGAAATTTATATTGTATACAGTTATGAATATATTTGATGTTTGTGAAAGCATGGAAATAAGACAGACTTTTTTTAGGAACAAATTTAGGTTTTTCAAGCCCAATTCCTGTCGTGCCTGCCATTTTAAAGTCTTGCACATATTTATCTGTGTTTTTAATAATATTTATAGTACACATCAGGTACAAAGTTAAAAATGTCTGATACTAGTTGATCATTTCCATCTATATCATTATTTCTAGGCCCGAGTTTGTATATATTGTAGGAATAAAAATTTCTATATTTACTCTTCAATATATTAATTAATACAAGTAGTTAAAGGTCCAATCTCGATTATATATTGGAGAATAAAACTGTTTAATTTTGTGTGTAAAGCCCTTAAAAACCTCTACCTTAGGGTCGAGCAACTAACTCAATATACGTAATACATTTTCAAACAACTTAAACCTGTCAGTCTTCATCTGGAAATGGAGACCGGTGTCCCAATCTGTATTATACGATGTCTGGATAAAACCAGACTTTTATTTTATAAAAATAATGTGTAGGTGAAATTTACAGTTCGTTATCCAGTACAGCACATGCACCACACACTGTTTTGACCTCTCAAGGCACGGTAATAAATTATCAGGTCACCCAACGAAAAAATTAACTCGAAATCTAAAAAGGGTTACATGTCCGGATAAGAGGTTTTAAAGTTCACGTCCAAACGACTCAATATTTTGAGGTGATATTTTCAGACAAGGTAAATACAGATTCCTGTATATTTTGGCATTTAAATTTCATACATACACAGACTTTTATTTCTTAGTCTCTGTTAATATCAGGATGTTCCCATTAACCAATCACCAGATCACACATAAACAGATTATTTTTATACTTAACATAAACAATAATGAAACATCATCTTCTACTTTTAGGTCATACCAAAATATATCCTGGTTCTCAGAATACCCTTAAAAGTAAAACATTGTCAAATTATCACTATAGCTTTGATGCCTTCTCAGAAACGCCATGTGAAAAGTATGGATCTAAGGTTCATCTACAGTATGTAAATTTAAATTATGCAAATCTTTTTACTGAGATCGTAGAAAAATCACACTTTTTATTTTATTCCCATACAACCTTTGAAGGTGACAAGCTAGACAAAGCAAAAGAATAATTTTTATGTGGCCTAACTATTTAACAAATAATAAAACCATATACATTATAATACACATTAAAGCACTGTGTGGTCAAACCAGAACCGTATTTATTATTCTCATCAATGAGGGTTGTATTTTATTACTATAGTAAACAAACAATTTATTATCAACACTTTTCATATGTTCTGACTTTCTAGGAGTTTGATGTACTACTATTATTAGTTTTTTTATCTTTTAAACAGTCTGTTATTGAACACTGTATTTCTTTCAATGGAGCAATATGAGCATTCCTTAATACACTGGTACGTGTGTGAAACCAAAGATTAGTCTGAAACAAAAAAAATCCAATAAATATTATCTATATTTAAAAGAACTAGTGGTCTTTAAACAATTAAAATAAACAACAGATACCATCTTGGCATTGATGTTCGTAGATATATAAATTTCATTCAAAAGAGAGAGAGAGAAATGGGGTTTAATGTCCACTTGACACACACCAGGTCAGGGAAACCCACTCCATTTTCAGTACAAGCTTGGGATCTTAACCACCTACTTGATTGAATGACAGTCCATATGATCTAAAGTGTATGCTCCAACCCAAATTCAATAGACAGTAATGTTCAGATTGTTTAATTTTAATTATGATTATATTTATGGTCTAAAAGTCTTTATATACTGTTTATTCCAGGTAATAGGACCTATAACATTTAAAGCTAAAATTAAATTCTCTGATATCATACATATATATATAGATCATTCAAAGTTCTAGTATGTGACCTGTGCTGGCAAAATAATGCTCTGTGGGGGGTAGAACTCTGGTTCACCATGGATGGCATGGATTAAAAGATATTGAAGCTAAAAACCACCTGTTAGATAGGCCATGCATGGCCATGTTTTATTCAACCTCTCTAAGTACTAAAGATTCCACATATGGGAGATAACTCTTGAGTACTCCAATAAAGAACAAAGGGGAGGGAACTCTTCCATGAAAGGTGACATTACTATATGACAATAAGTTGGAATGTAAAAAGTCTAATAATGATCTACAGACAAAACAAGAGTAAATATTCATTTTGATCAAAATTGAGATTTTCACAAAAATGAGTGTATAGTATAAATATACTATCTATCAACTCCAAAGATCAAAGTAGCAATAAAACATTTCAAAATACCTTTATTTGGACGTTTTGTAAGAGTACCGTTACTACCATATTCATAAAAAAAAAATTTTTTGTTTTAAAATTCTCTCCGTAATAAGTTATTCATCTCTGCTCTCTGCACCCTACAATACTTGAAATCTTTGATTCTGATATTTCAAAGATATATTTAATAGATTAGCTAGACTAATTTTTACCTTAGGTAGTCGTCTCCTTGTTAAAATACCATCTGATACTGATACATTTTTAAGGTTTTTATATGTGTGACATGCTACTTTCAATTTCTTTAATGGTGGTCTATTATTCTCGGTATCATCTTCACTTAAGCTTGTTTCCATGATGCGCTTATAAGTTTCAGTTACGCCACTAGGTGAATCCTCATTAGGGAATATAGTAGAACCGGGAATGTTGGAATACATGGTCACTCGGGGCGCGTTTTCTTGATTTAATTTTAAAACAGAATTTGTTGTTTTTATTGGTGCCTTATCACTGGCACTGTGTTTTGGTATATCAGATTGAACACTTGTCAACTCTGTAGCACACATCTTCAATCTTTCACAAGATTCAGTTAGACATTCTTCTTGGTGTTTATTAACACGTATCCCAAAATCTCCACTACCATCAGGAATGTAACAAGACTTTTGATTGGTTGATATTTGCTGCTCCGCTGCCTTCTTATTTTGAATTATTTGTTTTATTGTTCTCCACTTTCTGTATGCTGCAACAGGCAATTTGATAATTAGTAAATATAATAAATATAAATTAAAATTTAAAAATAAAGGTACTTCAATAAAGGCGGTCTTTTTACATACACACCAAAGTGTACTTGGGACCATGGTTTGTTTCTCACATGCATCATTCACAAGGAGAAACCACACTAGAAAATCCAGAGCCAACCAACCTTTATATGTTCCACTTTTAACCAGTTCTGTCTAAATGAGAGATGCATATTGCAGGGCATTATTTCACATATATTTACCAACTTTTTTCCATCCTCTATGCTCTCAAAACTAACTAAAACTATGCTCTCAAAACTAACACGTAAGGAGGAAAATTTATCGAAAATGCACAAGTAATTTCAATCGGTTTTTCTACTTCAAATTAATATTAGGGCCTACACATACCTGAACAATATTTTTATAAAATGCATACCTCACACACCAGTTTAAAAGTTATTCAATACAGATTTTAATAATCTGATGCATAACAGATTTTTTTCAACCCATGTTTCATTTACTGCTGGTCCTTTATGTTATGTTAAGATTTGTACATCCCTTCATTTCTTAGTATACCTGTTTGTATGGCACTAGCAGCCACATTTCTCCTTTCTGACATTTTTCTGCTCTGATGTTTCAACCAAAACCTCCAGATTTTCTTGGCTGCATATTTGCGATGAAATGTTTTACGAATAAGGTATCTTCTAACAGCCCACTGTAAAACTGTTATATGTCTTGTTAGTACATCAGCTCTTGTTGACTCTAACTTCTCTAACTGTATAGAAATACAAAATCAAACTAGGCTTGGATTTCGGTGTATATATAATCGCAAACAGGTCAAAGATCATGAGAATATCCAATCATACTACAGGTATAAACTTATAAATTTAATACCTTCATAATTAATTTTCCAGGAGAAGTAATCAGTGAGAGAGAGAGAGAGAGAAATGGAGTTTAACGTCCACTCGACACAAACTAGGTCATTTCGGGACTAACATATGGTTCAATTTTATTTCCATAATTTGCATGCGCGTAGGGGTCTTTAGCAGTGGGAGGAAACCGGAGGACCCGGAGAAAACCCACAAAGTTGGACAGGCGACCCTACTCCTTGTCACATACAACCAGGGATTCGAAACCCTGCCAGTTCAAACAATGACAGACTTTATGATACAGCACGCACGTGCTAACCATTCAGCCATCCAACCCCCCGAGGAGTAATCAAATTAACAAGGAAATATATTACAGGGAATATACATGTAAACTGTTGATTTGATGTGAATCTGTGAAGATCTGATCTTTTGATAGAATATTACCAAAGCAATGGTACCAATAATCAGTCTAATTAAATGAGGTCATAAGTTTGTTCCTTTGGGGTTTTTATGTCATTATTTTATACCACAGTAAGGTCTAGCCAGTGACAGGTGGGGCTAAAAAACAAATACAAGGCCAACCGAAAAACTAGCACCGCTGGCCCCTAGATAGACCCTCATACCAGCACCAGCCCTCGCATAGTGGTCTTAAGCAGTGAGAGGAAAACTGAGGAATCAAAAAAGATCTTAATTCAATTAGATTGTACAACTAGTAGAATCACCTCTAATACAATCTATACCATCATTATTTCAAGGGAAGTAAATATGAAACTCAAATGAAAATGATTTTGTAAACTAACCTGTGACTGATGTAAAAAGAGCTTCGATTTACCAAATTGTTGTCTAAATTTAACCATTTCATCCCCTCCAAATACAAGTTTCAAAATGGCTGCACAACAATGTCTGGCATGATCTCCAGGTGAAGTTCCTAATAAAATCAATCATTCACAAAATGTTAATCAATTTGAAAAAGTTCAGAAGCTGTACGTAGTTGCACAATAATGTGTTTTTATTATAGACTTTTTGTTTCTGGGTTTTCGATCACAATAGTGTAGTTGTCTATAACAGCATTATAAGTTATGAAGCTGTCACATACAACTAGGGAATCGAAACCATGTAAGTTGACTCAATGACAGACCTTATGATACAGAGCGCACATGCTAACCATTAGGCCATCAATCCCCCTTGAAGGTATTACAAACCAACCCACCTGTTCTCCTGCGTAGAGTTTTCTTTGGTGTAGGCGTACGTTTAGGAGCATTGGGTAAATCAAACTGTTTTCTAAATAGTGTATCTAAAGGATCCATGTCAAAAGATTGGTCATTCTCGGAACTAGAGCTAGTGGACTCCCGTACAGGTACTGATGACGAATCGGGTATTAATAAACCATATCTCTGTAAAAACTCCCAGTAAATAATCCTAAAAATATATTTAAGTACAGAACTTTCATAAATCATTTTAACCCTCTATAAGCAAGCTAATATTATCAATAACAATTTCATCTTGACAAATAAGACAGACAAATCTCAGGCTACCCTGACCGGGACACAGATAACCCATTTTTCACAGGTAAATTACGTGCCTTGAAAATTCAGGTCACGATCCTACATGTATAACACAGTTTGGATGATTTCAGTGTCCAGTACATTTAATCAAGTGTCAGGTTAATTAATTCTGACTGTGTAAAATCTCTCTCTCTAAAGGAGAAAGTTTTTTTGTTGGATTTTCTGATATAGGAAACCAAACGGCTGAATACGTAACTAACCAATGTTAACCAAAAAACAATCATGCCTTCTTTCAGTGTCCTTGTATTAAACATTTTTGAAACAATATCTATTCTATGAAACCTTGTCTACAACAACAGGATTAAATGATACCAAGAAAATTGAGCAAAAAAATGAATTTACTAATATATGCCAGATACAACCTTTTGACTCCCCAACGACATTAATCAGAATTTAATTTTCTATTACTGAAATTAAGTGTTTATTATCTATATTACCTTTTATTGATAAAAGTCTAATTTGTGTAGTTGTATGAGGTATATATACTCACCTGGCTGAAAAACCTTGTCTACATATTTCAACTGTTTCCAGTATACCACTGGCACGTAGTTGTTGTGTGACATAAGATCTATCAAATACACCAGGTTGACTGACAGTATTAGGTTTAATACATCTTATATAATGTACATCAGACCTATTTAATGATGTCATTAAACCATCTAAACAGCTCTATACAAAAAAAATACAAGTAATATAACACAATTGATAAAGATATAACAATAGCACAGAGAAAAGTAAAACAAGTGATAAAGATATAACACAGAGAAAAGTAAAACAATTGATAAAGATTAACACAGAGAAAAGTAAAGTGACAAGAAATATATGATTTGTATTATGTAATTGATTGGCATGATTGTTTAAATTGTCATATAAGCTAAACATAAACAACACTATACAATATACCTTGAATTTAGCTAAAACTGTTTTCTTTTTCTTGCCTGGTGATTCAGTTGTTTGATATGTTGAAAATAATGCTTGTATAAAACTGTTATTACTTGATTTCAATAAATTGATTAATTCAACAGGTATATTATCCTAGAAAAAATAATAAATGAAGTATTGGTATTGACACAAATGACTGGTCAAAAGTTCAATTTGGACTCTTGGAAATGAAAAGTAATGCAAGCAGCACCACACATGATCATCATTATTACTACAGATTGTAATGGTTACCTACCTTTTTTTATCATTATTACTACAGATTGCAAAGGTACTTACCTTCTTTTATCATTATTTCTACAGAGTGTAATGGTTACCTACCTTCTTTTATCATTATTACTACAGACTGTAAAGGTTACCTATCTTCTTCTTTTATCATTATTACTACAGATTATAAAGGTTACCTACCTTCTTTTATCATTACTGATTGTAAAGGTGCTTACCTTTTTTTGTCATTATTACTACAGATAGTGAAGGTACCTGCCGTCTTTTATCATTATTACTACAGATAGTAAAGGTTACCTACCTTATTTTTAGTAACAAGTTGATCAACGGTATATCTAACTTCTCCTGCATAATGATTTACAATAAAACTTGGTTCACCAGAAAATTTACGGGGTTTTTTAATTGCCGAGGATGTTCCATTTCCAATCTCCAGTAACCGTTCTCCAAGAATTCTTTTATTTGATTTTCTGCTCAGATAAACTTCCTGAAGAAGAGATATGAACGAAACAATATAGGAAATGACATTTGGACCATTCCATTTAAATATTCTCATGGCTGTTAAGTCTAGAAAAATTGAATTCAATTGGTAGTGGGGATCTTGAAAATACTCCACAATTTTGCATGCAAATTTCTGGAGCTAAAAAAACCATAACTGTCAATAAATTTAAATGTAATCAATTCTAACACTTTAGTTTATTGTGCCTTTAACAGGATGGGGGAACCAAGGTGGCTAAGTGGGTAAGACGTTGGCTCGCTACATTGGAGGTCGCAGGTTGCTCCCGATGTTAACCGAGAAAGTTCATCGGGATCTTCCGGCATGATTTCCCATGCAGGATGGAGGGCCCGACAAGGACAGCTGTCTAGTCATTCTGATGGTACAAAAAACCGAGGTCTCGTGTACACATTGGAGTGCACGTATAAGATTCCATGGCAGTTGAAAATCAATACAAGAGTAGGCTGCTGTTCGGGCAAAATTTTCCTCAAAGCACAATATATGGCATAATAATGGCCATCTTCATTAGCCCAGTCGGAGCAGAAAAGTAGGATGTTACAGCCCGTTTCATTTTAACAGTATGGATTTTTGTATTTTGTCCATATTGAACTAGACAAGAAAAACTTCTATACATTTGCAGGAAGATGTAAAATAGAGATATATTGTAACTTACTTCATTTAATACACCAAATATACTTTGTTTTCCTTCCAATATATTTAAACAGGGTTGATTATCAGTATAATTTATACTAGACCATTCTATTCTTTCTAACTCATACTCTTTCTAAAATAAAACAAATTCTCTATAGTAATTAACATTTCAAAATCACATTCTTATTCATAGTGCTTCTATCATACATATAGTTTCACAGACACAACTAGGTTTTAAGTGTTGTTTCAGAATAGATTTAAATGTCAACTATGTATTTTACTCCAAATTCGGAAACTACAATACTTTGATTAACATATGGTTAATTTTAGTCACAATACTATAATACTAGGAAAATTCCAGAACCTTTCACATGCATGCCAAGGTTTACATTGGTGGACCTCAGTTTTTCGTGCCATTCGAACAAATACAATGTAGGTAGCAATTAGCAAGTGGGCATTGGGTATAAAATTCCTGAATGGTTCTTTTTGTTGCCAACCATTCGACTACCATACCTGCCCACAAAGATAGCGCCTGGCACTGATTGTCCAGCCTACAAATCATTTATCTATAAAATATGTTGTACAAACTAACCTGTAAATCTTTAAGAAAATGTGACACATAATGTTGTTGTATTTTCTCATTAGCATAATTTATACAAAGTTGTTCTAAACTGTTAGTTTCAAACATCTCAAAACCATAAATATCTAATAAACCTGAACAAATAAATAAAATACTAATAACATTCATCTTAAAACCAATATTCCAAAGAAAACTAAAGTTTTACTTTAAAACCATAGCCACCCTGAGGACAATATTCTTAATGCTCAATGTCTTAAAAAAGAATTATCTGTCAACATGCTAACAAGTTTTATTACATCACTGTTTGTTAAAATTCCTTGAAAACAACACACTAATAAGATTGTTTGACTCGTAAATTGACAGCTTAAAGCTATATACCTCAACATGTAAATCATGTAAAATTATATTTTTAACCAAATGGCAACAACACTCAAAGCACTAATGCCTCTTTAAATCTATTAATGAATCAATTGCAGTATTAATCAATACTGACCTATAGTACTGTGATATTCATCTGTTTGTATTTCTCTGTTGATAAAATCAACTAACCACTCAAACAATCTGAAATTAAATACACCAAGGTTATAAGTTAAGGCACATTTTTGTTGATTTTATGAATTTGTATAAATAATATATAATAGCATGAAAATAGATAATAGAATGCCAGTCATTATTAATTAATCATAAGAGTGACTGACTTACAGAAACAATGTAGGTGAGGAATGGGTGAGTTTTACACACACACAATTTACATTTTCTGGAAAAATCCATTTTGCATCTTCTACATTAGGGAAAAAAGATGTGTAGGGACAAGGATATGTAGGTTACTTTTTCATATTACTGATGTGGTGTGGGAAATTTGAATCTTTATATGTAAGGAGAACACCACAAAAAACAAGCCTGACTGAACCCTTCTACATCAATATGTACTTATGATGTAATTATCAAAATGTTTTGATCAACTCTGAAATACTTCTAAATAAAACCATTTACCTGGAATAAAGTAGCATAATTAAACAATCACGTCTATTTTTAGCATCCACGATAGAAACAGGTTTCACAAATACACTACGTCTTGCTTTACTACCAGACTGGATATTCCGATGTAAAAACACCTTCTCTAACTGATCACTAGATAATCCTAATTGTTCAGATGCCTTATCCATTGCTGTTGAAGTAACTACAGAAAGAATTTAAATATTTACATAAATATAACGCAATGTCTTTATCAAAACTTACAATGTACATATTTATACTGAGAAAGATCTTACTTTTAAAATTGAACAAAAAAAAAGTCTGAAAAGGAGACCCGTATGGATTTAACCAATTTCGAACTTTAGCATTCCCGTACCCAGATGCAGACTTGCAAACATTCAATAACCTCTGACCTGGTATCTTGGTATATTATATGCCTAGACGGACTCACCTTCAGTCTATGTAAATAATATACTGTACTAATAATTTGATCGTTTTGTTTTTTTTATCACAGACTGGAAATCAGATCTTAAGTGAAATTTTGAAAACGTAATACTCAATGACATGACTCGTTAAATTAAGCCGGAGTAAAGAGAAACAGAGGCTTGCTTGCCTTCTGTCCATAATATCAAAATAAATAACAGCATAATTTCGACAAAAAATCGTACATAAATCTGATCATTGAGCAAAACTGACAGTTTCAGTGAGAATTTTTAAAAACTAAAAATAAGGTCTAGTTCAGTGACAATGATATTATTAATTAAAGTTAATAAAACGTATTCTGTCCATTGTCATTCAAAAACAAGTCATTTAATTATCTTAACTACAGATGTAACTACTGTAATCAGATTGGTTCATTTCTGATTCATTTGTTAACAAGATGACAAAAAGAGCCACGATAAGTCTACTACATCTGTGTACCAATTTGTCTATTATGCATAACAATCTTATTTTCTAACAGGATATTATTGAAATGAAAATTTATGTTCATGTTTCATATGGAGTATATGAATATAAATCTATCTGTGATTTTGAAAATGATCATGAGTTAGTAAATGAAAGATGAAAGAAAACATGATAAAGCAGCATGCATAAATCAAAAAAGACAATTTTAAGATTCATATAGATATATAAAACAAAATAAACTTCTAAAAGTATATCAAAACCTACAAATGTAGGCACAAGAAAATAAAAATAAGACATAGAAATCACATAATTTTACAACATACATGCTCTCGTGGCCAACCGATACTAATATCTATCTCTATTGGTTTCAGTATCTATTTTCAAAAGATTTTATTTAGTGTTAATCAAAGTGGCTGATAGTCATAATTTAAGGGATTGTTAAACGCTAATATTGTGACAGTTGAATCTCTAAAAGGAATATCAGGCCAAACATGGTTTAATTCCATTCAGCATTTACAAAGATATGATGAATTGACAATTTGTCAACATTTGACAGATGATATTTAGGATATAGTCAACACTGAAATCTTTTGATGGGGTTGTTTTGAATCCAAGCCAGGCAACTATTTACTTGATTCTGTTTTTATTCCTTATTTAAATGTACATTTTATCATGAATCAAGCCATGAAGAATGAAATACTCTCCACACAATGCAAATGCTGATCAGCAACTTTAAGAAATTGTGAATTTTTAACAAATATCACCAATGACACTTTTAATAAATACATCAAATTATAATTTGGGAGATATTATACTGTTTTATCCAATTATACAACACGACCAACATATACATACAATACATATATCATATTCTACCTGCTATTTCTATATAAGATTTATCCACTATTCTTGTACAGTCTGAATTTATAAAATAATATATGTCTTATCATATAAGTTTAAAAAGCAACAATACAAACAACACATGGCATATGGAACCTTCAGGGCTTTACAAATAAGAGACTTGTACCTTACAAATACTGTCTGAGCCAAAATATCCGACAATCAAAATTTGACAAGTGTCCCATGATTTAATTTGTTGGATTTTTATCCCAAAACATATAGATTCAGAAATAAAATAAGTAATAGAAATAATTAAACATCATTTATAAATAAAGTCTATTAGGTTTGCTTTAGGGATCTCATCAAATTGTGGTAGTCAAATAAAACCATAATACTAATACGCCAACTCAGACTAGAGAACTCATATGATTCCAAGTTGTAAAAGCAATGCAGATTAAGATAATGAAACGATGATTAAAATAGATATGGTTCAAGGGATAAATGTTATATTACAGTGATTTCTCAAATACAATGAATGACCCTTTCCACAATGAAATACAGTGAATGAACAAAATGGAATGATGAGTGACAATGTGTTATCTATGATAAAATCATGACGAAATAAAGTTAACAATTACATAAATCAGATCAAAGTCTTACCAATTAAGCCTATATAAAGAGAATTCTAATAAATTTTCTACCTGGATTAAGTTCTAGCTTACCTAAAGTATCTGCTACAGCACTTGATTCTTCATCCACAGGTGTAAAATCTATATTACCTGTGTATAATATACCATATAATAACTGAAAGTATATACAATTAAATATCATGTAATAAATTAGTGTAACACTTCACCAATACAGTATGTGCATATGCTCATGGTGCCACAGATCATAAAGAAAAGCATACAGAATATCATTTCCTTTAATTGATCCTATTCCTATTTGTTTTATATAGTACTCTTTCCATATTCTCTGATGTCTGACCAAGATAAAAAGTTGACTGCTGTTTGACAGACAGTGGTAAATCCCAAAACAGAGAGTGTGAAATTTAGTTGAAAATATTGATAAGTATAAATCTACCTGAAACACCTGTTGTTGTAGATTATCTGTTATACCTATATCTGTCATAGCAGCCAATGTTTCTGCTAACTTTCTTGTTTCTTTTAATTCTGTTAAAGGAAAAAGCTATCTATTCAACAATTACTGCACATGTCATATTGACTATTGCAATAACAACAAGATTATAATTGAATAAATACTAACGAGGAAACAAAAAACAAACAAAATATTTTTTTTTTTATATCCTTTCATAAATTTTTACCTTTGTTATTAGATGGGAGATTTTTAAACTTTACAGTTTTTGTGTCAGCTTGAAGACTTGACAAACAAGGTGGTATATCTGTAGTCTCTTTCATCATCTATATAAGTGAATAAGAAGGCATCTTCTGAATTAAATCACTTCTTTCAATACAAAAAAATCAAGACAAAGATTGGGAGTTATCATATTAACCCTTATCATCACTCCTTTTATTACTTGTTTAAACTTCTGGCAAAATACTTTTTAGAAAATGTAAAATTATATTGTGATATATTTCTACAATGTCACAGGGTTTGAGTGGGCCAACAGGCTAGCTTGCCACAAGAGGACTGAAACTTGTATCTGGAAGATGGCTTGAGAAAAACATTGAACTGGTCTTATCAGCATGCAAATTCTGTTGGTTTTTGTACTACAGGTAAATCGCATATAAAAACAAACAATTTATGGTAAGTGTTTGTATAATATTGAAGTCCATTTCTAGACCAACCTGATAAAAGATATGAAAGTTAAACTCTGACAGTCCATGGTGTACAGTTCTTGTTTTTTCTAATAAATATGTCTGTATAATTCCACCTACTATCTCACCACCTCTAAAATAAATAATTTTATACTTTCAACATAAATCAACCAATTTTATACAAGATGAAAATCACAGCATTTTTCAGCTAAGTTTACTAACAGTCAACAGTTGTTATCAAGATTTATATTTGAATACCTGTTAAACTGTAGTTTTATATATTTTCCAAATCTGGAACTATTTGCATTCCGTGGAGTAGCAGCATTTCCTAAAATATGTAAAATTGAAAGAATTTTAAACAAATATCGTTTATTATGGTACATATTTTAATATGTGGACTCTTGTAAACAGTTTCTTCTGCATCTCAAGTGTCCTGACTCCATTAGCTTGGTTGATGCAGTAAAATAGGATGTTAAAACCAATTTCATTTCAAGTGTCCTACCCAAAATAACTTTTCATGACTTTACAACCCATGCCCACAATGTAAACAGTGTATCAAATGTTATTTATCACCCAATAATACATTCTACAGTAGATATCGCTTGTGTGATAAATTTCATAATCTACAGCGAAATCTCCTTAGGAGATATTGCTTTACATGAATTTGATTTGTCAATCAAAAAGAAACTACTTTTTTTTATTTTCAAAGAACCGTTCATTTTTTATTAAATGTAAGTTCTTTCTTATTAAAAATGAACTATTTTCATTTAATTGGCCTTGATTGAAACACTGGGTCAATATGAAGGACTTTGCAATGGTTGAATTGCTGTCAAAAAATGATGTATCACTACGCCGTAATGTAATCAGGCTCAGTAAAAGTGAAATCTATAGCAAAGAATTATATTTATTTATTTGTGCATGTAAGAAGGGATTGGGTGATAAATGATATATCCTACTGTTCTTTTTTGATATCAAAAAAGACTCGTAGGAGATTCTCTATTTACAACTAATGGTGTTTCCAGTAATCACAATTAAGTTACAGAGACATCATCCTTTTAAATAATGTATAGGCAACGTGCCATTATTTATTTATACTAGATGAAATATTGGACTGCACATGCAGAATAATGTCTATTTTAAATTGTTTAATGATCTCGAGCAAGACATTGTGTAATATAACGAAATAATACTTGGGCTATTGATATTCAACACAGGCAACAGCTTCATGATTAATTACATTCTTGAAGATAAAATTAACATACCAAATGCCTCTAATATTGGATTAGAATCTAATATTTTATTTTGTATTATATCTCCTCTTTTCTTTTCTTCTTTCTCCCTCTGTTCTTCATCTTCATTCAGTCTCTGGTTAGAAACTTTAGTTAGATATCTTAATAAATGTTTAGCTGAAACTGTCTGTAATAACAATAATGTGTTGTAATCATTAAAATCAAACAATTGCAAAAATGGTAGAATTCATTTTGACAACAGTTAATCCCTCAAGACAGTGCACTATTGAAAGAAGGTGCAGTTTATAATGGATGTATTGTCATAAACATACTAAACGTGCATGCAACCCTTGATTCTGCTTGAAATATGGGAGGAGGACAATTCCCAGCGAGGACAACTGCCGGCTGGACAATTCTTGGCCATATTATTTATCAGAGAAGGCACACTGCATAACATGAAAGAAAATGTACATCATGAATAACTACTAGTATAAACCATTTCTAAAAAATATATTAACCTTTCCGGCACCACTCTCACCGCTAACGATAATACTTTGATTAATCTGACCTAGTTCTCGGACCAAACTACTATATGCCTCCTCCGCGATCTCAAAAATATGTGGAGGTAACTTCTGAAAGAAAGAAAATAAAATCAGGTCTAACATCTGGTCAATACAATACTTTAGTTATTTTGAGAAAAACCCAATGCTAATTATTGTTTTCTATGGTTAGAACATCTGCCAGGCATAGAAGAACAGTAGTAATTGCATCTTTCATTACAAATGTACCATGATTTATAGGAACTGTGTCAAGAACACAGACTGACAGACACTGGTGAACACAAAAAAAAAAATACCTGGTCATGGTTACTATGGTAACTATGAATTACGTGATCTGTATAAAGATGGCTGACATCAGTGAAAGGATTCAGAGCTATTATAGTTGAACCAGCAGAAGTATAGAACTTATGATTATAATATCTACTGTTGACACAACACAAAACTGAAAAATAAAATTTACATAAAACTGATAAGCTGTTGTTTATATTTACCCCAAATATAAAGTGAGTTATAAACACAAAAACATAACATGGAACACAATTACTATTATTACAGTGACGTTTGCTTGATAATGTTGAGAGAACCCTCAACAAAATGTAGCTTTACCGGTAGTTAAAATAGTAATTGTGTTCCATATTAAGTTTTTGTGTTTATTATGTGTGTCAATTGCTAAATGCCGTTCAAAGAATACACAGTGAGCAGGTAATGACGATTTTTCAAGTCTGTTTCCTAATTGTCAGTTGAAGTGTTTGTGTGACTGACAAGGCAGAGGTCATTTACCTAGTTGTTGGATAGCATAAATTAACAAAAACTAACAGTTAGGCATTGCAAAGACTGCACAAGTAAACTTTTATTTCTAGCTATGTGGGGCGGCCTATGTATGTTAGAACTAAAGAATGACAGGTAGTGTCCAAACAATATTAAGCTCCTCTACATTCCTAATATAAAGAAATATGTACAAAACCATGAATTTAAACCCACATTATGGTGGACCTATAAGAGTCTGCATGGAAACTTTTAAATCCACCATCAGATTAAGAATTGAAAACACATACCCGTAGCTTCATTTAAGGGTGTAAGACTTGTTAATGTTTCTATGTCTCCTACATTTGTTTCAGATCTGAGAAGAACGTCTCTAATTTTACACTTAACGATCTGAAATAAAAATGATTAAAGATTCACCATGTTAATTTGATACAGAATTAAATGTCTTATGGTCAGTAGAAGGTACTATTTAATGATAACATGCAAGCTTGGCAAATGTCTCCTATCGTTATTGATATTTCGCACAAATTTTAGCTTTGTCTGATCCAGTTCCTCTTTTTATTTGTACCGACCACTAAAATGATTATTTTCAGGTCTATATTTTCACCTTGTACATTCAGATTTTATAAAGACAACCTTCTTAAAAACCCAGAGTATGTAACAATACTTGATATCAATACAATATATAGACATTTATTGCTTGTCTTCCATTGGATCAGATATTCATATGTAAATTATTTCATTTTCTATATGCCCACATTTCAGTGTGGGTGTATCATGTCATCACACATTATATGTGTCAGTCTGTGTGTTTTGTTATTAAAGTTACATGTAGGTATATCTAAGCAACATTGCTTTCTTTTATAATTCTGGAAAATTACTGATGCAACAGATGTGAGCTATCACTTCCGAAAACATCTACTTAAGTTGAAATACTATATACTGTTTAAACAGCATTTAGTAATTGAGCAGATTAAAATAAACACAACAGTTCTATGGATAACAGGGGGTTGGGTGGCCTGTCACTGAGTCAAGTGGCATGGTTTTGATTCCCCGCTTGTACGTGGCAAGGTTTAGAATCATATGTCCAACCTTGTAGATTTTCTCCGAGTTCACCAGTTTCCTCCCACTGCTAAAGACCCTTACATGCAAGCGAATCAATGAAATAACATTGAACCATATGTTAGTCACAAAATGACCTAGTTTGTGTCGAGTGGGCGCTAAACCCCATTTCTCTCTCTCTCTCTCTCTATGGATAACAATTACTGTATTTTTATTGTAGCTACATGTATGTTTCTACAATGATTGAAAATGACAAGAGAATCCTTGTAGAAATGCAGCTACAATAAAAATACAATAATTATCATCCATAGAACTGTTGTGTTTATTGAAATACTATAATAGCAAACCATATTGAAACAAACCAGACGCAGACATTCTCTATTGCAACAAAATAATACTTCCTAGAATGACCCAGCAATTGAGAATTACCTGTTTAGAATTTAATATTAATGTTAATCTGTCATCATCAACTGATTGTATAGTAGCTGGTGTCCATACATCTTTATTATCCTTAACATAAACAATCTGACCCTATAAAATATAATAAAATCAAATAGACATGTAGTATCTGTGATCCATAACAAATTAAAATTAGATATTTATATTCTATCAAGCTATATCATAAGTTTAAATGGTAATGCCAAGGAGGAAGCCTAATTCTAATCTGGTGATTTAATTGTAATTTACGCATAATTTATATTTATTGCTTTAGTTTGTTACCTCATTTTACTTTGCAAAGTGAGCAATTCTGTAATTTTGTGCAAAGAAATGAAATATCAATCCAATATATATCTATCAGTTCCACTACATAACTCCCAATGAGACATCACCAAATTCAATATTTTGTGACCTTTTACTTTTAATAAATGATATTTTTCTTCTATTTTTGCAAATATCTCCTTATTTTTTGAAAAACAAATAGGTCTGCAGATGACAAATTTACGGCCATCATTTGACTGATTGTTGTTGGTTAATACTGTAGACTATCTATTACAATATTACAGTACAGTAGGCTAAATTCCAAACGATTTTCAACTGTAATATACCCAGCCCTGTTGTGTGCATTTCAGTACCTGACTATACTTCAACCTATTTTCACCATTTTCAAATATTTCTGTGTATCTCAATTTTCTTTTAGGAGTTTTATCCTGGAAGAAAAATGTTAAAATATTGAAAAGTGTTACGTCCTGCTTGTTATGGGTTATGGGCATTACGGCCAAAAGAAAAATTTAATAAACAATAATCAATCGTTCTGTTAAAGAAAAGTATGATAGTTTTTGCTCAATTAATGCTGAAATATATATACTGTGATGTGTTTGACCATAGCTACATTTTTACTTATATGGGGGTGGGGTGTGGGGTGGATGGCCTAATGGTTAGCATGTGCAAGGTCTGTCATTCAATTGGTGTGGTTTCGATTCCCCGGTTGTACGTGACAAGGAGTAGGGTCGTCTGTCCAACCTCGTGGGTTTTCTATGGGTACTCCGGTTTCCTCCCACTGCTAAAGACCCCTACGTGCAAGGAAATTATTGAAATAAAATTGAACCATATAATCATACATGATATGTATGTATATAATGTGAATGTCTAGAAATGACCTAGTTGGCTAGTTTGTGTCGAGTGGGCGTTAAACCCCATTTCTCTCTCTCTATAGGCCCTAGTACCATCGAGATGATGTTTCTTATCTACCTACGACTATGAGTAATCAGTAACTTAGTCACAGTGTAACGTTATAATCTAGATCTATTGTTTTAAAATAAATTAATAAGACTGTTGACTGTCACTGTTGTTCATAATTGTTGCCGTTGGTACGCCACGGTAACATTAATCCTGATTAATGATTGAAGAAATAATAATCAGGATTCGATGGCATTTTCGAAAATGACACATTATATATTCAAAACTTGCCATTGTCTTTTCCAGCAAATTATTTTGTTTTATGATGTGACTGTAAAATAAAATTCTGGAAATTCTCAAAATTCATAATATTCCGCCATTTTGCCTTATATATGTTTCCGTTATTTTCATTGGGTACCGTTAAACTAATCAGCACGAATATAACAAATCACCGTCGAGCTAGTAGACTCGATTATCCAATGCCATATTTCCCTCCTTTATAAATTTTATTTCGATATAATCGAGTCTACAGTTAACCCTTGCACCGTAGAAGTTAACATGTCTCTGAAATTTTACTATGATTTAATGTCACAGCCATCAAGAGCTGTTTACATCTTTTTGAAAGCTAACAAAATACCATTTGAAGATAAACCAGTTGCTCTGAGAAAGGGTATGTTGATAAAACCTAATAATAAAGACTGTCAAGGACTGTACGACAAAATAATATACTATACTTGCGGCGACATCACATTCAATTGCAAGATCATAATGAAGATAAGATGACATTGACACTGACAGTGTGCTGCGACTGCAAGTTTGAAACTGAAATAATGATTACAAGGACTGGAAATAAAAAAAAGCATAAAAATAAAAGCCCAAATCATGATCAGATATTTGTTTTTTCTGTGCTACATTTTGTGGTGCTATATTTTTTTCATTACCGGTATTTTAAGAAAGCTTTTATTAATTCTTGCTGATCACAGTATCTGGTTAAAAAAAATGCCATTTAATACTATCAATTTTCTAATAACTATCTGAATTTAATTCGTTTTTATAAGGACCATGACAGTATTCTCAATTAACTTAATTAGCCAATTACTCATGGTACCGGTATCCCACAAAGTTCAATTTTATTACCATTATTATTTAATATTTTCATAAATGATCTTCTCTATGTGTGGAATTCTTCTGTTATTTATTTTTGGATGATGCACCAGTGGTTAATTGTAACCAAGGCCACAAGAAAAATCGTCTGCCCTTCCAAATAAAGTGATTATTTTTATTATTATCATATGTACTGCCAACCTGTTCCATTAATTTTGTAACGTAAGCAAAATTAGTCTTCCCAACCCAAGTCGAAGAGAATTGAGGCATTTGTGGCATAAAAAGGCAAAGTCTAAAAGTCTTTTTGTCTCTCTCTGATTGGATATCACATTATTTACACCAATTGCAAAGTTGTTCATATGATTTGTTTATATCATATTCCATACCCGAATTACAGTCAGTATGCCTCATTTATATTTTATATTACACACCTTGGGATGTTATTTTCTTTGATCTCCCATGTATTATTATGAAACGTATCAACCTGTTGTGACGTCATCAGAGGGTGATATCTGATATTGGCCCTAGGGAAGATATCAGATATCGCCCTCTAATGACATCACAACAAGTTTACATCACTCTGCAATGAAAAAGGACACAAATTCTTTCTTTTAACATTTTATTCACTTTTTTGTACAATGTTGTCAAACGATTCGGACGACAAACTTTGCCACGCCCATGTTATTGTTACTTAGTTTCTTTATATGACCATCAAGAACTTGTCTGAAACTCTCAAATTCTGAATTGTGAAGTATATCCACATCGGTTTTATTCGCAATCCGTAAATGCGAAACTATTCCCATAACTAAATATGGAATTCGGTGGATAATATTCATCATTTTACTTTGCTTACTTTCAAGACGAATCTAGACAATCAATAAATAAGATCACTATCACCCAATGATTTCCGAGTAAGGTATTTATGGGCACAGCATTCTTGGCACATTCACTGATGTCTTGTTACTTGAAATTGAAAAGCATTTATCATTTGTGTCTTCCTCACAATCCGAAATATCTGAGTACATTAAATCCTTGTTAAATATTTTCTGCATAAATTCTGCACTTTGACTAGCTTTAAATAATTCTTTGTCAGAATCTACGTTTTCTTTTTCAACAATATTTTCTACAAACTGACTTGCTCGGATCAATTAGTCGTCAGAATCGTTTGACAACATTGCACAAAATGAATTCCAGTTGGTTACTAAAATGTAATGCACGTGCAACTTACAACTTGTTTTCTTAATTTTGTCATATCAGTCGCAGGGCCGATATGGACTATACCATTGTCTTATAGGTGAAATCAATTAGGATGGAGTTAACATTGATGTTAGTATGTAAGACAAATATTACCCTAAAACCTTCGGTCGATATGTGAAATAACCCTTAGATTATTTCACATATCAACCCTCGATTAGGGTAATGCATGTATTTGTCTCATAAATGTATTTAATAATCTATTTTCTAGGAGAACATTTGACTGAAGAATATAAAAAACTGAATCCATTCCAGAAGGTACCTTTCATCGATGACAATGGTTTCATTTTAAATGAAAGGTGTGCAAAATTGTGTTTAACATGAATTTATAACTTTATTGGGTTTCTTTTATTAAAAATGTATGAGGGCTCTTGTTTTCATAAATTATACACAATCAATTTAATGTTACAATTTTATATCATTTTTGAGGCTTTGTTATACACTGCTATAACAGCTCTGAATATTCACCATGGTACTGATTTTGAGGCTATGTTATGCACTTAGATTTCAATTGATGAATTCACTGAAAGGTGAACTTTTTCGCTATAACAGGTCTGAATATTCACTATGGTACTGATTTTGAGGCTATGTTATGCACTTAGATTTAAATTGATGATGTCACTGAAATGTGAACTTTTTTCGCTATTACAGCTCTGAATGTTCACTGATTACAGCTAGGTACACAAGAGCAGAAGGAGAGCATTTTTTATGCTTAGTGATAAACTGACACCTAGCTTAAAGTTCAAACATGATGCAAATCTGTAGTTTATGTCCAATAATTAAAGTGCTTTCAATGTGTAGACATTCATATTCTTAACATAGTTAATATCACATTAGAGGTTAAGTCCTTGGGCCTCTTGTTTATTATGTTCTTTTGAATGTATTGTTCTATTTTTTGTTAAACAATTTGACTGGATTGTCTATGAGGTATTGTATCATGTCACTACTTATCAAAGAAAGGATAAAGGGGCTAAATCGCTAATATTTGGGACCTAGAAATTGACCCAAAAGGGTCACAACGCATATAATAATGTAATAGGAATGTATATAAACTGATTTACATTCAATCATTTCTGTTTTTACTGTAATTTCTAATCAGTTATGTTTGCAGAAATACGCCAGAAGTCTCAATCGAATGGCAATCTCTAGCGTCTGGTTATTCCAGTCTACACCGATAGTATTTATTGTGCATGCTCTCCAGATAAGAATATTGCATCACCGTTTGACATGACTTGTGGAATATGTCTAGGCTCGTTCTTTGAGTCACTTGTTACATATGGCATCGAAACGCATCGTGTACCAATGGTAAACTGTTTATTTTGTCTTAAATATTGGATATCAGAAGCACATTTTTCCCCGGTAAATCACAACGAACATCAATGTTGATTTAAATCGACCAATAAGTTGTCTTTTCAATGTCAAAGACTTTGGATGATACTGAGTTAGAGACTTAGCTTCTTTAACCCTATTAATATCCTAATATTTGAATATTTTGTATTGTAAATTATAGTGTAGCCATACTGAAATACCTTTCCCACAAGTTTGATATTGGAGATAATTGGTATCCTAAGTCTGATTTGAAGAGACAAGCAAAGGTTGATGAGTATATGAACTGGCAACATATTAATACCAGATTAAATGCTGCAATGATCTTTCAACATTTGGTAAGTCTAAAAAGATGATGTAATCTCAAATCTTGTTTGTCCTTTTTATCCTGCGCGGAACGAAGATAGGGAGGGGTATTGAAATGGACTCTGTCTGTCCTGATTTCGTTTCTGGAGCCTATCTCATAAACCATTCAAGATATCTTTTTGAAACTTTGTACACATATTAACTTATTACAGTAGTTGTGCCTTTTTGCCATTTAGGAATTTCTTGGATAAATAGTTATTGTGTTTTCATGGAAACAAATTTGACTTAGTTTTTGGTGTAAACCATTCAAGATATCTTCATGAAACTTTGTACAAACATTAACCTTTTATAGTAGTTGTGCCTTTTGCTAATTTGGAATTTCTTGGATTTAATAATTTTTGTGTTTCCATGGAAACAAATTTCTCTGAACTTTGTTATTATTGTAACAACTATTATTTATTTAACTATTATAACGAGAACTGTCAACTCTTTATCTAATCTTACATAATGCCCCTTTAATTTTGCAGCTTCTGCTACCTAGAATAACAGGAAAACCAGTTCAAGAAAAGCAGATGGCTAGATTTAAAAAAGGGTTAATAGAAAGTGTTGGCCACATAGATAAATATTTTTTAGGTAGTCAACCCTTTTTATGTGGGGATAAGCTTTCGGTAGCAGATTTGCTTGGAGCTTGTGAATTAATGCAGCTCCATGCTGTCCATGAAGAGAGTTTTTATACAGATAACCCAGTAGTGAAAGCCTGGATTGAAAGAGTGAGGAATAGGTTAGCACCACATTTTGATGATGCTCATAAAATAATCTTCAGAACCCGTGACATTTATCCTACATTAAAAGCCAAGTTGTAAATTACTATGTTGAATTGTGAATTGTGACATTTGGTTGTACCATATTGTAAATGTATATACATATATGTGTGTATGTATGTAACAAAATTTTAAAATATCAAATAAATTAAAATGTGTACATTGTCCTTGTGTTATGTTCAGGAGAGAAATGATTTGCGACAAATATAAATCTTTGACACCTCTGAGATCTTGAACCCGATGATCATATATCAGGTTTATACCAATATACAAGTTCGAAAATCTTGTGTGTGAGAGAGGCTATAGGTTTATTCAAAATTTGGTCTGAAGTTTGGACAATGAGAGTATGAGCCCCATCAATTACCCCAGTTGTCCAGCCATCTATTGCAAAATGTGGGTGTATCTTTCAGATTTGCAGTGATCGTTCAATGTATGATCAAAATTTTTCAATCAGAAATCACCGAGTTGTGAATGCGATCACGGACGTGGTTCTTAACATGGTTTGGGCAAAATCCATCTGGATAAGAACTATCTAGTGTTAACTGACTACTGCCAATAACAGTGAAAATAATGTAGTCGTACATGTACCTTCCCATAGAATTTATTAAAACAGTGGGATCGTCCGTAAAAGAGAAAGTATGGTCACATTTTTTACTTCAGAATTTCTGGATGGATTGCAGCCAAAATTCGTAGATCTTACACGATGCGTATATGCGATTCTTTACTGCATTTGCCAAGTGTGTTACAATCTATAGATGTTGATTTTGAAACACCAGCTCTTCTATATCAGACCAAATTTGCTACTCCATGACATAACCCTATATAATGATTGGCGCATGTTCAGCAGCGGGTCTAGAAGGGGGGTCCAAATTACGGTGCCATTCACATTCCCACCTCACAATAATGTCAACAAAATACGTAATAAAATGCGCAAAATAAACAAAATAACACTGGTGAGGCGCCTCATAATGAATCACAGGATTTACACCACATCTTGACAATATATGACTGTCGGGCCGCACAGAAGGCATAATGCCGAGTGAAATTGGTTGGGGTGCCCAAAACGGCACGATTGGTTGGGTAGCTCATCCCAGAGGGTCGCCCATAATGCTGAGATTGGTGGGCCGCCCACAACGAAATCTACCATAAGAAAGACAGCTGGAGATTGTAGGAAATTTTCCAGATAAAATTCACGATGAGGATGACATTGATTCAAGCCCACACCAGGCGTGATAATCTTCAAAATTCAAACAAATCGCACTGTAACCCGATTCCGAACTTTTCGTTTTTATACGCCTACATTGAAACGTCTTCAGGCTAAAGATATATCCGATTGACTTGAAATTTATACATAGTGTTTAAGATCAGAAGACAAAGAATCCTATTGATTTTCAGCGTTTCTGATAATTACAGCCAGAGTTATTGCCCGTGATCACTTTGAAAAATCTTGTGTATGCTCTAGCGACTAGAGTTAATATAAATTGATACACAATGTTTAAGGTCACGAGACAAACAATCGAAACCAATTCTAATGATTTCTGATAATTACTTAATGGGTTGTTACCCCTAATCAGATTTGCACGTGTTGTAAATGTTTTCAATACTGACAAAAGAAAAAAGAATGCGACAACCCTTGTTGACCACCCGACCGGTGTATGTTTTGTTGCCTGGCAACCTATCTTTCTCATAAATTATTTTAGGTACGCTAAAGTCGTATTCCTTCCTTCAAATTTTTATAATGTTTATATCAAAATATAATACTCAAATTCCATCATTCCAGTTCCTCTCTACAAGCGCAAACCTTATTTTCCAACATTTTCTGGGGGAAACGGGGGAGAACCTTTGACCCTCTCTGTAGTAGGGGGGGGGGGGGCGTGTCCTGCCGTTCGCCGTGGATCGTCCAGTGTAGGATGACCCCCCCCCCCCACAACACAACCCCCGAAGATGCACAATGCCAAAGCTCATGAGGCATCAACATTTCTATTCTATTTATGCGGACGGATAGAAACACCGAATACAATTTGGCTACCTATTCGCCTGGGACATGGGCCATACCGTGTCGTACGTTCAATAAACTTGGGTTGTGGGGGTGGGGGGATTTTGTTGGTATATAACGCGCTGCATTTGTTGCTTTCCACCTGTAAGCTTTGATATTGCACTGCACCATTTGTTCTAATCCCACGGGGCATCTATTCAGCTCGATAAGCAAAGGGCGGTGAATTGATAATAAAGAGATAATTGGTTTTCTTCTAAACTCATTTTATCACAAAATATATACAACCAAAAGGGTAAAAACTATACACATTTTCAAGTAAATATCATTAATTGTATCGTTGAAGTTATAAATTAATTTAATTTAATGTTATAAATAAAATAATTTATACCGTTACATTTATTTACATTATGTACAAAATATATGTTAGCTCAAATCATAAAGAAAACTGTATTTTAAAACAAATATAGGACTAAGCATCAAATTTACAAAGTAAGAAATATGACATAAGAATCGTTGTAAATCTAAAATTTAACGGGAATACATTTCAGCTTTTCTTAGATCATAAACATCCTTTCGCTACTAAATCCATAGTATTTGTAGGGCCGAGGTTCCTTTTCAAAATAGGTTCTTCCCAATCGCCCAACGCTCCTCCAAACAAAAACACCATTATCTCAATTCACCTTTTAATCACCATATTATGTAGATAACCTGTAAATAAAAAAAATCATATTTTTAACAAAACTCGTCAGATTCGGGGATAATGTATTTACACAAGCTACAATTAATATATATCAAAAAGTACAATTCGTTAGCCGTGTAATTTTTCAAATAAATTAGAAATACATGAGGATTACGAAAGTCTTGCGAATATTCACTGCTGATCGGTGTGGCACCAACCAAACAAAAACTGTTACTAAACTACTCTTTTATGCAGATAAATTTTATTATGATAAAGTATTGTCTTATGTGTAATTATTATAATGATTGATTGCACAGTTTGTTTACAGCTCGTTAAATTTATTCATAAATTAAGTAATCGATCGATCATTGTCTTCAACGGTTATAATATTATTCGTTCTTGTTTTTAGCTATCGATTGTGAAACTGATGGCAGAAATGTAAATCAATTTAGTAGCGCATGTTTTTTAAATAAGAAAAGCGTCTTTCACAAAATTTACTTTATCAAAAGGTAGTGATCAAATAGTTAAACAGTTCAGCATGAAAGCAATCACTTTTCCCATTCTATGTTGAAAAAAATTTACTAAAAAATAAAAAAAAGATATTTAATGGAATAAAACAACTCACCGATTATTACATGGTAGTATCAGCCATCTTATTCTCTAAAATTCGTCCGCCTTTAGCACCACCATTAGCTGCATCACCATTTAGATCATATCTTATAGCGCCCCCTACTTCTCGTTCATTTTTTTCCACGGCTTTATCGTAAACACCTTCTGTGTTGGATTCTTTAAAATGGTCCAGTTCTTCAGCACTGTGGCGTATATTCTGGCAGTATACAACGTCATTGAAACCAGAGAAGTCCACGTGCCATCGACCATTGCCCAAGTCGTACTCTTCAATTCGTTCAAAACGGTGACCCCAAAGAATCTCCCGGGGCGTATACGATGTTCTGGCTTCACAGACTTCACCTGTAGCTTCAACGGTTCCAACAAGGAAAATGATCAATTCGTATTTCTCAGAACACAGATCAGAAGGTCGGATGTTCCAGAAGGGACTTTCAGGGGTGATTCTGTGAGACAGCGTCATTGGCCAGAGAAGGAAAACTCGGTCCCTCATGCCATTAGCCTCGAAATCAACAGCCGTCTGGTACAGTGGATACGTCACGCCTTCTTCAGTAACGTGTTTACGAACAAGCATGCCTTGAACTGAAGCTTCGATAAGATGCGATTTACGCATGTCACCAACTCGAACCTGGAGGCAAAGTCCACCATCTTCCTGGCAAACAACGGCATTCTTACTGAGCATTAAGGTTTTGGCGCGGTTCTTCGGTCGTGCAATTTTGACAAAGATGAAACCTAGCAAAAATGATTCGAGAAAGAATCCAATGGTAACTTGTAAATAAATTAGTGGAAGTGTCCCTGCACAATGTGCGTTCGGATAAGCGTAACCATAGCCAATCGTCGTCTGTGTTTCTATGGAAAACAAAAGAGATCCGGCAAAGGATTTAACACCGAGAAGACATGGCACGTGTTTAGGATTGTCTAAATTGTCAAAATCTCCATTATTGTGAGCCATAAGCCACCACAATACACCGAAAATTAAATAAGTTACTAAGAAAACATTAAAAAGAATAGCTAATGCGTAACGCCATGGTATGTCTATAAGAGTTATATACATATCTGCGAAATATTTACGCTTATGTTCACTGAGTCCTGTATAGTTAATTCTGTAGCCACCTTCTTTTTCTATCAAAGCTTTTCTCTTCCCTTCCACATCCTGTGTTCGTCCACACCGAAACCGTAAACAGTCCAAAAATCTTTCACATTTTGTCGGCTTCTTAATTTTCTTCTTGTCTGGAAACATGTATACGGTACTATCCTGTGGTACGGACATTTTTAACTGTTGATCTTAGATTTGAAAAAAAAAGAATGAAATAGTAATCGTTATCAAATTGATGTGCGGTCGTAGCGCATGTCCCAGTAAAACTCTAAATTATGGTAGTCGATTTAACTTTTGATCAATTCGATAATCGTTTCTACTTTGTCCGCGTTCAACTGCCGTCTGTGAAAGGAGCACTGTTGTTCGTTGATGCTCTGGTTGGAATCGTCTGCACCCTTTAGAAGGGGAGGTCCCCGCCTCATCCACGTAGCCTGTCAGCCGCGAGCAGGCGTCATAAAATATGACCGATTGTTTTACAGGTGTCAAGTGACGTCACACCATGTAAGAATCATTAAGCCTATCATTATATACATTGTATTCGTATAGACCATCATTTATGTACGTCATAATTTTATATTTTGTGGTTTGTATGCAGTTAACCGTTAAGGGGGCGTTCATAATTGTCGACATTAACAATAGAGGCGGGGAATATCTAATCATAATATATCTTTGTGTCAATGTCAATTTCATATGTCTTTTCCAATTTCTTTCAATACGTCAATCATATGAAATCTAAACTTGTGACGAATGTGACATCTAAAATTTAAAACGGTTCCTTCATCATATTATAACGCAAAAAGGTGCGGAAAATGACTCGGTGATAATATATATCTTTTATAATCTTGTCATTTTTAATGATAAAGTATTTTAAAGAAAATCTTATTGGCCACCCTATGCAACTTGCAATATTAACAGATATTTATGCAATTGGTATCAATATATTTAATATCAGTATATGATTTTTAATAACGCCTTTGTCTGCCTAAATTCTAATATTTTTTTTTTACCATTCATGGTTACCATTACAAATATGATTATTTATCTATTTATTTTCTTTACTTTTAAAAGTGAAATTATATTTGAATTACTTAAGTAAAATTCTCAGTTTGAAAAAAACAAACCTAACAAATTTTAAAAATCATCAAGTCAACAGTTTCTTAAAATACATTTGGAGAAGAAGAAAACGTTAATACCTAGATGAAAATCAAATTTAAGAAATGTTCACCCAGATGTTATTTGATATAACGTATTTGACCACGGTGACAAATATTCAACTTTAGAGTTTTACCTATAATGTTTTCGACTAGGTGAGAAGTCTTTAATTTTTAATAACATTTTTTCGTATGTTTTTACGTGTATTTGATTTTTATTTGTTCGGTTATCTTGCTGTCTTAAAAAATTTATGTATTTGAATTATTTATTGATCAATATACTATTATATTTTATTTTTTCAAACAATTAGTAAACAATGTATCCATCAATATATTATACACTAGATTCTTTATAAATTTTTGAAATATCTCTTGCGTTATGTTCGAATGTTATACGTAGGTCTATCTCTATATCGAGTGATCTGCATATTGAATAAATATTATCATTATTATACATAATATGGTCATTTATTATTATTTAGAGAGTATTTGCCAAGTCAGCAACTGTGTCCGGTGGACAGGGTAGTGACAGCCCCGCGCTCTTGTACTTTCTAATTGTACTTTTGTATTGTTTTCTGATTAATGTGAAAAAAAATCGCCAAATTATAACTTTTTTATTCAATGATATTCTGTTTTCCAGAAGAGAGAATATAAACAAAAGAAATAAACATGATGGATCAATGTATTTTGATTGATATTAGTCTAGAATATACGTGTCATATTTATAGGTCTGATCCTAGCAACCTGTAACATCATCAAAGTAAAACTATTTTGTACCTCGAGACAGATATTAAACTTTTAACGCGAAGGTTATTTATATTTCTTTCAATATTACTTTATGTTTTGAGAGTATATCTAAGTCCCGTATTTCTCGCATGCATCTATCATCAAATACTGCACCAAAATAAAGGCAATAAATAGCACAATTAAATTTCTTGTTTAAAACACTGGTTATTGTGAAATTATTTGAAAATTTATAAGTTCAATCGGTTGGTTTTCTGCAGCGAACAAAATATTCTATAGCTTATAGTCGGTCACTTGGCGTCGCAAGATTGAGTTTTGATTTTGAGCTAAGAATTTGTCAGAAAAATAAAGAGTTTTGTAGATGTAATGGACACGGCTAGATAAATATGGTACATGTGTGTGCAAAATATGGAATTTGTATGGTTTAGAACGTTTATATAAAAATGCAATAATTTTAATTGTCAACATCATCATTAAATTCGGTACCAAATACAGATTAAGTGGCACCATTAAATACCATCTAAAAAAACTGATAATCATAAAGTTATTTTAAAGCCTTGCTTTCCAATAGCGAAGACATCCACAGACAAACTTTCTATTTTATATACATGTATATAGATTTTTGCCAGCAAACCAGTTATAACTTAAAAGCTTTGTTTTAAATTTTTTTTTTTTAAATCTGGCCAAGACATCGTGACAATTGCTTTTCAATCAGTCAAATAGAATTTTTCATTCCATGTCTTTGTTTTTCCTGGCGTATTGCTTAGAAATCAGTGCAAATCTCATTTATATAACAATCTGAGAAATCAACCATCAATTATAGTTTGATTTACCAAGACATAGAGATTGCTTTTTTTATCTTTCAAAAACAGTTATTTTAAGATGAAAACATCATAACGATCAATCTTAAATGTTCAAATAAAATTTTCATAAAGGGGAATTTTTTCTTAAATTCAATGGGTCTGCGTGGAAGCATTATTTTCATCTTGTTTTTATATTATATACACTCTGTATATAAGAAAATAAATATTTTTGGCGTATATTAATCTATGTAGCACTGTTACACCATAACCTTGGATTTATTATAATTTTATTATCACCCATTTTCCTTTTTGCGTCACTTATTTGGAATGTAATTAACCAATTCTATCGCATGTAAAATACGTGGACGCCGGTAAAAGCTGTGACATTTGTCACGCGTCCAATCCGAACAACTAGGCATTGTCCTTGCCAGGCCCTCAGCCATGCATATCAGACAAGAAAAAAATTGGAAACATGCCCGGAAAATACTAGGACTCAGAATCGCCAAAAGTATTTATACTAAAATTCATACTGGTCCAAACATTATCTATTATGGATATCGATACATTACATTAGTTTATAGTCATTTTACAAAACCATGTCTAAATTTTTTATATTTGTGTATTTTCTGTATAGTGACTTAAGAACCCCGGTCCAACTAGATAAAACAAAACAGTTATAAAAGTCATTGAATCTCGGCGAAATGATCAACTTAAACCCATAAACCATATCTGGATTTCTTTAACAAAAGAAACTTCTTAAAGATTATAATCAAGGGCGATATAACTTGGGATAAGAACAATAGGATCGCCAGAGGCACCTCATGACGAAAAAACAACACCACATAGAAAAAACGGATCAATCATTATTAACTTGTCATATCCATCACATGACATCATATAGACTTATTGACAAGCAAGAATGAAAACTGTCAAAAATGACACGACATAAAAATTTACAATAATGCATCACTGGTTATACTTTAGATGGCGTGAATTAAAGGTGTTCCGTGGCAACACGGTGTAAAGACATTCATTTTATATCAGACACGGGAAGAGAAGCATTTCAAACGGAGACGCAAATCTCGACCGGATCGAACGCGATTTGTGCCTTAGCTTAAAACTAAATTATATATTGTGTGATTCTTGAACTATGACAAACGAGACTGATTTGAAAGTGAACATTTATGAAGACGATCCCAGATGGGAAGAATGCAAATTCCAAATACTAAAACAAAACAGTATGGACCAAGGAAAGAAAACCAAATGGGGTCGTAAGTTAAAACCAAGAAGGAATTTGATTCGCAAAGAGGGTCAGTGTAATGTGGCTTATAGAGGAATCCCCAACAAAAGAATGCGATTCCTGAAGGACTTTTACGTCACCCTGGTTGATATGCAATGGCGATGGGCTACCCTGTCTTTATTTGGTGGTTTCTTAACTTCATATTTTGTCTTCGGTTTCATATATTGGCTGGTTTGTTACACACATGGAGATTTCCATAATCTTGGTAACGCGGATTGGGTTCCTTGTATAGAAAAGGTTACATCATTCTGGGACTGCTTCCTGTTTTCGATTGAAACCCAATCAACTGTAGGTTATGGAACGTTGTATCCCCAACCAACTTGTCCAGTAACAATTCCTCTAGTGTATTTACAAATGACCCTTGGATTCTTAGTGGAAACTGTCATTCTTGGATTCATGTTCGTTAAATTCGCCAGACCAAAGTACCGACGTCATACACTTCTATTTTCAAGGAGCGCTTGCATCAGCAAAGAAAATGGCGCACTGAGTCTCCAGATTCGCGTTGGCGATATGCGACGCACGCATCTTATCCAAACACGTATCCAGGCCATGTTGGTACGTAAACATATATCAGAGGAAAGACAAGTTTATCCTCTATATCAGCACAGACTGGACGTAAACGCCAATGGTATGGAAGATACTCTTTATTTAATGTACCCAGTGGTTGTGCGACATGTTATCGATGAAAAAAGTCCTTTGTGGACGATCAAACCCGAGGAACTTTGCTTGGACAAATTTGAAATTATCGTAGTACTTGAGGGAACAATTGAATCAACTGGTGAACTGTGTCAAGCCAGAACATCTTACAGTGCCAAGGAGATTCTCTGGGGACATAGGTTTGCTAGAATGGAAGAATATGATGAACGTAATGAAATATGGTGTGTTGACTTTGTTCGGTTTGATAACGTAGTTCCTCAACCAACACCACGTTGCTCACCACAAGAAATGGAGGAACTGTATGGCCGAGCAAAATTACAATTAGCAGAAAAAAGTGCCAAAAAGGCCAGTTTGCGTCGTCAAAGACCCCGCTGCGATAGAATCTCTATTGGTTCTGTAGATTCAGATTTCAGCACTGCTTCAGAAGATAACTCTGACGTCACTTTACAGACTACAGCCGACGTAAGGTAATTTACCGTTACAGTTTAAATTTACTTATTACGAGTGCGGGCTTTTAGTTTGTTACCCATTATATTGGTAAATGCTAATTGGCTTATTTTCATGGGGGGTTGGATGGCTGAATGGTTAGCGTGCTCGCTGTCATTGAGTCGACTGGCGTGGTTTCGAATCCCCGGTTGTACGTGGCAAGGAGAAGGGTCGCCTGTCCAACCTCGTGGGTTTTCTCCGGGTCCTCCGGTTTCCTCCCACTGCTAAAGACTCCTACGCGCAAGCGAATTATGTAAATAAAATTAAACCATATGTTAGTCCCGAAATGACCAAGTTTGTTTCGAGTGGACGTTAAACCCCATTTCTCTCTCTCTCTTATTTTCATATGTGAGTCACAGTTGCTCGCTAACCAGACGGTCCCGGGTTCAATCCCAGCGTTGGCCGAAAGGTACCGCTGGATTTTCCAGTATGGTTCCCCTTGTCAGTAGTGAACGACGGAGGGCTTGGCAAGGAACATTGTCACTTCGTTCGTATGGGCCCAAAAACGAGGTACACATTGGCGTGGACGTAAAAGAACCTCTGACAATTGGAGTTCGACGAAGTGTAGGCAGAAACACTACATGCCCTATATCTGTCTTCATTAGCCCGATAACATTATTGCATATATGATTTCCTGAAATAGCTGGGCGTGTATTTTTTTTATTATTATGCCACTCCCCAAAAGCCAAAGACCCCATTACATTATATATTTATTAAAATATACAAACACCCAGAATGGTTTTAGGTTCACTGACGCAAAACAACGCCACTGGTTAATGCTAACGTGTTTTTTTTATTTGCAGTTGAAAAATGGGAGCAGTACCACTAATACCAAAACTTGACATAAAGTTGGAAGAACTTAGCAAATTAGAAGATGAATAGATAAATTCGACCGTGTGGGGAGACATAGCAAGAATATTTTAAATTTTGAATGCTGTGATGAACAACGCATCTAAAATCTATGGGAATTTTGTATAAGTACTTGTACCTTTATAAATAATTACAAATCTAAAAAGAACTGGCATTAAAAATGTTCAGTGTTTTTTTTTATTTATTTCTTTTGTGTTTTTGAATTTATCCAGTTTATTTATGTATTTGTAAATATAAATGTAAGATATTGTATATTTATGTAAATATGTTACTTTTAAATAAATACTTCAAACATTTCAGCTGTTTTTTTTTTATTTTCATATGTATAAACATAGCGGGTTTTTTTTTATTTCCACATGTCAATATTTAAAATCACCGTACATATTAGTGAACAGGATTGGCTGTTCTTTTTTTTTGGGGGGGGGGGGGAATTTAAATAGATTCCGTGTCAATCAGATGGGAACTTTGTTCTGGAGGATGTTTATATGATTTTTCAAAGTGATCAAGGGCCATATCTCTGGTGGTACTTGTTGTTGAAAATCAACAGGTTGAACGTCCTCTCGACACAAACCAGATCATTTCGGGAATAACATTTAGTTCAATTTTATTTCAATAATTCACGTGACACTGGTGGACCCTATCCTCGGCTTTCTACGGCTATCTGTACCGGAGTTCTCCTTCATCCCCTCTTTGCCGAACCTAGTGAACGCGATAGGTTTTAATGACAATGTGTCATATCTATCGGAAAGCATCGGAGGACAGGAGAGGACAAGTCCTATCAATAATAAGTTCAACGTGAACTTCAGTCCAGCCGGAGTTACCAACACCCCCACCCTTCCCCTTGCCGAAAACCCTGTAAACGCGATAGAGGCTATAGTTTTGCACTGACCCTTTTTCATCAGCGTTCGTCACTTCGGATTGTTGAAACCTGCATTACGCATCTATCGTAGCAATGATCTCTGTGTTAAGATTATATTTGGAACGTGTTTAACCAGTTTTATCACATATGTGATAATGACTGACACCAATATTGTCTTTTAAAATGTTATCCAGACACGCTACGGGTCGTGGGCATAGTAGTCTAAGGGAAATAACTCCAAAAACTAGTCTTTTCAGACGGACACAGATCACTAAAGATTGCCCCATTGACTCCAATGTTAATTCTCGTATCTTAGACCGGCTCTAACTTTTTCCCAAATTTTCGTTGGGTAGAACGCTTTCTACCACAGATGGAGCAACATGTGGCAACCACTTGCCCAAAAGCACGTATGAGGTTCTTCATGAAAAACTTGAGATACACAAGCTGGAAGTAGAGACAAGTAAACATGCAATTTCAGGCCCTACATTTCAACGTAACCAACCTCTCAACTCTTGTATCCTTCCGCATCAAAATTATGAATATTCACCAAAACCTGGCAGAAAATGTATTTTCAAACCCTTTTCCTCGATTCTACACCAAAAAGTCAACAAAAATCGCCATGCAAAAGGGGGAAAAAGGAAAAGGGAGAGGAAGACTAAAAATAGCTTTGGCCCTTGTTTCGTGATCTGTGTCCAGACGGAGGGACCCCACCATAATATTTGCTCATTCACTTCAATGTTAATTCTAGTCTTTGTCCGGCTCTAACTTTTTTTCCAAATTTTTGTTGGGCTGAATGCTTTTCACTACAGACAGAGCAGCCAATGGGTATGTCTTTGCTCAAAGGTTGGTATGAGATTGACGACAGAAAGTTTGCGATACACAAACTTGGAAGTAGCATTCTAAACTATCCGCCGCAGCCTACATATCTCACAGTAACTAATCTCTAGTCTAACTCTGTTACCGCCAGTCTCTAAACCCAAAAGCTATCAATTCAACCCTTTAAAAAAGGGGGTGGGGGAAAGAGGGGGGTGGGTAACGTCCCACACAAACCAGGTCATTTCGGGACTAACATTTGATTCAATTTTATTTCAATAATTCGCTATATACTGGCTGACCTTATCTATCCTCAGCTTTCTGCGACTTTCGGTTCAGGGGATGAACCAAACCTATTGATAATCATGATATTCTGCGACCTTTCACCCCACCCCTAATCTTTTCGAAAAATCTCGCCTGAGCACAATAGAAGCTTTTGTTTTGAACGGATCTATTTAAAGCATTGGGGTGATGAACCCTATAGATATTAAGCTTTCCTCGATTTCAGTTTGGTTTGAAGGACAACCCTATCGTTATTCAGCCGCGTTTTTATAATACTATGTCCTAAAAATTTGCCATTTATAGTGTCCCCGTGCAGTGAAAATTTTCCCTACAGAAAGTTGAACTCGACATGCCGAATGTCCACGCTTCAGTGGCTTGTCTCGAAGTAATTTCTGGCTAATCACGCAGTGCGATGATATTCAGCAGAAACGAGCGATTGATTGACTTAGTGTCTTTATAGAACAGAATGTCAACATCCGCATGTGCACACTTCACAAGACAGGATGGAAACCATCCCATTATATTTGCATTAGACCGACTTTTTCGCCACAAACTCGTACATGGAAAGCAGGCTTTAGTATTTTATGTAGATTTATTAGAAAATGCACTTCCGCAATGGAAAAAACAGTTTGCCAGGCAATGGATCATACAGACATCCTGATCTTTGTAGAATATCACTGGTATGTTGACATATTCAAGAGCAACAACTATCAGAAAATACACACAAGTTTACGAATTAAGAACAATGACTCTAGAAATTAATTAGTGAGCAATAAAATCTGTCATATTGAATAATGCATACAAATTTGAATAATGCATACAAATCTGAATTGATTTGAATAATGCATATAAATTTCGATTGATTTGAATAATATATAACTTCAAATAGGATTCTTAATCTCAAAAATGAAAGCAATACACATATATTTTAAAATATGGGACAATAAATGTAGATTGAAGAGTATTCACAAGAAACCGTGAAAAACGGACAGACAGCAATGGGTCAAAATTATATCTTGATAATCCATTTTAAATCTGATGTTATATCATTGCCAACATGCCAAATGAGACACCGATATTCAAAACTATCCAAATCAATTGCACATCAAACAGACAATTACCACCCAACTTGCCCCATTAACCGGTTTAATTTGTATTTAATACAACAACAACGGTAGGTTTTTTTTTTATATTTGTTTATTTTTTTTAGTTTTACAAGCTTCCTCCTTAGATTATACCAATCTGAAAGAAAAAAAAAGGAAATAATAAAATTTAAAACACTAGTCATATGAATATAGTGTAGTTAATGATAACATATAAACAATTGGATTTTATTATTTTGTCGACACAATACTTCAGTTATCTTCTGGCTTATGTTCCTTAAATTTTATTTTATTATGTGCAATGTTTACTAGGGGTAATTCTGTCTAATCTTCTTCAAATTTCAATTGCCAACAGTTCTCTTAGAAACATGTCAATAGTTCTTATAACCGCATGGTAATGTGTATTTTTGTCATCTCTCTCTAAGCCTAATCATCTGGGTCACGACTTTCACGTAACACACATTTTCAACAATCTACCTCATATTAGCATACTCCCCGCAGTGTTTCGTTTGATTAGAGCTAATCCAACTAAACACTGCTTTAATGGAAGCAAATTTCTGTTCCAAATTATGACTGGTCAATAGTCCGATTAACAACCAATAGCTAACTGCGTAACAATATGATTACGCTTTAAACAAAGCTCCAAATTGGACCAAATATGTTTACATAACGTTACGTCAGGACTCCCGATTTTATTATGCCCAATTAACCAGTGCATAGCAGAATATTGCAGACAATCTAATTGCGTGACAAACGAGGCTATCAACATGGATAGAATGTAAACAATACTGTATGTAGACGAACAAGACTTGTCCAAAGTTTTAGGGAAGACCTCAGATTAAACGAAGGGCTGTCATGTTGCTGTACTTCGGATAGATTTGACTGAACGGGAAGAATAGACACACTCCCTCAATAGCTCAAGTATCAGAAGCCAATCCAGCAATGGGCAGAGAGGGACTTCTCGGGTCATTGCTTCAGGAATATGCATATTAGAAATTGGTCATCACTGCGTAACGTAAGCCTAAAATGTTCATTTGAACAGGCTACCTCAATCAGAATCAGAGTTATTGTGTTCCAAAAAGTTTGACGAACAAGTTGGGATACAAATCAGCAATGTATTTATGAATCATAAAATTGACTTCAGCAGAGATCAAATAAACTGCATCAAGAATAATTATACTAGGCATATTATTGGAAATAGAGAATCAATTTTACTGAAACCAAATACTCACTTTACTGGCAATTTCTAAACCATCATAATCTGATGGAAGTCGTACATAAGCCTTCTTTTCTCCATCAGGTCTGAAATATACCAATACATCATATAATCTTATAGCACCTAACTGCATCATGAATTTAAAATTTGTCAGTATATAGAACACCAATCAAAAAAATATGTTCTCTCCAAGGTCACAAATTTGGGTTTCAGTGATAAGCTACATTGGTTTGTCTTTTTAGGTGAGGTGTGGTCATGGAGGTAGTGGAGGTAGTGGAGGTTTATCTAAAGTGGATTCTTCACACACACATACCCCCAACCATTCTTTTAATTTAGTACTACTTGGAGGTTTTTTTCATTCAATGTGTTTGGTCGGTCACAACCTTAACATCTCAAGGCAGTGCATTCTGAGCATGTGACGCCTGCATAATAATGTCCATGACTTTGATTAGAAGCTAATCAAGTGTCTGGATAATCAAAGTCTTTATTACAATAATAGACCACAATATCATACTCATTTTGTACTATAGTGTTTCATTTCGAGGTGTATCATTTCATGACTTATTTTCATTGTCTGCATTTAGTTACATGTATGTTACTTGTTGATTGGAGTAGGGAATTTATATGAAAACAACAGTTTGTAGTTTTTGTAAATAGGAATGTTGCATAGTATCTGTAGCAAGGGTGGGTTTCCCTTTTTGATTCTGAATGACAGAATGTGTATCAGGCACTTAGAACATACTCTCTGTGAGGTATAGCACTATATAAATGACATTACAATAATATTTTCTACAAACATTCAACTTACCTGATTAAAGTATTAACTTTAGCCACTTCAATTGAATATAAAGCTTTAACAGCATTACTAATAGTATATTTATTGGCACGTCTGTCCACAATAAAAACTAATGTATTATTATCTTCTATTTTCTTCATGGCTGTTTCAGTTGTAAGAGGATATTTTACAATCTTGTATTTATCTAGACTGAAATGAATTATTTCATACGTATAAACATGATTTTCACCTTGAATATATTTCATTTATCAAGAATAAAAATAGTTGTCACATAAAATGGCAATTTTATGATTATATTATTATTTGAATATTATATGAACACTTTTTATTAAAGATACATTATGGGAGATTCGATAACGAGTTGGCAGTTCTCCCTATAAATAATAGTTAACTAGATAATGTAAAGGCAATTTGCTGAAAATTTCATTCAAATTGACCCACTATGAACCGAGAACTAAGCGAATGAAATTTCCGCCTATCCTCGATCATCATTACTAAAGTCAGTACGATAAACAGCAGTCGCGATTATCCATTTAATCGTTAAATCATGAAGGAAAGTTATATGTAAAAAGTAAACATTTACTTCAGTGCACAACTCCACTGCACTCAAAATCATTTTATACATTCAAAAATGGTAGTCTTCAACCATCAAAAAAAAAAAAAAAAAAAAAAAAAAAAAAAAAAAAAAAAATTCAGCTATGTTCCAGTAATGATAGATGGTAGACCTGAATTATTCCTTTTGCTCACGTGACTTAATTGGGAGAAGTTGTCCCTGGTAAAACTCTTGCTGGAGGGAGCCTTGATTGTTTACTGCGGATCACATCTCCGATGTGTATAACATCATAATTTATTCAAGAACTGATCCAGGTCAGGGAAATTGTCTCTTTTGATTGATATATATTTTTTTTCTTTTTCGCTTGTATCTCCATTATTGCAAAACAATCACATGGCTATGTGTCCTCTGGGTTATTTTACACATGGATCAAGTATGCAGTCTAAAACAGATTGGTACTGAAAAGTACTTTCGTATCTTCGACTACTCAACACCCTTAAAAATGAAATGGGGTTTAACATGCTACTTTTCTGAACCAACTGAGCATTGTAATTGGAGTAGAGAAGGAACCCATAAGCGTTCAATACCCACAAACCAAACTAAATACTAACAAAATCTAGGGAATGTTCAATTTACTTACCCCCTTTTTGTTGTCAGACTTCTGGGATATTTAGGAGCTCGGGGCAACTTGAGGGTTTTGGGTCTCTTGAATGAAGGCGTTGTTCGAACCTTTCGGATTCGTTTTTGGTTGACACCTCTGAGCGCTGCCTTTTTGGCACTTAGAGCCTTTTCTTTAGCTGAGCCAGGTTTACCGGTCTGTTTTGTTTTTACAGGTTTTAAGTTGGCATCTTTGCCTTTTTTAACTGGCTTCTTATCAGATTTTTTCTTATCTGCTGGTTTTTTAGCAGCAGGTTTCTTCTCTGCTTTTTTCTCTTTCAGGGGCTCTTCAGCTTTAGGGGCAGCTACAAAATAAAAAGCAAAAAATAGGTTTAAAACGTAGTTACAGCAAATACAAGCCAACAGTGAGGCTGATGTCCCCCGCCAAAATACCAAAATAAATAGATGACACATTAATTTATCGCACATTTATTTTTTTTAAAGTATCAAGCAATCAAACTGATTATCAACTATACACTTAAGTTTCATCACTCTCTATCAAAGTTATCTTGTCCTAAAGCATCAACCAACAAGGCATTGACCTAATCAACACATACACCAAGTTTGAACATTCTAGCTCAATTAGGAAGAGAGTTATCGTGCCCCAAAGTATCAACCAATCAAATTGCTTATCTCTGCTTACCCTAAGCGGAAAATGCTCATCTAATCAAATTGCTTATCTCTGCTTACCCTAAGCGGAAAATGTTCATCTTCGAACTCCATCAAGGCATTGACCTAATCAACACATACACCAAGTTTGAACATTCTAGCTTAATTAGGAAGAGAGTTATCGTGCCCCAAAGTATCAACCAATCAAATTGCTTATCTCTGCTTACCCTAAGCGGAAAATGCTCATCTTCGAACTCCATCAAGGCATTGACCTAATAAACACATACACCAAGTTTGAACATTCTAGCTCAATTAAAAGTTATCGTGTCCCAAAGCATCAACCAATCAAATTGCTTATCTCTGCTTACCCTAAGCGGAAAATGCTCATCTTCGAACTCCATCAAGGCATTGACCTAATCAACACATACACCAAGTTTGAACATTCTAGCCCAATTAGGAAGAGAGTTATCGTGTCCCAAAGCATCAACCAATCAAATTGCTTATCTCTGCTTACCCTAAGCGGAAAATGCTCATCTTCGAACTCCATCAAGGCATTGACCTAATAAACACATACACCAAGTTTGAACATTCTAGCTCAATTAGGAAGAGAGTTATTGTGTCCCAAAAAGTGTGACGGACAGACAGACAGACGGACAGACAGACGGACGGACAGACAGACAGACAGACGGACGAACCCATTTTAATAGTCCCCTGCTTTCTTCGAAAGGCGGGGGACAAAAATGAAATGAACATGGCTACACTTGCAAGACCAGAAAAGCATGCATTTATTCCACTTATTGCAGTCAGGAAAATAAAGCTCTGATTTCCTATACCAGTGTTTCCACTAGTTTCAAAATTTACCAATACATTGTGTGAGTTAGACCAAAACATTGGTGCTAGTGTTAGAGTATTGGCAGTAAGAGTTTGCCTGAGCCCCTTAATTTGATGTTAAGGTTAGAAAAAAGATTACACTTTGGAAAATAAATTTTAAATTTGAAACTCATGGTCATTTTTCATAATTGGTTTGTTCTATCTACCTCTAAGTACATTGCTTGTAAAGAATTATATAATGCATACGAGACAAGTAGTTAAAACTTTATTTTTTTAGCTCTAACTTAACACTGACTCAATGTTTTGACCTCATCTAAATTTGTAACATTATCTTGCCTTTTAATTACTTAAGTGAGGTGAATCCAACACTTGTATCCTTCTAGTGTTTCCCTAATCTAAGCTCATAGAAGTTTTCCTATTTTTTTTAACATGGGCTCAAATAGGACACTACCTCTATTAGTGGTTTAACGTCCACTCGACACAAACTAGGTCATTTTGGGACTAACATATGGTTCAATTTTATTTCAATAACTCGCTTGCACGTAGGTCTTTAGCAGTGGGAGGAAACCGTAGGACCCGGAGAAAACCCATGAGGTCGGACAGGCCACCCTACTCCTTGTCACGTACAACCGGGGAATCAAAACCACACCAGTTGACTCAATGACAGACTTTATGATACAGCGCGCACGTGCTAACCATTCAGCCTACCCCGCTAATCCTATAAAAATAAGCCAAGGAATTATCCAAGCAGGATAAGTGGAAGCCATCTTCGGGTAACACTAGTGTTGTTTGGAGACTACCTTGTAATCTTATCCACAGTTGAATGACTATAATTACCTTCCTTTTCGGCTTAATACTTGATTTGAGATCAAAAGTTAGAAAAATAGTTAGACTAGTGTTACATTATGACATAACTATTTACTCCAACACTACATCTGACCTCACCCATTGTACCAACAGTAAATAGAAAAAATATTGTTCCAAAAATAATTTTACCAGTTTGATAAAAAAAAAAAAAAATAATACATCTATCAATCATTGAAACAAACCGGTCTTAACTGACCAAATCTCTTCATTGGCTTTGACATTTTTAAAGTGTCAGTTCATGTCATTCGGTTATTTACATGGCACTACTGAGATTTTAACTATCTTAAGACCTTGCCATGACTTTGAAATGCAATAAATGACAAGTTGTACATGTGGTTTAATTGTAAATACTTTGTCCAGATCACCTACAAATTAAGAATGAAATGAAATAGGATTTAATGTCCTACGTTCTGCACAGACTGGGCTACTGAGGACGGGCATACGTCATACAGTGTGCCATGAGAGGACTTTTGCATAAACAGCGGCACAACAGCCTACTCCTACATCAAATTCCAACTGTTGAGGGTTCTTTTTCGTGCACGCCAATTTGTATACTGGGCCTTATCCCCAGTGGTCTCTTTCCGTTCTCCTTCACTCCAGTAATCCCTGGGTTCATCCATGAGGGAGACACATATTCGAATTACATGTATCTGCCTTGATTGTGCTATTTTTATCAACTATTTAATCGCTAAATACATAAAAACTGACATAAAAACATTCCCATCAAAAAGATGTTTTAGGACATCTTTTTGTGTGCATGTCACTTATTTTATACTAAATTTCTTGTAAACTTTCTCATAAGTGAGAGAACGAGCCACCATATTGTTGTGTGAATATAAACAATGAAGCTAATATTGGTTTGTAAACAGATTTTTGATTGGGTTGTAAAATCAAGCTATGATCAAGTGCTGATAATCTGAATACATGAATACGCCATGGATGAACCCAGGTGTCAGGGTACGGTGGAGTAGAATGGAATGAGATCACTGGGGATACCGACTACGGAGGAAGATGGAACTTTGGTTTTTAAAAACACAGCCGCAACCGGTTAAGCAAATCTTTCACTTATATTATAATAATAACTTTGTCTATTTTAATATATTTCATCAGAACCTGTTTTTTTTTTCTGTTTGAGTCTTTGTTTATACAAAATTAATAAATGAATAAATGGGATTGTTGGTAATAGAATGCCAACAGCAAAGTAAACAAAACTTTGAGCAGGCAGGAAAAAGAAAATTTTAATTGCAATGCCATTCAAATAGTCATATGTTCTTTTTTCTGCAGGATATTCTTCATTAATATTTTTTTATGTACCCATTCACACTAAATTAAATTGCACTAAATAAAATAAAATCGAGAAATGGTCAAATATCCACTGCATGAACAATTTTTTTCTACTACTACTACTATTACAGAAATTCTAGTATTAAGTGCTGCACTGGTAGGGTGTCCCAACCAGCCAAAATTTGCTCTATTGAAAGTTGTACATGCTTCAGTGACTAGTCTCGAACTGCTTTCTGGCAAGGAAGGCAGTGAGAGAATAACTGGCAGTATAGTCAATGAGGTTATAACTAGCCATCGCATATGAAATTTTCAACACATCTACATGTATGACTATTAAATCCGTAAAAACCTATTGTTAACGATTCTGAATAACAATTATATTTAGCTGATTCGTTGTGACAACAGCTTTAGAAAATTACGTTCGTTTTGTTTTTTAATTTGCTATTATACCGTTAGTAGTGCTATCTTTTGGTTTAGTAAAAGTAATATCTTGGAAGCTCCTTCGTTGGGCAAGAATATCATACTAGTAATACTAGTAGTATTTTCCTTTTGTTTTTACAAGGTTCTCAAAACAATCTTGAGTTGCCTAACATGCGTGTTTCTAAAGTAGATTTAGTGATCTAGCTTTCTGTAACGTTTCGTAGAAATAGTCTTGATTATCCTGGTTAAGAGGGACTAATTTCATATCAAGGGTAGATAACCTATTTTGGACTCAAGAATGCCCGGATTCAATGGCATCGGATTGACAACTTTTTCAGTCTATTTTGTTTTGTTGATATTAAATGGTTATAACTTGGTACATACCACACAACTGTTTATTTAGGGACTATTAATGTGAGATACATGTAGTAAGTTAATCATACATTATGCAAGAGCTAAATCTGTCTTTTGCAGGGTCTTTTTTTTAGGCATGAAATGTTATCTAAATTATTAATTAGACATTAATTAACCTATCCAGATCATAATCAACTCTAGATGGCATCGCTAGTCTATCTTTAGTGGATTATGAGCCGATTTACTGCATAACTTTCCTACACGATTTAAAGGAGCTAAATCGCTAATATTTAGGACCTAGAAATTTACCCAAATGGGTCGAAACGCATATAATAATGTAATCTGATTGTATATAAACTGATTTACATTCAATTGTTTCCTTTTTGACTCAATTTGAAATCAGTTATGTCCAGCGAAATACATCAGTGTCTCAACCCTATAGCAATTTCTAGGGTCTGGTTATTCCAGTCTATTAAGCAGGCTCTCAAGTTGAATATGTCTAGCCTTGTTCTTTCTGGTCACTTGTTGCAAATGACGCTAAAATGCACTATGGTACACGATTCGTGTATCAATGGTAAAATGTTTATTTTGTCTTGAATATTGGATATCAGAAGCCTGCCTTTTGCCTGGTAAAAACACAGAATCAATGTTGATTTGAATTGACAAATAATTCGTATTTTCAACGTGTAAGACTTTGGATGATATTGAGTTAGAGACTTAGCTACTTTAACAATTAAATGGATAATCGAGACTATGCTGTTTATCAAACTGACTTTAGTAATGATCGAGGCTAGGCAGAAATTTCAATCGCTTAGTTCTCAATTCATAGTGTATCAATTGGAATGAAATTTTCAGCAAATTGCCTTTACATTATCTAGTTTTTAACTATTATAGTGAGAACTGCCAACTCATTATCGAATCCTCCATAATGTATCTTTAATACTTATTGTATATTTGTCGAAATATATTTGGAGATATTTAATTTATTTATTTATTATGGTGGGACACCCTAGCATTGGAGATAACTTTTAATGTATTGGTCATAGGTGGTAAATTTATATATATATATAGCCTATAGCACATGATCAACTGATGCATAATCGATGAGTACCAGTATTCGTTCAGAGTTACTGTTACAGTCAAGTTCAGTTTATTTATATTTATTACATTTTGATTCCACACGTGCAAAACATCCATGTTTTTTATTCATTTATGCCAAATTCTGAGAGTGAAATAGGCAATCCTAATATATTTAATGGAATAAACGCATATTGGGGCTTTCGAAATGTGACTTTAACAAAATTTTATTTCAGCAGGAAAGAGAAACAGGCATATAAAGTTATCATACTCGTTGCTGGCTTCTTCTTAGGGGCCATGTTGACGGTAAAAGGAAAATTTGGGGTGTTCAACTTCCGCAGCACGATGCCCAAAATGTGAATGCGCAAGTTCAATGAAGGAGTTCCCTATATCCGTTTCCGGAAGGAATTCCTTGACATTTACGAAAACATTCTTGCCGGTGGTCTATAATAATTGTTCATTGTTACAGACAAAACAACAAAGTTTTATTAATTGACAGTTTTGGTAAATGGTAATTTGTTATTTTAAGATAATAAAACTTATATGAATAATTTGTAATTTTAGACTGCTCTTAGTAACAGTAATTGAGTAATTGTGGAGGACCGCACTACACACAGGTTATAACTAGGCCTAATTATTAGAATTAGTAAAAACTTGGAAAAGATTGTAGCATATTTGCCATGTGGTTTGAAAAATTGAATAGCCTACCATGATACATGTATTTAGCTACAAAGTACTTTATTTTGTTATAGGAAGATTTATGTGATGATTTATTAATCTGAGAGCCACCAAAAAACCCTCAATCTATTCTTGAAAAATGTCTGCTGGCAGAACAGTTTTATCCAATAATGTGTCTAAGGACCGAGTTGTTTCGAAATTTCAACAGGTAATTATATATCAATATTTCTCAAAATATATTGGATTTCAGTGGTTTATTGATCTAATCTTACACTGGCCTCAGTATTGATGTCACTAACCATTTGTCTGATTTATCTACCTACAAAAAAAAATTGACCCTGCATAGCACAGGTATAGCAATGAACCAAAAGTAGCCTAACTTCGAAACCAGAAGTGGTAGGCCATCGTCAACAGGCCTATGTTACTCCCCGGTCCGAGCTACCCCTATACACCAAATTTCACGTCAGGACAGCCCTAGTCTAGCTGCCAACCCTGAACAGTCACAAATATTAGTATAGATGATATGTAAAGCATTACAAGGGTCTTTATTCAAGAAGTTAAATCTTTTTTTTATCAAATTTTATAAAATCAGGATTGAATTTAAAACATTTAAGCTCTGCGAATAACAGCCCAAATATCTTTGTAGATTATATTTATTCAGAATGTGTAGCAATATGTAGCTATGCTATATTTAACCCTAGCATTTGACATGAATATATCTGTGGTTTTTCAGGCCTATCATGCAGATGCTACACCATACCAGAAGATGAACTTTCATCCAAAAGTTAAAAGTGCTTGCTCTGAAAATAGAACAGGAACTGTTGGGTATGTAAGAATGAACTTCAATTTGTAACAGATAATCTAATTGATATTTTCTCGGTCAGTGTTAAATGAGGATATTGTTGTTGACTGTTTCTTTATAAATTATAGAGAATACTTTTCAGATTTTGATCCCTTCATCAACCAACAAAAAAGATTTTCATTTGAGTCTGGGGGGTTGAATGGTTAGCGCGTGCGTGTTGTATCATAAGGTCTGCCTTTAACAGCAACTTCATAAGATTTAGCTTTATTAACTTTTCCGAAGAAAGTATAACCACCCTGTTCATTCTTGATGTAATGTAGCTCTAGATCCAACCATTCGCCCTGTAAAGAGATTTGATATGACATTATTATGATATTCAATTCAAGTATCCAAACCTTTAGATTTATTGTCATTGAGTCATCTGGTGTGTTTTCCATCCCCAGTTGTACTTGACAAGGAGTAGGGTCGTCTGTCCAACCTCATGGGTTTTCTCTGGGTCCTCCATTTTCCTCCCACTGCTAAAGACACCTACGTGCAAGCAAATTATTGAAATAAAATTGAACCATATGTTGGCCCTGAAATGACCTAGTTTGAGTTTGTGTCAAGTGGATGTTAAACCCCATCTCTCTCTCTCTCTCTCTCTCTCTCTCTCTCTCTCTCTCTCTCATTTGAGCATAGATTTATGCAATAATTGCAATGTATCTCCTGTAATGTTTAAGAGTTAGGATCTAATCCAACCATTCTTCCTTATCACTAGCTTGATCTAATAACAAGTTAAACATTGACAACAAGATATTATTGTTCTGTATTTCAGATTAAAAATATCTAAAGCTGTTATTGTTGGAGATGTATCTGTGGGCAAGACATGTTTTGTTAATAGGTATGGTATATTTTAACATGTAGAAATATCCACCAAATTATCTCTTATAAGTTTGCTCCAGATTCTTTTGAAGTACTAAGTTATCTTTGTAAAGATGCTTTTGTTTGGAAGTGCAAGCCTACAACTATGATCTTCAAGTTCCAATCTGTTGAATTTGATATTTATCACTTGACTTTACTACACAAACAATTTCAAACATACAGTATTTTATGATGAGTCTGTACTTTACAATAAAATATTAAGTGAAATGACAATTGTACTCTTATAAGTTTTATTTACCGGTACTTCAGGGAAAGATTGAGTTGAATTGACCAAATGCCTCAATTACTTCATTATTTGTATATTTGCCAATGGCAGACGTTACTGTATTTTGATTATGGTCTGGATAAATTAATTAATGTCTAATTAAAATAATTTAGATAACATTTCAGGCCTAAAGAAAGAGCTGCAAATAGGCAGATTTAGCTCTTGCATACTGTATGTTTAATACTTTGAACAAAGATGAATCATACAATTATAGAATGATTTTCTTCTTTATTACAGATTTTGTCATGATGTATTTGATAGAGATTATAAAGCTACCATTGGAGTAGATTTTGAAGTTGAAAAGTTTAGTATTTTGTCTACAAACTTTACTTTTCAAATGTAAGTTTCTTTGAGGTTTTTTATTTATTGTTAGAGAGTTTGAGCGTGGGTTAGTGTAGGGGTCAAGTTGACAGACTTTGATACTGTTGAATTGTGCATTTAAAATAACTACATGTTCATTATATATAGTATAAAAATAATGAATATATAGATAATAAATTTTCTTTCTGTGAGGAATAACTTTTTAATACTAAAAACTGCTGGAGATTTTTTATTTTTTGTTTAACTGCACAGTTTTTTTTATTACTATGATACTAGGGCAATTTCTTTTTTTTAGATGGGATACTGCTGGTCAGGAACGATTTAAATGTATAGCTGCATCTTATTATAGAGGTGCCAATGGTAAGTATTGAAATGTGTCGATAAATCTCCCGTCAAAAGGCAACACCCAATCTGTTTCACAGAGATCTTTTAACATCTCTGTAACAAATGACCGTTTCGACAGGTGATGTCACATCACGCGGCGTCAATTGTTGGCTCAATAGCGCGTGCATTGTTTATGTAAGACGTTACTGATTTGGGCTAAATGGTGAATTTTACTTATTTTAATACCCATTTACACTAAATAGGAAATGATTTTTACCTACAAATAATTCAAGGGTCTTTATTTATTTTTTCTAATAAATGAAAAAAATGTTTTAGAATTTAATTTGACAGAAGAAAAAAGTTAATATTTGGGACTCATTTAGTCGCATCATTGTCATCCTTATCAGTGATTGTAGCGGCCTAGCGAAAATTCACTGCTGATCAGTGTGAGCAACACCTAGTAACTCACGTTTTTCTTATTTTGAGAAAAGAAAGGAAAACATAATGAATGAATATTAAACACCAGCTTATCCATTGATTTGACTATTGAGTTACTAGGTTTTTCTGTGGCATACTAGGCAATGAAGGAAGTTGCTAAGTTGTGTCATGGGTGTAACTGCTTACAAAATCAAAAGATTGGAATATCTAGTACAGCAACAGGAAGCACATACCCTAGTAACTACAAATTTGATCCTAACTCAATTTTGATAAAAAAGTGAGTTACTAGGTTTTGACTTTTGACGGGAGAAATGGAGTTATTTCCCTTGTTTTATTATTCCTAGTTTCATAATTTTGTTTTAGCTAATTTTAAAATAAATAGACGAAGTAAGAATTAATGTTGAGATGTGGCCTATTGTCTCTTCTTGTAGACCTAATTTAAACATCCAATATATACATGTTTGTGCTGTCATGTCGTGATATTTTATGCTATTTAGGTAGTCGCAATGACTCACCAACCGAGAGATCTGAGTTTCGATTCTGCTTTTCTCCGAGAAAACTCCATGGTATTTTACAGCTTGTATTCCCCTTGTCAGTTGTCAATGGTGTAGGACAGAGGGCCTGACCAGGAACAGTGTCTAGCCGCTTGGATATGACGAAAAATTGGGTCCTGTGTTCACAATGGTGTGAACATCCCTTCACAGATGGAATTCGAAATAAAGAGTAGGCCATAACCTCACTGCCTGGGCAAAATTGCCCTCATAGCAAACTGTATGGCTTACACCTGTCTTCATTAGCTTAATCAGTGCCGAAAAAGAAGGACATGAAACACCATTTCATGTCATTTATGCTATATAATTATATTTCTGCTTGATGTTTTGTTCAATAAAATGATTTTCCTTGTAGTTGTGATAGTTGCTTTTGATTTAACCGAAGAAGATTCATTAAATAATGTTGACAGATGGATGGAGGATGCATCCGAAAATGCTAGTGAACCAATTAAATTTTTGATAGGGAATAAAAGAGATTTACTGGTAAGCCCTTTCTTTTTTTATTTTGTCGTCAGTATTGTATTCATATGTGGCCGTATTTGTTATACTTACAATTCAACTAATCACAGAATGATTTTAGTCAAATGTCTGAACACAAATAAAAAAGTTATTAGGAAAATAGCTAAGAAGTTTTTCCTTTGAATGTCATGGCCAATCAAAATGATCTACAATATAGTTAAAAACAAGACATATGTATGTTCCTTGTAGACCACCATGCCTTTATTCTGGTGTTTTATAAAGCTATGTTCCTTTCTCTCATGTTTATGGATTATATCCTCTGTTAAAAATGATTAAAGATTAAGGACAAGGTGTTTTATCTATGTATTTCAGTCTGATGCAGCATATGAAGATATAGAATCTCGAGCTGTTGATGCAGCTAATAGACTTGGTGCTGAATATTGGGCTGTATCTGCTAAGACAGGTATGAAGACACTTATCTGCATTTATTGATATAATTTTGTATATACAATACTGAAATATATGTATTATCAAATAAACCCAGAAAAACTTAATATTCTTTTTATAAAATAATTGATTTTCTTTGGTTTTTGCAGGTGAAAATGTAAGAGAGTTTTTCTTCCGAGCAGTTTCATTAACATTTGATTCTCAAATGTTAAAAGAATTAGAATCCACAAGAACTGTTTCTTCTAAACAAATTGGCAATGATTTAATTAGTAAGTATGGTTTAATCAATATGTATCATTTAATTAATAAGTATCATTTAATTACTATCATTTAAAAAGGCACAGTATTCCAGACGTACAGACAAATTTATACTACAAGTATATTCTTTTCAGAAATATTTGAGAAACCTTTAGAAATTCCTCATTTTCAGTACGATATTATGATTCTCAACCTCTATGCATTTTTTACCGGACTGGATAATTTGACAAAACTCAGATACAACATTTTGACTATACTACCAAAGTAATATTGAATTTCTAATTTATAGTTTGTAAACGGCTTGTTTTGAACTGGTTATTATAGCAATTGAGACGAAAGAAAGAACTGTTTCCTCACAGTTAGATTAAAGTTACAATGAACAATGTATTATAATTTTTATGTAAATTATATTACAGGTTTACAAAAACAGAATACAAATTTATATGAAGCTCAGAAAAAAAAGAAATTAAAATGTTGTGATACATCATGATGACAAAGTTTCCATGTTGCTATTGAGTTATATATATTACAGAAAATAGGATATAAATACAAACTTTGGTTTGGAGTTGTATTTAATTAAGTCAGCATTGTATTTTAAAACTGACATATCATGTGGTGCCAGTTAATACTGATAGGATTGTACATTCTATTAGTGTAATATTCTAATCAAAATACAAATAAAATTTCTCTATATCACATACAACATTATCTAGCTCTAGATTTGTTTAGTAACACAATCTTGTAAGTATTATGAAATCTGTACTTCCTAAGATAAGGGTAGTGATCAACCCTTTCTATATATGCAGCTCCAATTGAGAAGGAGCAGACCAGAGAAGTTTTTTCTATTTCATGTAATAGAATATTTTTATGCAGATTTTTAATTCATTATAGTTGGAGGTACATGTTATTTGCTCTTTCTTAAATCTTTCTCAAAATGTATAATGGAGAATATACAGTAAAACTGGTCACAAAGATGATATCTATCCTAATCTTTTGCTTTAAGCTTCTACATTACTTTTTCAAGAAAACTTTTAGTACCATAATTTTGTTAAATTGAAACAAGCAAAAGATTTATTGGCCTACAGCAGAACATCATATAGATATCTATAATGTCCAACCTTCATTAAACATACATTATGCAAGAGCTAAATCTGACTATTGCAGATCTTTCTTTAGGCCTGAAATGTTATCTAAATTATTAATTAGACATTAATTAACTTATCCAGACCATAATCAACTCTCAATGCCATGACTAGCCTTCGATATTTACTGGATTTGAAAACATTTTGTGATGGATGATTTAAGGTCAAAATGGATAATTGAGACATTGTTTTTTATTGTACCGACTTTAATAATGATGATCGAGGCTAGGCCTAAAATTCAGAGTGGAGCAATTTGACTGACATTTTCAGCATATTCTCTTTACGTTATCAATTTTTTAACTATTATAGCAAAAAATATCAGCTCTTTATCTAATCTTACATAATGCCACTTTAACCCACTGGTTTGTGCAGAAAAGCAGGATGTTAAACCATATTTCATTCATTCATCATCCATAATGTACTCATAGATTGCACGAAGTTATTAGCGTAGAGCATAATCCAGCCAAATATCTGTTTTGTTTTTCTTGTTAGTTTATTTGTTATCTTGAAATGAATTTTTATCCTGCATAATATTGTGTAGATTTGTTTTAATCCATCCAAATATATCGGTAGATATATATTTAGCTAAAATTTTGATAATGGTTGTATTCAAGACAGGGTCTGCTTATTCTTTTCTTGAAACATACATTATAGCAGATTTTCATGTTTTTTCAGAAGTTCACATATATTATATTATAAAATATTTTGTTGTATATTTTTTTGCATTGATTAATATGCTGTTGAATATATAAATTTTATATAATCTTTATAATCCCATAATTGTACTAATGACATACCCTCTTATCTAGCTTCTTCTACAGTTATTTATATTATGCTATAGATAAGCATTTGGGTCAAATCCATGTTTGAGATTTTCCTAAGAAAAGACAAAACATTATAAAAGTCAAAAGTCTATTTCTTTTCGCAATAGGATACAAGATAAAAGAATTCAAAAATTGTTAGAATTTATTACCTATATCAAATTATTTTTATTATATAGTAAGTGAAGTGTTTAATATTTACTGGCATATTTATATGCTAAAATTATCCGCCCATTTTATATCAGATATAATTTCATAAACTCAATGTGTTCATTATTTTGATTTTTATAAATGTAAATTAAACATTATTTGGTAAGATAAAACTTGTTAATAGTTTATTTTGATTAAATTGTAGGGTCCTTTTATAGATCGTTTGTCCATTATCCTGGTAACAATATCTGTGTTTTCGATGACATTATTTGACCATGGATGACACTGTCCAAATTCTTGCATCAGTTGTTATGACCCTAGTCCTTAAAACCGTGTAAATGTCTTTAATGTATGGATGCCTCATTTGCATTAATCTCTAAATACATACTCAAACCCATTGTTTAACATTAAGAAAACAAAATAATATTACCAACGCTGGATAACCTCGAGGCTTGGATTCCCCCACAACAAAATGATGGGCCCCGGGGCCGGGGCAATTCTTATGCAATTCTTATTACATAGAGCAGCAAAGATCGATGAAATTTCAATTCAACGTGTCATTGTAAATACTGAACGGAATTGAATGATTTTTGGACTGATATTCGTAGTAGAGATCTATCTTTCACAATATTGTAATGTGCAAAGGATTCATAGGGGGCTAAGATTGTGCAATGCGACTTTAAAGACATAGGGCTATTTTGCCATATCCCCTTTCTGTGCAGGTCCAAGTGCTAACATTGATGGATTTCAACTAAATTTTTAGGTGGGCTGCTTTAGGCATTGCATGGCGCTTATACAGATATGTTGAAAGTTGACCAGGCTTACACACACGGGACGGGACGTCTAAATAATCCTTTACGCCTCAAATTATTATTTAATAGGTGGTGGTATATTGACGTTAGACTGTCCGTCTCTCCTCCCGTCTCTTCCCCAATGTTTTGTTTTCACCCCAGATACGTATCTAAAAACGCTGCTATATACCGATGTAGTTTAGCTTCGATTGGATGAATAATTTCTTTATTAAGGCATGTAAACATCTTAAAAATATGTTAATTTTATGCTATTGGGGTTAATTAAACATACCCGCCCCTATGTAGTGACACACTTTCGCTTTTTTTAACCGAACTGGACCGTTTATTCATACAGGTTCCTGCCCCAATGGCAACGTGAAGTTGGCACGTTATTCGGGATTCGAATAACAATTCGTGAATAATGAATAACGAGCCAGCACGTTATTCGGGATTCGTGAATAAAGAATAACGAGCCAGCACGTTATTCGGGATTCGGCAGTAAAACAGACCGACTTACCTTGCATCTAGAAATGGTTCCACTACTGATGTCTTCCGCCTTACTCCAGCCACAGCAGTGGCTCGTCCTACGGAGTTCCTTTGCGCATTTTTTAGTCAAATGACTACAAAAAGGTTACTGGCCTATAGCTCCCTGCACATAAACTGATCCAAAATAAGGTGAAGCCTTATACCGCATAATTATGATATGAAACCCAACTGCTACGCGAAATTTCTCGCTTTGAAAATGCATTACCACAAAGAAAAACTGCTCAGTAACTATTTTAGTGGTCCAGTCTTCACTATTTGTGATAGAATTACTTATTTCAATACAAACTGTAATGACATATGTGTTGACAATTGTGTGTAATTTGAACCTATTTGAACTTGCGTAAGGAGTCTTAGACTGTATCAATTGTAGCGTTAAACAAAGTTTAACGATACATAATTCTAGCTACCTTGCATCCAACCATTTCCTCCCTACCTACGACCGTACGGATTGTCGCCTGTCCAACCTCGTGGGTTTTCTCCGGGTCCTCCGGTTTCCTCCCACTGCTAAAGACCCCTACGTGCAAGCGAATTATGGAAATAAAATTGAACCATATGTTAGTCCCGAAAAGACCTGGTTTGTGTCGAGTGGACGTTAAACCCCATTTTTTCTCTCTCTCTCCGACCGTACGGGCAAGTGAACGTTGGGTGGCCGACTAGCAAGTAGGGTGTTGACTGGCTTGTTGGAGTGCACGGGGCAGTCCTCTCAAGCAATCACCTTTTTTATTGTCGAATCACGTTATTCGGGATTCGGAAGTAAAACCGACAGACCATTTCCGCGTTACGTTTGCTGGCCGACTAGCAAGGAGATGACCGTGTGTCACGCGAGTAGTGTGTTTACTCGTTTGTTGTCGAATGAGGGAGAGGACTGTCCCGTGCACACCAACAAACGAGTCAACACCCAACTGGCTTGACAAACGGTCTTCTCCGTGCTAGTCCGCCTCAACGTTCACTTACTCCTACGCCCGGGGTAGCGAGGAATTGGTCGGATGCAAGGTTTACAGCCGAATCCAGAATAAACTGCTGGAGGAATCGAGGAAAGGGTCGGATCGAAGGTAGGTCGGCGGTCTATTTTACTGCCGAATCCGGAACAACGTGCTTTCTCTTTATTCGTTATTCGCGAATCCCGAATAACGAACCAGCACGTTATTCAGGATTGGGCAATAACGTAGTTGAGTGCGAGAGAGGACTGCACCGTGCAACTTCACGTTGCCTTCCCTAATTGCGATAGTCACGCGATTTGATTGGCTGTTGTACACAACATAATATACTCTTCAAACAAAGTAGGGGATATTAAAAGGCAAATACCTGTGCAGGTTGTGATATGATAAATAGTCATGGGCACTTGACATGCTTTCAGAGTATCTTCACAGATGAAGAACTTATCGCCCCAACAGAACCACTGAGCTGCATGTGCGACACCCAATAGCGCCATACAATGAGACGTCTTCAACATGATGAACGTCTACGTGCTATTGGCATGCTTCAAATGGGTTCTACACAACGAGCAGTAGTCAACATGCTTAATGTGTCACAGTCTGCATGTGATCAGAAGACTGTGGAACCGGTACCAACAAACACACAATGTTGATCATAGACCTCGTTCAGGTCGTCCTAGAGCCACTACACAAGCCCGACATCGATACATACGTACACAGATCTTGCGAAATCAACTTTCTGTAAACTGTTACCAAGTTACAGGAGTTCGAGTTACACCCCAAACGATTAGAAATGGGCTACACGCAGCCCAATTGCATGCGCGACGACCGCGCGTCATGCTAACGTTGACGTCAGACAGCACGACAGATTCAGTCGTGGGTATGTTATGGTGTAGGGAGGAATCACCATGACTGGCTGAACGGACTTGCATATTGTTCAGAGGAGGGTCACTGATGTGTACTGCCGTGACTACAATCTTGCACCGATAGTTATGCCCTTTGCTCAACATGCTGGTCGACGTTTCATTTTTCAAGATGATAATGCCCGTGCCCACCGCGCGCGTGTCGTGAATGACTACCTCCAGCGTCACCATATTTCCATATGCCTTGGCCAGCCATGAGTCCTGACCTTTCCCCTATAGAGCATGTCTTGGATATGATCAGGAGACGTGTTCGTCGACATCAACATCAACAGACAACACTGCAAGAATTGGCCGTGGCACTGCAAGAGGAGTGGGCCAGATTGCCCCAAATAGAGATTGGACGGTTGATTAGAAGCATGCCACGACGAATTGCTGAATGTCTGGGGATTAGCGGAGCAATTACTAATTATTAAGACAAAATTCAAAAAAGTCCATTTTCACTTTTGACAGTGTATCTCTTTGCTAGTGAAATGGGGTTGTCAGATAAACCGCCCCATATGAACTGTTTATGTTCATGTTTAGGCAATTGGCCTGTTATTAACATACACTGTTTACGTCTAATAACAACAGCAGTGCATTTCCGCAGTTTTGTACTGTTTCTGAACATCCCCTACTTTTTTTTGAAGAGTATATATTACTTTTAGCCCCGCCTTCATGACGTTTAGACGTCAAACCTTTTCCGTTTAAATGTCAGACAAAAAGAGATGATTTTTACCCATGTCAGATATGATTATATGCTTAATTGTAATATAATAATAATCAATCGTTGTTTTAAAGGAAAGAATGACAGCTGTGATTCAAATCGGCATCTATAGAGCTATATAGTACCATCCCAGGGTAGAGGGCTGAGATTTCTTATCTATGCTGTTTTTTATCTAGAGGTCACAATTATAATCCTTTCTGTATAGATAGTCTGACTGTACAAGAGGAAACAGTCTTTTGTTTTTCAACGATTTGCGACTTTAACGTTGACTTTGGATGTGGAGTGGCCCAATCAATGCGTTTTAGATCACAAGGTCTGTCATTGAACCAAGTGGTGTGGTTTCTCGGGGTTAAACTTGTTATCTTAGAGGTCCAACAGAAATTGTTGAAAGCTGCCAGTGTCATTCTTTAACCTGTAAGGGATTTCATTTGGGATTTGGTGGCCTATACCTGAGATGAGTGATGGCGACCACGCCATGAAGTAAATCGAAATTGTGGAAATAATCCATGAAAAGCAAAACAGTCTCATTGTTTTATTTAAATTCTGTGGCTACAAATGTTTACAACAGGGGGCGCCCTATGTTGATGCCCTTTATAACCTTTGATCAAATGTGTTCAACTGTATTATATCACAATTAGAAAAGACTGGGATGTAGAAAAAATAGGAAAACAATTTTAAAAATGTACAAAAAATGGTAATTGGGACTAAAATAGAAAATTATTATAAAATATAATATTATTCATATAATATTACTTATTTTCTTGAAAAACTTTGGTAGTTGAAAAATAATATTTTTATTTATATCAATTCCATAATAATATAATAATTTACAAATATAATTATATTCTTAATCTACATGGGAATGCTTGATTTATTTATATGGCACATAGTGGAGTTCTCTTTATTCAAAAACACAATATAAAATAATATATAAATAAAGGGCAAAATTTATGTCGGAAAACTTTCTAACCTCTGAGTTGGTCGTTTGGATCGCACAGGGTGTAAATTTTTACCTGAAATATAAAATTCAGTTTATTAATAAAATAATAACAATTCTCATAGCCTAACCACACTAGTTAGGTATTCCTGTTTCTGTGGTGTTTTAAAATCTTTTCAATAAAATTCTTTTTCAGCCGATTTGATTTTTTAATACAACTTTGGTCAAAATGATGCATCCCTTTCAAAATTAAATGTAATGTGATTTAATGTTCGTCCCGAGGAACCGGGAACGAACCCAAAACCTGGTTAGCGAGTCGTACTCACTGAGACCCCACTCCCATTAAATATATGCACCTTTATCAACGAAGCATATAGATCCAAAGTCCACCATCACAAATCCATAGTGACTATTGGGGGATGTTGAAAATTGCCCAATACATGTATTTATTATCTGTTAAATGCCCACTCCTGCATTAGCATTTATAAAATACGTTACTTACCCAATCGACATAACCTTGAAGTAATCGATATCCATACCCTTGACCAACTTGCACTGCACATTTGCGATCTGCAATGGGGGCTGAAAATATATATAATAAAATGGTCAACTAAGGAAGAGACACGAGGTATGTATCATACATATAAAACAAAAGATTCAGACGGTTGGCGAGGGAATCAGAAATCCAAACACAGTTTCGTCGAAGTTTTTGGTTGAAGCGGGAATTTCAAAATTATTTCGCTTTAATTGGTGCGAACATTCGTGTGAAACTTTGTCTTTGACATGGATATAAAGTCTTACCATTAACAGCAACTTCATTAGATTTAGCTCCATTAACTTTCCCGAAGAAAGTATAACTACTCTGTTCATTTTTGATATAATGTAGCTCTAGATCCAACCATTCGCCCTGTAAAAAAGATTTGATATGACATTATTATGATATTCAATTCAAGTCTCCAAACCTTTATATTTATTGTCATTGAGTCATCTGGCGTGGTTTCGATCCCCCGGTTGTATGTGACAAGGAGTAGTCCTGAAATAACATATTTTGTGTCGGGTGGACCTTAAACACACACACACACTCTCTCTCTCTCTCTCTCTCTCTCTCTCTCTCTTTAGATTTATATCATTATTCTCTTTAAGAGAAAAAAATCCCTCATAAAGATCTTACAGTTCCTCTTCAAAGAGATTCTATTTTTATTATTGGAACCAGCCTAAAGAACTTTATAGACAATATATCATAAAACAGTTGAAACTTATTTTTCTTTTGTGTCCCAACCATTAATCGTTACTCACGGAAACTGTATTACAAGCAGCTGATAATATCGATGGTGAAGACTCTTGTGGTTGAACTTTAAAATGGGCTTGACCAGGGGTCAAGGTTATGGAAACAGATTCATTGACCCCGCAATCACCATTGGAGATGACCGCGAACTCTTGGCCTGGTAGCACATTTTCTGGTTTAACTCTAACTTGGATGATGAAATAGTTATAATTGAATCCTGAATTAGCGAATCTTTGGATTAAAACTCTGTCATCTCCAGTGAAACGCCCAGCACCGTTAGTAATACCTGGAATATATCCCATTTACATAATTATATAAATCAGTCTATATGTATTGAGTTTAAAATGATAAAATGATAAAAGGAGCTCATTCGCCATTCCTTGTCACCTAGAAATGGACACAAATGGGTTGCAACGCATATAATAATGTAATTTTAATGTATATAAACCGATTTACATTCAATCGTTTCTGTTTTTACTGTAATTATGGTTATTCCAGTCTATACCGGTAGTATTCTCCTGTGGAGTATGTTCAGCCTCGTTCATCGTGTAGCTTCATTACAAATGGCACTCGAAAGCTTTCTGGCACACGATATGTGTGCCAATTTAAAAATTTTCATTTTGTCTTAAATATTGGATATCAGCCCATCTTTCCACGGATAATAACATCAATGTTGATTTAAATTGACCAATAAGTCTTGTTTGCAATGTCGAAGACTGTTGGTGATATTGAGTTAGCTCATCAAATTCAATTACTTTCTCAAATGTCTGCTTACAGAAAGATTATATCTTACCTCCCACATCACGGGCTCCAAGTAGTGTAACATTATCGTAAGTGAATTCTGGTTGGAAAATATTATCATCGAAATGTAGATATCTGTCGGGTTCACAATCTATAATGACAAATTCAAGATTAATATAATACGGTTCAAAACAGATCCCGTAACCACAATGACGTTTCCAAGATATACATTACATTTATCAATATGCTGTATACTTGCATTGTGGTTATGCTTTGGCAATTTCTGAACTGATGTTTGGAAGCGGATCATTGGCGATATTAATGGATCGATTTGATTTGATCAGTTACTACCATGTGGTAAAATTCTTGCAAACTTCGCGTTAGTGGATCCGTTAACTTCGTTTAATATTTTGACTTTACAATTAAATTAAATATAAATGTTGGTGTAATTATGAATGCAGACTTCAATGCGTACTTAAAGTTCTCTGTGGTGGAGTACTGTCATAATCACAGGTACATAAACTTTCATTAAATATAGTTCCTGGTCCACAAATCTGTCGTTCAGATGGGTTAGTCTTTCTGTAGAAGTAATGGGCATCGTTAAAATCAGCAGCAAAATCACATCCTGTAATAGACAGAGACACCGTACTTTAATTAGATAGCTATCATGACAATTAACAAAAGCAGGAAAAGATATAGAGAACAATGGAAGGGGAAAAGCCCCACTTCACTCCCTTATAAAAAGGGCAGGTGACCACGAAATCCAGCTAAAGAAGACATGTAGAAGAGATGTTCAAATAAATGAAATGAGTGAATGAATCAGGTTTATCATCCTACTTTTCTGCAGAGGTGGAATGAAGAAAGGTCGCGATGAGACGATCTAGATAATATAAACGAAAAGTTCAAATACAGGTGGAGATAGAAATGAGAAAGGCCGGATTAGAAAGAGATAAAATATAAGTTCAGATCAAGGGAAAATAGGATACAAGTAGAAAGCATAACAGAGTATCCAAAATATTTACAAATTAAAACCGTCTTTTGGTGGGGGAAAGTCTACGGTAATATGAAAAATGAATGGTGCGGGGAATGTGTGGTAGACAGCAATAAACACAAAACACCCAGGGATGACAAGAACGGGGAAGGGGTCCCAGGTACAGTGTAGGCTACATGCAATATTATTTAAAAGAATTTATTAAAGCCGAATAAAAAGCTTACCATTATAACAGGTAGCAGCTCTAGAATCAGCAGCACTTCTTTTACAAACACCCTTACAAGAAGCATCTGGTTTACATTGATTCAAATTAATATCAAATCCCCAGCCAGCTTCACAACAACTTCTACCCTGTGTTGTACCATCATTACCACATGTATAAAATTCCTGGCATTCACTATTGTGTGAATAATTGGAGAAAGGGGCCAAATTTCGACAAGGATCTGAAATATATCATTACATATAAATGATTAAGAGGAATTGGAAATAAAAAAAAATATAACATTCGAACCTGTATTAATATAATTATTATTATATTTATTTATATAAAATACATATGCAATGGAAACTATGTCTAAATAGACCTAAGTTGAGCTTTATACATACCTTGAGCACAGCTTCCACTACCAACGGCGACACAAGTTAGTTTTTCATTGTCCCAGAATGTTCCAGGAGCACATTCTCTAGCAACAGTAAGATAACCAGTATCAAGTTGTATGCAAGTAACATACATATCACACCTATTTCTTACATAGGTATAACCCACACCATTCCTCCAATGACATTCATCACATAAATCAGCTGTAACAAATATTATTGATGATTAATAAGACTGTCGACCGATTGAGGGAGAGTTTTTCGCCTTTCGTTTTACGGACTGGTTGTCCTTGATTTCCCCCAGGCATTCACTGCGTACAGTGGTTATATTCAATTTTAGTCCATGAACCCCCTTTGGTTTTATATAGACAACATAAGTTAATGTTACCAATTCAGACATCTGCACATTAATATTCTTTACCCCAAGTAACACTTTAGAAACCATGTACACGTACTCTAATTTAAAACCGTTTTATGTGAACTGTCCTATATACTACAAGAATGATAGACTTTAAATTTTGTTCTGATCGACGTGAATTCGCGTCCAGAATTATTCACTCATATACTAGGTGCTATTGGTCATCCTTAACACGTCATGCCAAATACCTACCTTCGATTCTTATTTCACAATAGGCACCAGCAAAGTCTCTACTGCAAGCACATTGGCATTGACCGGTACAGCTATTTCTAATAGAGGGTTGACCGTTCTGACACAAGTTCTCAGATCCCGTACATTGCTCAGTTGTTATCGGGGCTAAAATATAATAATTAAGGAACTGTTAATATTATGAAAGCGTCAATATAATTTCGTTTATATTATTACTGGTCTAATACATGATAATATATACTCCCATGGCGTATTTTGCTTTAATATTTAACTGATTTCTATTTCTTTTAAGATTACGTGATGTGCACGCTTCTCAAATTAGACATTTACTTACTTTCACAGTAGGTTCCTGTAAACCCTTGTTCACAATCACAAAAACATTGTCCTGGTGCTGCTAATCGTCCTACACCATTAAGACAATCCGTACGACATGGTGCTATAATAACAAATATATAGAATTTTGTTTTAAGATTTGGTGCTCTCTCGATAAGTTTTGCTAGAATAGCACCAAACAATCCAGACCACTCTTTGCATCTGGTTTCAAAAACTAGAAAACAATACTTATCGTATAGGGCTTTAAATGAAAGCTAGCTTTAAAAATTGTCCATGAATAGGATATAAAATAAAAGCCCTGAGATATTTGTTAAGCCTTGAAATTATCAAAATATAGCTATCTATGCAAGAAGAATTAATACATAGATAATTTTGAAATATGAACTCAATAACTTACCAATGCCAGCACAATCGGGTCCGCTGAATCCACTGTCACAAAAACATTGACAAGTTCCGGTCGCCTGGCTATATACAGAACTACCGTGGTTGTTACAGTTACTTCTTGAACATAGAGATCCTAAATGAAATAGATCAACTAATTTAAAATACATACCTAAAACTGTCTTTATCTTTTTTACTCGAGGGGTGGTGGGGGCGTAAGGAAGCCTTATGCCTGAAAGGAGCCACGGTGGCTAAGTGAGTAAGACACTGGCTTGCTAGTTTGGAGGTCGCGGGTTCGAATCCCGATGTTGGCCGAGAAAGTTCCTCGGGATTTTCCGGCGTGGTTTCCCCTTGTCACTGACATTTATAGTATATATTCTAGCATACTATAAATACTGGAGACCTCATCGCCATCCACTTTTAGAAATTCACTCATTTATGCGCTTCTCTTATATAAATAATACGTTAATGATGTATTCACCACTACAATATGGTATCCTCGACCGGAGAAATGACGAAGTGTTTAGTATATCTGACAAGTTTGGGTTTTTCGTACGTTTAAATTAACACTTCGTCCCGTTTCTACTTTGAACGGGAGTCGAATCCCTGCGTCCTTAAATACGTCATTATCCCTGAATTCCAGTCTTTTGTAATCGGTTAGACGTTAAAATTTCATTTTATTTCATTTCTTAGGAGTGGATAAAGTGCGATAGTGCAGGGTAAATCAAGAAAGCACACAGGCGGTATAGCAAGATATGGCTGTTGCAGACATTTGACTTCTCATGGCCGGAATCAGCATCACAGCCGGGATGGAATTTAAGTCACAGATACAATCTCAGAGTCAGTTGAAAGAAGTTGAAATTGGAACTTGCTGGGGTATATTCGACTTTGCAATACCCGGATATCGAGGTTAACAGGGTTTTGTTCTCTATGAAATTACTTACGGCTACAATCAGAACCAGTGAAACCTAATCGACACTGACACTGACATGTTCCGCCAACTGGAACCTTTTGTCCATTCATGCAGTTTATGGTTAAACATGGATCTACAATAATAATAATAAAAATTCCCTTAGAGTAAAGTAACTCAACATTACTGACAAACTCTTTATAAACAATTAATCATAAAATGTGAATAATTACCGAGTAAAAAATTATCCTTGTGGACAAAACCACTTATAACTATAGGTAATCACGGAAAATAGACAGTGTGTCAAATTTAAATCCAAATATCAATTTCAAAAATTATTGAGACCCTTTAATAAAACTAAGTGCTACGGAAGGGGATGTCGGTAATAATAATGTTATGTATTCAATGTGTGTAAGCCCGGGATTCCAATACCCTTTTGAATGCATTGTTATAATTTAATGAAATGCTAATAAAATTTAAAGGGCCATGCTTACCTCGACTGTCACACCTTTGTCCAGTGTAACCAACATCGCAGTTACATCCACACCCGTTTGCATATGTTGTTGTTGGGGCACCGTTGACGCAAAAACTATCACATCGACTAACTAAAACATAAAAAAAAATTCACAAGTAATATAATATGATGTTTTGGTTGTAAAATTATATTTATTTTTAAAACATTAACTAACTGATATGAGGAACATCTTCTAGAGCAACGAAAATCATTTAATACGGAGTTCATATAAGACTCAAATCTCTGCGTTAAAGCATTTTTATTAATTTGAAAAACTGGATGTAAAAAAACGAAATTCAAGATGCCTATATCAATCGTCTTCGTGTCTTTGATCAGCGGGCGTTAATACACTATACATTGTCATCATATGAATTTGCCTAGATTAATGGATAATATATAATATTATATAAAACTACCTTCACATCTCGACCCAGTGAAATCGGCAGGGCAGTTACAGGTACATCCAGACTGGGTAGCAACTGCAATACCACCATTATCACAGAAGTTTGCACAAAGGGCTAGAAAATAGATGCAACACATATTATAGGAAGATGTTTTGTTAATAAAACCTGTTTTCCCTTTTTTTTTTATCATAATACGCCTTGATATATAAATAACTTAATTAAATGAACCTGTCCATAATATCATAATATTATGTAATAAACATATATTACAATGTTGTGTCTACGACACGATGCTTTGTGTGTAAAACGAAATGAGCGTTTATCTACAATAATTCTATTTTTATACAAGGTAGTGTATTAGGGAATGGCTTGACCTATGTTAACCCCGTTTTTAAAATGTACACACTGGTATAAAATTACACTTACATCGACCACAAGTTTGGCCAGAGAATCCCGGAGTACAGGTACATGCACATTGGTTGCCATTGCTGTATGGTGTTCCGCCATTCTCACAGGGGTACGTGAATCGGTCACAAACTAAAATGAAAATTGTTCCATAATAATATTAATTTGCAAAATCCTTTATCAGGTATTCGGCGTATTAATTCATATCTTCTGTGATCATGCGAGATTCGTCATCGGTTTTAATAACAAATCACTTGTATATATTTCGTATTCATTTTAAGAGGCATAAAATTATACTTTGCCGAAAAACGGCCCATGAAACAGGAAAGAAATCGGTTTAAATCTATAATTAGGTCATATTTAAAAAAAAAAACATATCGCAATTTCACTAATTACGTATGTTATGTGGAAATGCGAATTTTTCCAAAACGTTACACGTCTATCATTTCTTATTCGTGTTAATCGATCGACTAGGCACATTAAATAATCGGGATTATCATTCTGTTTATTATAAGAATAGCATATGAAATAGACCGGGGCTTCAAATTCATTTTTCGTAATGCCCCCGTGCATCTAGATAAGCCCTAGTTTGGTGGATTATTAACATAGTTTCGTATTTCGTTTCCATTATGTTCCGAAATTTAAGTCAAGCAATCTCTTAGGGAGTCCTTTTCCGAGAATGCAAGCGAATGGGATGTGGCTAATCACTAGCCAAACTAAAAATTCAGTGACAGGATGACGATAATATGATGAAACAGCCACACTTATCACAAAACAGATAAAACTCAGTGTATACTCTTACCTCTTGTGTCACATGTTAGACCGGTATAACTAGAAGGACATCTACATGAACAAGTATTACCATTAGAGATGGCATTACCACCATTTTGACAAGCAAAGCTAGAACAAGCTGTAATAAAGAAACAGTGTAAAATTTTAAGGATGTTAAACACAGAATCATAGGACGAAACACAATCTGTATTCGTCAGTCGGATTAAAACACAGATTCTAGGTTGTTTCGTTATGTTTTAGTTCAAATTTTCGGTTTACTTGGCTTCATCCTGTCGAATGTATAAAAAACGAAACGAAATATAGATTTGTATTTTAACCAGACTGCATATCCATGAGCCAACAGAAGCATTATGTTTGTAACAACAGAAGCATTATGGCTGTCTACCAATCAGATTTATAATTATGGAATCGGACCAACTGATAACTCAAGCGTTATATACTTACTGGGTGAATCACAGAAAGTACCAGAATAATCTGCAGTACATCTACAATAACAACTTGTACCAGATACAGCTGGTACACCACCATTTCTACATCCATAATTTGAACATTCTAAAACATCAATGTATCATAGTTGTTATTTCTATTACTATCAACTAATAGCAATAATCCCAAGAAGAAGACGATAAAACCTCACACACGACAGGAAAAGAGGGGCGGAAGAGTCCCCATAACAGTGCAGGCAAGTTTGGATCTCAGTGATGCATCCGAGGAAAAACAGGAACCAATCCTTGTAAATAAATCATAGTCAAAAATCCCCGGTAACAAACCAGTTGATAAAGGGCTAACGCCCGAAACGCGTCCTGGATAAATCCTTTCTATATCCACACTGTCTTGTCAAGTTTGTTACCGGGGATTTTTTACTATGATTTAACTAATAGCAATAATATATCATAGTTTTGATTTCTAAAATATTCTCAAATATCGATATATATCATATATCATAGTTCTCATTTCTACACAAATCGATAAAATACTCTAAAATACCAATATGTCATAGTTGTTATTTCTAGAAAAATGTTAAAACATTCTAAAATCTAAATATATCATAGTTGTGATTTTTACATAAATAATTAATATATTGTGAAATACCAATATGTCACACCTGTTAATTTTAATTTAGTTGCCTTTATAGATGATGGTACAATATCCTATTTGGCCAATGTTTTTTCTGTCTTTGTTTTTGTAAAATGTGAATATTATGATAGATGTACAAACCTCGGGTTTCACATCTGCTTCCAGTAAACCCTTGTTGACATTGACAGCCACATGTATTACCAATAACCACACTTCGCCCATCATTCTGACATTGATAGGAGCTACAGTCTGAAACCCAAATAATTAAAACATTCTAAAATATCAATATATCATGGTTCTTATTGCTAGACAAATAGTTAAAATTTATCATAGTTGTTATTTCTAGACAAATAGTTAAAATATTCTAAAATATCAATATATCATAGATATCATTTCTAGACAAATAGTTGTTATTTCTATACAAATAGCTAAACATAGTTATATTATAAACAATAGTATATTGTTAAACAATAGGGGATATTGGAAACGTTCATAATTGCCCCCTTTGACCCATGAAAGCGGCATTAATTAAATATCCTTATCAAGTCGTCAGCAATGACATGTGGAGGGATTACCAATTCATTATCACTTATACCCATCTGGTAGACCATTATCAGATGGTGTTATATAATGCCGGTGACTTGTTCGCAAGGATTATCTGGCATTATGCATAGCCAGCTCTATAATCATCTGGGCATCCTTTGATATTAAGGCAAAGACCCGATCATGTGTCAACCTTTTAGCCAATCGGAGCATAATACTGTTGGGGGTGGATTCATCAGACCAGGCCAGAGTGCCTAAGTTAGCACACAAGTCAAGCTAACTGGACTTTTGGGGGATTGGGATGGCTTAGTGGTCTAGAGTGTCGTGCTGGCCGATCACCTCTGGCTTGCGGTTGTGGTTTCAATCCATGGTGTGAGCGTATGAGGCTTGGAGATGGGGGCGCATTCTCAAACTCATGGGTTTACTCCGCGTACTCCAGTTTCCTCCCACAGGAAAGACCCCTGCACTTAGATAATAAAAATGAAAATAAGACAGTTTGTCTCCAACATCGCCTTCGGTGGAAGCGGACGTTAAACCCTAAGAACAACAAGATAACTTTAAGGAATCATTAGCTAAAGAATCATCAACTAAGCATTATATAGAGTTTATAAGAGTTGTGTCTTGAAGAACCCCAAGAACCAATATATGTATAGTTGTGTCTTTATAACCCCAATATCAATATATCATAGCTGTTATATTTAATTTAGTTGCCTTTATGGATGATGGTACAATATCTTTTTTGGGCAATGTTTTTTCTGTCTTGTTTTTGTAAAACGTGAATATGATAGATGTACAAACCTCGGGTTTCACATCTTGTTCCAATAAACCCTTGTTGACATTGACAACGACATGTATTACCAATAACCACACTTCGCCCATTATTCTGGCATTGATAGGAGCTACAGTCTGAAACATAACGTATAAATAGTTACATCATTATCAATAGCATATAGTAGTGTCTTTATAACCCCAATATCAATATATCATAGCTGTTATATTTAATTTAGTTGCCTTTATGGATGATGGTACTATACTGAGCGCCATGGAAAACGCATCACTTTTTTTCCCAAATATTTTATTACTAGGTGGTTTTGTATGTATAATATTATGCAATACTATGAACTATTGTTTCACACAATGCTCCCAAAAACAAAAAATATCTGCCCGTGTGCACAAAAAAGAAATTGCACGAGATGCACATGAAAACCCCAATATTCACGTGCAGCATTGTGTGTGAGCCTTTAAAAGCATGTTTTCAACTTAATGTGCAGTACACGAACTGTGAAACGTCAATCTGTCGTAATTTGTTGTTGGACGTGTGAAGGAATCGAGCTAGAGATGCCGAGACTTACTGAAAATCAACGGAATGAAGCCATGGGAATGTCCAGGGCTGGCATGTCTATACGTGCTATTGCCAGACACTTCAATTGTCATCAGTCCACTATTGTAAGGTTGGTGGAACGTGTTCGAGTTACTGGATCACATGTGACCGTCAACGTCCTGGTCCACAACGCGTTACAACCCAGGCTCAAGACCGCTACATCCGGGTCACTCATCTGCGTGACAGATTCCGCCCAGCGATTCGAACAGGTGCAGCAGTCGTCGGAAGACAAGGTCCAGTAAGTGCCAACGCCGTAAGACGTCGTCTAAGAGAAGTAGGACTCCGTGCACGACGACCTTATGTTGGAGCTATCCTCAGGGATCATCACCGTCAGAGGCGTTTGATATGGGCTCAAGGACACCAGACATGGAGAAGAGTTGACTGGCAAAGTGTGCTCTTCAGTGACGAGAGTCGCTTTCATCTTTATCCGGACATGGCACCGATAGAACATGTCTGGGATGAGATTGGACGCCGTCTGTATCGGAGACCACAGATGCACACCATTGCTGCGTTAGAAGCTGCTCTTGTCCAAGAATGAAACAATTTGCCCCAGGCCTTCTTTCAAACATTGGTTAATTCCATGCGACGTCGTTGCACAGCGTGCGTAAGAGCCCGTGGAGGACACACGCGCTACTGACATCTGTGTCGTACTTTTGGTTTTGACCCCTCTGACTTTGTACCGTTGATTACAGATTAAACATTCATAAGTGTACAAATGTGTTGTTATTGATGTGTTCCCATTTTAATATTATTCACAATAAGAAGCAAAATAAATAAGATATTTTTACAGGATCATTTTGTTATACGAAAAACTAAGTGATGCGTTTTCCATGGCGCTCAGTATATATCGTATTTGTCCAATGTTTTTTCTGTCTTTGTTTTTGTAAAATGTGAATATGATAGATGTACAAACCTCGGGTTTCACATCTTGTTCCAGTAAAACCTTGTTGACATTGACAACGACATGTATTACCAATAACCACACTTCGCCCATCATTCTGACATTGATAGGAGCTACAGTCTGAAACCCAAATAATTAAAACATTCTAAAATATCAATATATCATGGTTCTTATTGCTAGACAAATAGTTAAAATTTATCATAGTTGTTATTTCTAGACAAATAGTTAAAATATTCTAAAATATCAATATATCATAGATATCATTTCTAGACAAATAGTTGTTATTTCTATACAAATAGCTAAACATAGTTATATTATAAACAATAGTATATTGTTAAACAATAGGGGATATTGGAAACGTTCATAATTGCCCCCTTTGACCCATGAAAGCGGCATTAATTAAATATCCTTATCAAGTCGTCAGCAATGACATGCGGAGGGATTACCAATTCATTATCACTTATACCCATCTGGTAGACCATTATCAGATGGTGTTATATAATGCCCGGTGACTTGTACGCAAGGATTATCTGGCATTATGCATAGCCAGCTCTATAATCATCTGGGCATCCTTTGATATTAAGGCAAAGACCCGATCATTGGTCAACCTTTTAGCCAATCGGAGCATAATACTGTTGGGGGTGGATTCATCAGACCAGGCCAGAGTGCCTAAGTTAGCACACAAGTCAAGCTAACTGGACTTTTGGGGGATTGGGATGGCTTAGTGGTCTAGAGTGTCGTGCTGGCCGATCACCTCTGGCTTGCGGTTGTGGTTTCAATCCATGGTGTGAGCGTATGAGGCTTGGAGATGGGGGCGCATTCTCAAACTCATGGGTTTACTCCGCGTACTCCAGTTTCCTCCCACAGGAAAGACCCCTGCACTAAGATAATAAAAATGAAAATAAGACAGTTTGTCTCCAACATCGCCTTCGGTGGAAGCGGACGTTAAACCCTAAGAACAACAAGATAACTTTAAGGAATCATTAGCTAAAGAATCATCAACTAAGCATTATATAGAGTTTATAAGAGTTGTGTCTTGAAGAACCCCAAGAACCAATATATGTATAGTTGTGTCTTTATAACCCCAATATCAATATATCATAGCTGTTATATTTAATTTAGTTGCCTTTATGGATGATGGTACAATATCTTTTTCGGGCAATGTTTTTTCTGTCTTGTTTTGGTAAAACGTGAATATGATAGATGTACAAACCTCGGGTTTCACATCTTGTTCCAATAAACCCTTGTTGACATTGACAACGACATGTATTACCAATAACCACACTTCGCCCATTATTCTGGCATTGATAGGAGCTACAGTCTGAAACATAACGTATAAATAGTTACATCATTATCAATAGCATATAGTAGTGTCTTTATAACCCCAATATCAATATATCATAGCTGTTATATTTAACTATACTGAGCGCCATGGAAAACGCATCACTTTTTTCCCAAATATTTTATTACTAGGTGGTTTTGTATGTATAATATTATGCAATACTATGAACTATTGTTTCACACAATGCTCCCAAACACAAAAAATATCGGCCCGTGTACACAAAAAAAAATTGCACGAGATGCACATGAAAACCCCAATATTCACGTGCAGCATTGTGTGTGAGCCTTTAAAAGCATGTTTTCAACTTAATGTGCAGTACACGAACTGTGAAACGTCAATCTGTCGTAATTTGTTGTTGGACGTGTGAAGGAATCGAGCTAGAGATGCCGAGACTTACTGAAAATCTCAATAATGAAGCCATGGGAATGTCCAGGGCTGGCATGTCTATACGTGCTATTGCCAGACACTTCAATTGTCATCAGTCCACTATTGTAAGGTTGGTGGAACGTGTTCGAGTTACTGGATCAACATGTGACCGTCAACGTCCTGGTCCACAACGCGTTACAACCAAGGCTCAAGACCGCTACATCCGGGTCACTCATCTGCGTGACAGATTCCGCCCAGCGATTCGAACAGGTGCAGCAGTCGTCGGAAGACAAGGTCCAGTAAGTGCCAACGCCGTAAGACGTCGTCTAAGAGGAGTAGGACTCCGTGCACGACGACCTTATGTTGGAGCTATCCTCAGGGATCATCACCGTCAGAGGCGTTTGATATGGGCTCAAGGACACCAGACATGGAGAAGAGTTGACTGGCAAAGTGTGCTCTTCAGTGATGAGAGTCGCTTTCATCTTTATCCGGACATGGCACCGATAGAACATGTCTGGGATGAGATTGGACGCCGTCTGTATCGGAGACCACAGATGCACACCATTGCTGCGTTAGAAGCTGCTCTTGTCCAAGAATGAAACAATTTGCCCCAGGCCTTCTTTCAAACATTGGTAAATTCCATGCGACGTCGTTGCACAGCGTGCGTAAGAGCCCGTGGAGGACACACGCGCTACTGACATCTGTGTCGTACTTTTGGTTTTGACCCCTCTGACTTTGTACCGTTGATTACAGATTAAACATCCATAAGTGTACAAATGTGTTGTTATTGATGTGTTCCCATTTGAATATTATTCACAATAAGAAGCAAAATAAATAAGATATTTTTACAGGATCATTTTGTTATACGAAAAACTAAGTGATGCGTTTTCCATGGCGCTCAGTATATATCGTATTTGTCCAATGTTTTTTCTGTCTTTGTTTTTGTAAAATGTGAATATGATAGATGTACAAACCTCGGGTTTCACATCTTGTTCCAGTAAAACCTTGTTGACATTGACAACGACATGTATTACCAATAACCACACTTCGCCCATCATTCTGACATTGATAGGAGCTACAGTCTGAAACCCAAATAATTAAAACATTCTAAAATATCAATATATCATGGTTCTTATTGCTAGACAAATAGTTAAAATTTATCATAGTTGTTATTTCTAGACAAATAGTTAAAACATTTTAAAATATCAATATGTCATAGTAGTTATTGCTTGACAAATAGCTAAAATATTCTAAAATATAAATATGTCATAGCTGTTATTTATTAATATTTAGTTGCCTTTATGGATAATGGTCAGTATTTTATATATCATAGTTGCTATTTCTACACAAATAATTAAACATTCTAAAATATCGATATATCATAGTTGTCATTTTTTAATTTAGTTGGCTTTATCGATGATGGTACAATATTTTATATATCATAGTTTTTTTTCTACATAAATAATTAAAACAGTCTAAAATATCAATATTTCATAGGCGTTATTTGTTATTTAGTTATTATCAATAGCATATAGTTGTGTCACTATAAACCCACAATATCAATACACCAAAGCTGCTATTTTTTAATTTAGTTGCCTTTATGGATGATGGCAAAATATATTTTTTGGGCTATTTTTTGTTGTTCTTTTTAGATGTACAAACCTCGGGTTTCACATCTTGTTCCAGTAAAGCCTTGTTGACATTGACAGACACATGTATTACCATTAACCACACTTCGCCCATCATTCTGACATTGATAGGAGCTACAGTCTGAAACACAACGTATAAATAGTTACATCATTATCAATAGCATATAGTAGTGCCTTTATGACAATTCGTATTGAATTCGTGCCACAACAATGCTCACAATCCAAAGTATCCACAAGAAGCTCTACAAGCTATGTGTCGATGAATTAATGAATTACGGACCTCATCAGAAACGAAACCCATTACATATAAGCTGAACACACCAGCTCAACTTACTGCACTTGGGTAGACGATATAAATGAACATATCCACGATTCATTCATCAAGAAATCAAACACATCGAACATGTATTTATTATTCTCAACAGATACCTCAACCACCTCGTCCAAAAGGCAATCAGCCCAGCTCGAATAAGCACTCGACTCTAACAAGTCTCCCCACAACCTCGTACCAAAACTATCCGTTTAAATGTACCATGTGCAGACTATATCTCATACCAAATCGGGGGATTTTTAAAATCAGTAATTATTGTTCAGCACCCACCGTCCGTCACCAAACTGATGGATGCGAATACCAAATATACTGCTCGTGTCATCATAACACTTTAAAAGAGAAAGGAGAAACCAAAAGACTATCTCAAAGAAGACCTATACAATGGGAAGTTCCAACGACTTGAAAGCTGCTGAACACCCAAGAAACCACCCACGACACAGAGTCGACCAACGCAATAAGGACAGTAGACCAATGGAAGCATCCTGATTAAAATGTTTCGACTTGCACCCACCGATATATTAGGATCCACATTTCAAGAGCTTCCGATGAGCTGGTCAAAAATTATTTGTATCTTAATTTTAGTCTTACAACCCAAGGGAGTGTGGCGCCCTTAAGACGTTCAGGTTGTAACTACGGTCCAAACTGTTTCCATATTGACCATGTTTGAAACGTTGCTCCTATTAAATTCCGTAATTGTTTTCCGTGACGTTTTGTGTTTTAATTTATTGATGTATTTTTCAAATCAAATGAGTGATTTCCAATTAACTAAATAGAGGTTCAAGTAAACCATTCCTACCTCTTGTTTCACATCTTAAACCAGTATAACCAGTTAGACATGTACATGAACATGCATCACCAACAACATTACTTCTTCCTCCGTTAAAACACTGATAACCACTACAATCTGTAAATATACACATTTAAACATTGACAAGAATTTAAATCTCTAACTCCAGAAAAAATTAACGGGGATTGCTGAAATTCAATAGGCTTAAATAGGGTTCTTCATCTCACTGATGACAACATATTATCAATTTCAAAACAATCAGATAAATTTAGTCTGCAGAGTGTTCACAAGAAATAAGGGACGTAGGGACGGATGGGCGGGGGCGACGGCAATATACTACTACATTTCCATGTGGGCGTATAAAGATCTGGATTAAATTATACATGTATAAAGTATAGATATGGTATGCTGGTGATTGAATATATATCACGTTCAGTCTTAGCTGCCCAAAACACTTGCCCTTTATATACAGCCATACTATAGATGTAGTTTGGATGAATAATTAGAACTGGATTAAGGATAAATGTTTTTAAAATAAGTTTAACCACTGTCTCCTTTTAATTAAAAATCCAGGATTCCAAAATTTAACAAACGTGACGGACTGGTTATGGTATATTTTGTTTTCCTACCTCTATTTTGACAGGTTTCTCCTGTGTATCCAGAATTACAATTACAACCACACCTAGATGTAGCTGCATTATAGAAAGCTGTACCACGGAATGAACAATCACTGGCAGTACATAGAAGAGCTGAAATATTATATATTAATATTAAACATTGGGTAAAGTCATTTGAGGTAAAGATACTCACATGCACCATATTTTAAATGGCCAATAAGGAATTAAGATTATACAATTAGTATACACGAAAATAAAAACTATACAATTAATATACAAAATAAAGATTATACAAAATAATGGTTATACAATTAGTATCCAGTCTAATAATTATACAATTAGTTTTCAAATAAAGATAATAATTTATTACATTTCATTTTTAGTGGTAGTTTTAGTGATGGGATAGCAAGCATGTCATCGGAGAAAGAAGATACTTACCATCACATTTAGCCCCAGTGAAACCATGATTACAGTCACAAGCACATGCATCATTGAGTAATCTGGCAGTACCTCTTCCAGAACAAGTTTCTCTTAAACATCGAGCTACAAATATACATATAATATTCAATCATCTAAGAATATTTGACTAGATAGAGGAACTCAGCAGAATCTGTCCAACACGCATCAATTATAACCCATTAAAAATATCTCTGGAATATGGGAGTATGGTCGATGTACACATACCGGACAAACTGTAAGTAAATTTATTTACGATTCGTGCAATTGTTATAGAAACCTAATTCTAATTTAATCGAATTAAACTCCTCAATGAATTTGCATATTTCAAAGATGTTTCAAATGTATAATTGTACGAGGAAATACTATTCTAAACATGGCATAATACTGAATATCTTACGTTCAATTTCACAGTTGGTTCCACTGTAACCATCTCTACATCTACAAACACACCGTCCACTAGCTATAGATTGTGTTCCGCCATTTTGACATGGTGTCAAACATCCTGTTAAAGGAAATATACATGGTAATATCGCTATGCAATCTGTTTTACGAACATACAGTTTCTAAAATAAAAACAATAAACGGGGTGGGGGCATCAATAATTCGTCATTTTCTTTGTTTCCATTTCTTAAAACCACTGATGCACATTACGCTTCTAAAATAATTTTTTCAAGGGATGAATGCTATTATTGTTTGAGAAGCTCCATTTCACCATACCCCTAATCCAATGAAAAGAATCATGGTTCACCCAACACATTCATATCCACTTTTCTACCCAAATGGCGGGTGTCGTGTACGATGCTAAATGTTCATAATCATTCACTTGAAATGTTCATGTATAGCAATATATATATATATATATATATATATATATATATATAATGTGTCTAAAGTCCACCTACTATCACAGTTAGTACCAGTAATACCAGTATTACATCTACATTGACATCCACCTTGTGTGGGCGTGGCTACTCCATTATTACAATTAGGTCGAACCCTATCGCATTCATCTAGAATAAAACATAACATACGTAATAAAAACAAATTATTTGTAATCATATTTATGCTAACAAAAAGAAGAAAGCAGCACAGCGAATATGGTAGCCTAATTGTGTTTTACTTACTGAATTCTAATATAGTAATCTAGGTTTTTTTTATTTATGACTTGAACAATTCTGATTAATAATTCATTTATTTCTTCCATACTTAACTTTTGAAAACATAACTAATTGTAAAAAAACAATGTTGTTAATTATTACATACAGAATTCTAAAATAGTAATTTAGTCATTTATTACATACAGAATTCTAAAATAGTAATTTAGTCATTTATTACATACGGAATTCTAAAATAGTAATTTAGTCCTTTATTACATACGGAATTATAAAATAGTAATTTAGTCCTTTATTACATACGGAATTATAAAATAGTAATTTAGTTAATTATTACATATGGAATTCTAAAATAGTTATATATTTATTCATCACATAGCGAATTCTAAAATAGTAATCTAGTTAATTAGCGAATTTTAAATCAGTAATCTTGTTAATTATTACATGAGCCAAATTCTAAAATAGTAATCTATTTATTCATCGCGTAATAAAATTCTGATATGGGCCATGTCAGTCTAGATACCAAATTCTAAAATGGTAATTTAGTTATTTCTTACATACTGAATTCTAAAATTGGGATTTAGTTTAGTCAGATACCGAATCCGGAAATGGGGATTTAGTTAATTATTTCGTCCCGAATTCTAAAAAGGAGGATTATTTACCGAATTCTAAAATGGCGATTTGGTTATTTATTACATACCGAAGTCTAAAATCGTGATCTGGTTATTAATTACATATCGAATTCTGAAAGGTAATTTAGTTATCTATTACATACCGAATTCTAAAATGTTGATTTAGTTATTTATTACATACCGACTTCACAGAGTTGTCCAGTAAAACCAGCACGGCATGTACAAGAACATCCATTGCTAGGAATGGATCTATAGCCACCATTTAAACAAGACTGACAAACTAAAGAAAAGGGAAAATACTCAAATCTCCACATGACAATGGGGTAAACATAACGATATTCATTGGGCAACATTTAAGACACGGGGATCATTCAACAAATTCTTCATATAAATGTTTATAAATATAAAATATTTCAAGTACGATGACCGAACAAAATATAATTAAAACTTTCTTTATATACATATTGACCCGCGAAAAGTATTAACAATATCAAGAGTATAAGCACTAGGATAATATCAAGAGTATAAGCAGAGTATAATTCAAGTACTATGACCGAACAAAATATAATTCAAACTTTCTTTATATACATATTACCTGGTGTGTCACAGTTGGGACCTGTAAAAGATCTAGGACAATTGCAGACACAAGAACTGCCCGAAGATACTGATAATCCACCGTTTGCACATCGGTAGCCTGAGCAATCTGAATAGAATTTATAATACATCATTTAAACTCCGATGAACAATAAGTCTTGACTTACAAAGTGAAATGAAATGGGGTTTAACGTTTTACTATTCTGCACCGACTGGGCTAATGAAGACGGGCACACGCCAGATTGGGTGCTATGGGGGCTAGCCATTCTTGCTATAATAGTTCGAAAATAGATAATGTAAAATGAATAATTTCAAAATTTCATTCAAATTACTCTATTGCGAGCGAAGATATTAGCCTTTGAAGGTTTGACAAGACGTGTGCAATAATTTCAACCACCGTACTGGTTGTTCGAAGCTAAGTCTAGCTAATCCATTTTTAGCTTAAATCAAAATATGGTTGAACTGTTCTAATCTATTTAATATCAGAGAAATCCGAAGACATCGAGAGTTGAATATGGCTTGGATAAGTTAATTAATGTCTAATTAATAATTTAGAAAACATTTTAGTCCTAAAGAAAGACCTGCAATAGGCAGATTTAGCTCTTGCATAATGTATGTTTAAGGCAAAGCCAACGGTCTAATACAAAATATAAACATATTTTGGCTTCGTGTTCAATGTCAATGTTTTATTGATATGGAAATTGATCTACCAATATAATTGGCATGATGATGATTGAACATATTATATCACCTCCTTTTAATTAAAAATCCAGGATTCCAAAATTTAACAAACGTGACGGACTGGTTAAGGTATATTTTCTTTTCCTACCTCTATTTTGACAGGTTTCTCCTATGTATCCAGAATTACAATTACAACCACACCTAGATGTAGCTGCATTATAGAAAGCTGTACCACGGAATGAACAATCACTGGCAGTACATAGAAGAGCTGAAATATTATATATTAATATTAAACACTGGGTAAAGTCATTTGAGGTAAAGATACTTACATGCCTCATATTTTAAATGGCCAATAAGGAATTAAGATTATACAATTAGTATGCACGAAAATAAAAACTATACAATTAATATACAAAAAAAAGATTATACAAAATAATGATTATACAATTAGTATACAGTCTAATGATTATACAATTAGTTTTCAAATAAAGATAATTATTTATTACATTTCATTTTTAGTGGTAGTTTTAGTGATGAGATAGCAAGCATGGCATTGGAGAAAGAAGATACTTACCATCACATTTAGCCCCAGTGAAACCAGGATTACAGTCACAAGCACATGCATCATTGAGTAATCTGGCAGTACCTCTTCCAGAACAAGTTTCTCTTAAACATCGAGCTACAAATATACATATAATATTCAATCATCTAAGAATAATTGACTAGATAGCGGAACTCAGCAGAATCTGTCCAACACGCATATCAATTATAACCCATTAAAAATATCTCTGGAATATTGGAGTATGGTCGATGTACATATACCGTACAAAGTGTAAATAAATTTATTTACGATTCGTGCAATTGTTTTAGAAACCTAATTCTAATTTAATCGAATTAAACTCCTCAATGAATTTGCATATTTCAAAGATGTTTCAAATGTTTAATTGTACGAGGAAATACTATTCTAACATGGCATAATAATCAATATCTTACGTTCAATTTCACAGTTGGTTCCACTGTAACCATCTCTACATCTACAAACACACCCTCCACTAACTATAGATTGTGTTCCGCCATTTTGACATGGTGTCAAACATCCTGTTAAAGGAAATATACACAATTCAACATGGCAATATCACTATGCAATCTGTTTTATGCATATAAGATTTTCTAAAATAAAAACAGAGATGTCTCTTCTACCTCCCTGATAAACCAGGTGGTGACAACTCAGATAGAAACGGGGATTAACGTTGACCAGGTCGTAACGCTGGCAACCTTATTCCAGGTCACGTGTAACCCTGGGTTCCATTACATCACACCCCTAGCCTAAGGAAAAGACTTCTTAATCCAAGACATCCATGTCGTACTTTTCAACCCATAATATGAAAACAGTACTCATGTGTGCATACTCATTCACTTGAAATGTTTATGTAGATAACATAGCAATATATATAATATATATAATGTGTCTAAAGTCCACCTACTATCACAGTTAGTACCAGTAATACCAGTATTACATCTACATTGACAACCACCTTGTGTGGGCGTGGCTACTCCATTATAACAACTAGGTCGAACTCTATTGCATTCATCTAGAATAAAACAGAACATACGTAATAAAAACAAATTATTTCTGGTCGTATTTGTGCTAACAAAAGAAGTAACAAACAAATCGAATAAAGTAACCTAATTGATTTTTATTTATTGACTTATAAAATAGTAATCTAGTTATTTTTTCATGACATAACCAACTTTGTAATTTATTACCTACGGAATTCTAAAATAGTAAATAGTTTATTATTACGTTTCGAATTCTAAAACAGTTATCTAGTTAATAATCTCCTTAAATCAAACTCATCCACAGTCTGCGACATTACAAACACAACTTATTGGGCAATTTCAATCAACATTGGTGATGTGATCTTACCGTGAAAAGTTGGGCTTCTGATATTCAATATTTAAGACAAAATGAAAATTTTAAAATTGGCGCACGATAATTTTAAAATTGGCGCACAAATCGTGTGCCAGAATGCTTTCGAGTACCAGTTGTATGAACCGACTTCTTCAAGGATGCTAAACATATCCCATGTAAGAGAATACTACTGGGGTAGACTGAAATAACCAGATGCCATAGACTGCCATTCATTTCAGACTTGTGTCCATTTATAGGTGCCAAAGAATAGCGATTTTGCTTCTTTAATTATTACACAGAAAATTTCAAATTTAAGTATTCTAGTTAATTATTGCATGGGCCGATTTATAAAATTGTAATCTATTTATTCATCACATCACAGAATTAGTTTTTTTTTATTACACACCGAATTCTAAAACGGTAATATAGTTGTTTATTTCATTCCAAAATCTAAAATGATAATTTAGTTATTTATTACATACCGACTTCACAGACTGGTCCAGTAAAACCAGCACGACATGTACAAGAACATCCAGTGTTAGAATTGGATCTAACGCCACCATTTAAACAAGGTTGACAAACTAAAAAAATGAAAATAATCAAATCGTTACATGATAACGGGGAAAACATAACGATAGTCATTGGACAACATTTAAAGTAGCTAAGTCTCTAACTCAGTATCATCCAAAGTCTTACAGATTGACAACACGAATTATTTGTCAATTCAAATCAACATTGATGTTGTGATCTTACCGGGAAAAGGTAGGCTTCTGATATCCGATATTTAAGACAAAATAAACATTTTACCATTGGTACACGAATCGTGTACCATAGTGCGTTTCAGAGTCATTTGTATCAAGTGACCAGAAAGAACGAGGCTAGACATATTCCACAACTCATGTCAAACTGTGACGCCATGAGAGCGTGCGCAATACACTGGAATAACCAGACACTAGAAATTGACATTCGGTTGACGCCCATGCCGCATTTCGCTAGACATAACTGATTTGAAGTTAGAGTCAAAACGGAAACAATTGAATGTAAATCAGTTTATATACAATTAGATTACATTATTATATGCGTTGCGACCCATTTGTGTCAATTTCTAGGTCCCAAATATTAGCGATTTAGCTCCTTTAAGATACAGAGGTTATTCAACAAATTATTCATTTAAATGTTTATAAATATGATATATAAAATAATTCAAGTACTATGACCGAACAAAATATAATTCAAACTTTCTTTATATACATATTAAGAATATTATTACCTGGTGTGTCACAGTTGGGACCTGTAAAAGATCTAGGACAATTGCATAAACAAGAACTGCCCGAAGATGCAGGAGATCCACCGTTTGCACACCGGTAGCCTGAGCAATCTGAATAAAATGAATAATAACATCTTTTAGACTCCGATGAACAATACGTCTTGACTTACAAAAGGAAATGAAATTGGAAATTACATCCTACTTTTCTGCACCGACTGGGCTAATCAAGATGGGCATACGCCAGACAGTGTGCTATGGGGGTAGGGGTGGGTTATTGCCCGAACAGCGGCACTACGACATACGCGAACCCCCAATTCCAACTATTAGTGGTTCTTTTACGTGAATGACAACGTGGACATTTCACCTCGGTTTTGTCCCACTCGTATGACCAGGCATTGTTCCTTGTCAGGCCCCGTGTCCTGCACCACTTACAAGGGGAACCTTACAAGACATTCCATAGGAACTTTCTCGGCCAACACTGGGAGCGAAATTGAGAACTCCTGGTTAGCGAAGCTGCTTGCTCACTAAACCACCGAGACTCCTCTTGACGTACAAAATCCGACTACAATTGTGAATGCAAAGAAAATGATCTAGTACAAAATATAAACATGTTTTGGGCTTTGTATATCAAGGTTTTATTGATCAGGAAAATGATCTACACATATAAGTGTCAACCTGTTATTTACAGTGGATATCAAGATTACATCTTACCTCTAACGCCACAGTTTGGTGGTAAAAATCCCTGGTTACAATTGCATCCGCATGTTGAGTTGTTTTGAAAGAAGAAAGATCGACCATTGCTATTACAATCTCTGACATCAATACATATAAGATCTGTGATAAGAAAAGTTCACTGATGATGTCTATTGCTAGTTTAATAATGGCTCAACACAACTTATGTGAAATAATTTTGAAGAATGTCATAATTTAACAAAATTAGAACAGGTTAACACTAATCGGGTGAAGAATCGTTATCATTAATAACAAACTATTGGAAAAGTGTTCAGACATCTATAATCTGGTAGTCATATATGATCTGCGTATTTATAGTAAATACAACACAGACAGAACTAACAACACGGATCATGGCATTAGATGCTTCGGAAACGACACGACTGCCGTGGCAGCTCATAACTAATTGGCCTAAAAAGACAAAGTGCTTTACCATTAATGGTTTTCCGTAAAACGTGTGCTGAATTTTAATGTTTTAGAAGAACTAACCTGTACAGCCTTCTCCCGTAAATCCTGGTTGACATAAACAGACACATCTATCATTAATCAACTGGGGTGTTCCTCCATTACATCTAGTATTAGGACAAGGATTTAATGCTGCAGAACAAAATTCAACATATTCATTGTAATTGGTATTAAACTTTCAAAGAAGCCTCCCCAGGATCAAGTTAATAATATCACTGATTAATTGAAATTAAAGTGAGCTAATTCAGGGTGCGTTTGTATATTTTGGATTATTGCCTGGATTTATTAATTGGTTGCTTGAACTTCTCCAAGGATTCTTCGACCCGTCACCCACTGTGCTTTCACTCTTGGTGTCTATAATTGAATAATACTGTTGAATAATGTGACCCCAAATCAACAATATATTTATCTTGCAATAAATAAAATTTGGTGTTGACATATTTCTAACATATAAGCTTTAGAACGGTCATTCCTACACCATTGGACACCATTAGAATTATGTTTAGGAGTAGTGGTAGATAACCCGAGTTCCTAATAGATGAATTTTCCTTAAGGAAATGACCTTACCACTACAGCTGACCGGACATCACCAGTTATGATACTCACCACGTGAACATAGTTCGCCAGTAAAACCACTTGCACAGCTGCACAGACATGCACCATTGGATACATATGGTGTACCTCCATTAGCACAATTCTTAAAACATGCTGAAATCAATAAGTTTATAACATGACTCAATCCGATCATATATTAGAACCAGTACGGTTTCATGACTCAACCCAAACTTATATTAGCATCAGTGTGTTTTCATGACTCTACACGATCATATATTAACATCAGTCCGGTTTCATGACTCAACACGATCATATATTAGCATTAACACGTTTGCATGTTTACTAAATATTTTAATAACGAATGCCTCCCCATCAGTACTCTAGAAATTGTTGGTTATTGGTTCATAGTGAAGTGTCGCGACATAATCTAGTCGATAAAATGAAAAAGGTGTCAATTGCTTAATGATTATTGTGGTTTAAAAAGTCAATGCGAATTAACGAATACTTAAATACTTACTATCACATCGAGATCCACTAAAGCCAACATTACACTGACAAGCACATCCACTAGATGATCTTACTAGTCGTCCATTTTGACAAGAATTTTGTATATTTTGACAGGCGTCTGTAAATCATCAAAAGAAATATTAGCTTATCTTTTGTTGCATTGGAACCTTTAATATTGGTAAATTGATCAGTTATGTATATCCTTATCTTTATTAATTTTGATTAGGGAATAACAATTGACCAAATAATGTAACGATGGAATTTTTAAAAGAATAATCTGGTACATATTATTTAATGATGAGTCTGTTTGGGCTAGCCATCTATTTAGAATTGTGCCCAATCGGCCAGATTATACCAGTACGGATTTACTTACCAATTTCACAATATTGACCAGAGTAACCAGCAGGACATGTACATGAACAGTCATAGGTGGACGTCGATGCTCTATAACCGCCATTTCTACACGATTGGCATACTACAACTAGATTTTTTATAAAAAAAATACAAAAAGCGGTTAAAATGTATTTTTTTATAAACAAAACATGGAAAAATGAAAATATAAACTAGTGTATTATTTATTGTGATATTAAGGCCTATGGTCAACTTTGCCGACGTTCAGAACATCCTAAAACTGTATTTCCAAAATTGGTCTAAGGCGATTATTTTAAAACTAGTTTAAAATCGTCGGGGGTTTTAAAACAGGAACCGACAAGATCGCTTCTTTTGATTAAATAGCCCAAAGTATTGCAAAAAGTGACCGTCATGGAAAGCTTTGTCATACATGTAGATATGCACATTTTATAAATTATGTCCAATATCGAAATGATTCCATTAAAATATGATAAAATATGGATAGTTGAAATTTTGACAAAAACGATCTGGCTAATGTAGTACTATGGTCTTTGTCACCATATTGCGTCTTTAATTAATTATTAGATTCACACATCGTAGAGAAGTCATATCTCACGTACTTAAATTAAAATGATTCAGTGGATGACACATAAAAAGATTTATAAAACCAAAACAGAAATGATTTTAGGTAAACCCAGAATATCAGGTTTTTCACTTGTGTTGCAAAATTCCTATTGCATCATTTGGCTTAGTAACCAATCATCATAATGAATTACGTAATATTCGTCCAATTGAACAATTGACAGAGCTGTCTCAAGGACACTGTTTATGTTATACGAGTGATTGAGATAATATAGATTTTAGACATCATGAAGATTCCTTAGTAGAGACTAAATTAGGGAGGGACCGCCGAAGTTCAATAAACACCAGCTGGGATGGGTAAACCCCATTGATTTGAGGGAAAGCCATATGATGTTGCCGCCGGTAAACTCATCTGCGATTTAAAGGTATGAGAGAAAAACAAGTTAATTTTAAGTATTGTATTGTAAATCATGCATTGTAACCATATTATATGTCCAGTTTGATATAAAATGTAGAAGCGAACTGATGCCCTGTTATTCCTGGTAAGACAAACGTCTTAACTACTGAGATAGTAAGAGTGAAAATACACAACGTGAAAAGGAATCCAAAGAATAGAAATACAAATAATAGACAGTCACAGGGCTATTAAAATATGTAACAGAAGAGGGTATGAGTCACATGTTGGATGTGGGGAGCTTTTGGCTTATGGGCTTTCTACATCTAGCCAGCGACTCATAGTATGCATAGTGCTACACTAATAACCGACAAGAACGTTTTTTGTCAGTAGCAAAGGGTTTTTTAAAGTTATTTTTTGCCCCTGTCCATAGAGTCGATGTTTATCTTAGGGTTAATCCAGGTCGTTAATAATATTAACTTACTTGGTTACAACTCTGTTACTGAACTCATTCTAACCCAGTGTTAAGCTGAAATGGTTTCTAATATCAAAGCAATATAACTTGTGTGAACTTGCCACTGGCAATAAACATTTTACTTTTTCGTTAGTATGGATGAAATACAAAGTTAATTTTAAATAGCATACCTGGTGTGTCACAATAAGTACCGGTGTGTGTTGAAGGGCATCGACAATAACAAGATGTTCCAGACAGAGCAGGGGTTCCACCATTTTTACATTGCGTTGAGGTACAATCTGTAAATACATATTATTTAATAACATTCATTAACTTTATGGTTAACGTCCCGAGAGAGGAGGTCAATTTTTACAATTTACTAAACACCTGGTACCATTTTCCATTATTTCGCAAAATTCTTCTACTATAATAGACTATATATTTTAAACGAAAATATATTTTTTGTTACTTCACAAGAACTCATCCCTCAGTTAAAGGGACTATCCCGATTTGAACAGAGTCCCAAAAACAAAAGTCCAAGTTCGTATGAAATTTAAGCGCCAAAATAAAGCGGAATGGTGTATTTACCCTGCCTCAAAATTTCAGCTCAAAATATTGAGTTGTTTGGACGTAAACGTCAAAAATGCTTATCCGGACACGTAACCCTTTTAAGATTTCTGGTCAATTTTTTCGTTGGGTGACCTGATAATCTATCGCCGTTCCTTTAGAGGTCTATACAGTGAATGACCCATGTGCCGTACTGGATAACGAAAGGTAAATTCCACCTACACATTGTTTTTATAAAATAAAAGTCTGGTTTTATCCAGACATCGCATAATACAGCCTTGGACACCGGTCTCCATTTCCAGATGAAGACTGACGGGTGTAAGTTGTTTGAAAACATATCATAAATATTGAATTAGTTCTTCGGCCCTTAGGTACGGGATATTAAGGAGTTTTAACACAAAATTAAGCAGTTTTATTCTCCAAAATATTATCGGGATTGGCCTTTTAAACATATATTATGCAAGAACTAAATCTACCTATTGCTGCAGGTCTTTCTTAAAGAAAGCCTTAAATGTAATATACGTTCCATTGCCCTTTCTGCAAAAGGCGTATTGTTTATTTATACTGAATATAAACATACTAACATGCATTTTTATTTGCATTGACTTTTCAGAATATAGTAGGGGGGGGGGAGTGTGACAGGCGACCCTGCTCCTTGTCACGTATAACCGAGGAATCACGCCAGTTGACTCAATGGCAGACCTTATGATACAGCGCGCACGTGCTAACCATTCGGTCATTAAATCCCCCTTAAACGTAATATAAACTATTTATTAGACATTTATTAACATGACAAGACCATAATCAACTCTCGATGCCATCTGGTGGGAATATTTTAAACAGATTTGAATCCGATCTGCGATTCAACGGCTGTGCTGCATTGTTTTTGGAATTCGTTTTTCTCGGCTCAGAGTGAAGTAATTTGACTGAAATTTTCAGCATATTCTCTTCACATTATCTGTTTTTAAACTATTATGGCGATAACTGCCAACTCTTTATCTAATATTCCATAGTGCTGCTTTAAGAGAATTCTTACATTTATTCATTGATTCTGCACGACTGGGTAGACAGTTCCTGGGTAAAATACAGCTACGAGGGCTGGCTGAAAAGTTCTAAGGCTATCTGTGAAAGACCTTTATTTTACTACACAGTCCCATTCCAGGTGTACACACTCTTTGTCAACAATTTTGCAAAGCCCGGATACCGGCCAGGAAGAAATTTTCTTAAGTCACCCAAGAAAAGTCGTTCATAGCTGACATGCCGTCATCATTCCTAATAAAATGACGATAGCTAGTTCCCTTTTTCATTTTTGGAATCGGGTGGAAGTCTGAAGGGCCAAATCGGGCAAGTAAGATGTATGGTCAAAGATTTCGAAGCCACAATCATGGATCTCTGACATGAACAGGAGCATTGTCTTGGTGGAACAGGACGCCTTTAGTAAGCATTCCCCTTCGCTTAGCTTTGATAGCTTCACGCAACTGTCTCAGTAGGTCCGCATAATATACTCTTCAAAAAAAGTAGGGGATATTGAAATGCAAATACATATGCAGGTTGTGATATGATAAATAGTCATGGACACTTGACATGCTTTGAGAGTAATGTTCACAGATGAAGAACTTATCGCCCCAACAGAACAACTGAGCTGCACATGCGACACGCAATAGCGCCATACACGTGGGAGGGGTTCATTGTCAAATTTGACACTTAAAGGAAGGGTTGATGAAAACTGCCGCGTGCTGGTTTATCTATCCATGTTTGCTTTCCTATCGGTTCTTGCATAAGATTTACTGTTTAGCGTATCTTTGCTTTAGTGTGTTACGCTTAATTTGATCGGGAGACGTGTTCGTCGACGTCAACGTCAACCGACAACACTGCAAGAATTTGCCGTGGCACTGCAAGAGGATTGGGTCAGATTGCCCCAAATCGTGATTGGACGGTTGATTAGGAGCATGCCACGACGAATTGCTGAATGTCTGAGGATTGGTGGAGCAATTACTCATTAAGACAAAAATCAAAACGTCCATTTTCACTTTTGACGGTGTATCTCTTTGCGTGTGAAATGGGGCCGTCAGATAAGCCGCCCACATGAACTGTTTATGTTTATGTGTAGGCAATTGGCCTGTTGTTAACATACACTGGTTACCTCTAATAAAAACAGCAGTGCATTTCCGCAGTTTTGTATTGTTTCTGAATATCCCCTACTTTTTTTGAAGAGTATATCTTCCATTGATAGTCTGGCCCTTTTCAAAATAGCCAATCAGCAGAATACCCTTGGAATCCCAAAAGACTGAAGCATCACCTTTTCCAGCAGAAGGAACCGACTTTTTTTTTTTTTTTGTTTTTTGGGTTTTTTTGGCGCGGGAGGGAAGGGTGCTCTCTCTGTTATGCTTAAATTCCACAGCTCTCTTCTTTAGTGTGGAAAAGGAATGGACATCGCCTAAAGTGGAGACCATGCATGCATGTATCCTTTCATTTGCAGTTACTTGATGACAGCCCTATAGCCAGTTTTGTCCATTTATGGTGATTTCAATGGGTAGGTTCTCAAGATAGTCTGCTACGAAGACAATAATAACATGACAGTTGCAGTTCTTATGCTTAGAACTTTTCAGCCAGCCCTTGTATTGAACTAAACATTAAAATATACTAACCAATGCGTTCACAGCGACTTCCGGTATATCCCGATCGACATTGACAACCACACGCTCTAGTGTTGACGTTATAAAACGCCACACCCCTCTCTGAACTGGTACAAATGTTACTATCAGTACATATAGGTACTAAAAATTAATAGATATAACAATCACATTTAAAAATGCTTGTGAAAATTTCAAATGGTTATTACGAATCTTAAGGTATGTGATGTTGCCAAATGAAACATGAAAGCATTAATGGCACAAGATTTCTTATTAGAACAGACATTCGACACAAGAGTTTTAATTAAATCTAGAGATACCAATAATTATTTCAAACGAAACTCTTTGGCACTTAAATGGCTTAAATATTCTCGTCGGTGCGTTATTTTGATTTTGAGAATATATATTATAAGAAAAGCCATTTCATCATTTACGTAATGAAGATAATTTTCACCTACTGGGGTTCTTCCAATGATCACCTTTATACATACGTAGATTGCTTTAAAAATGCATACAATATAAACACTCGATAAAGCAATGTCATTTTTGCATTTAACGGTTCATCATATGTGTACATGCAGTTATATGTAAACTATAAATGGATAGTTACCATCACAGTTTTGTCCAGTATATCCGGCTCTACAGATGCATTGACAGCCTCCAGCAGTTGGCGAAACGTTTCCATTGCAACTATTTCGTAAATTTCTACACATATCTACAAAGGAGCATGGAAAAAAATCTTCATAAATAAATACATAAAAATCAAACATAATAACACAAAAAAAAAAAAAAAAAAAAAAAAAATAAAAAAAAAATAAAATAAAATAAAAAGTCTTACCCATTTCGCAGGCGGGGCCACTGAAACCAGGTAGACAAATACATCTGCAATCAAATGAACTGGTTGAAGATCTGTAACCACCGTTTTCACATTGAGGACAGATGTTTGCTGTGTCAAAAATATATAAAAATATATAAATAAAATCAGCAATAATTTTATACAACCTATCAAATCAATTTCATATTTTATGCATTTAAAAAGGGGGCATTTAGTCTCAAATATGCTACAAAATACATGTACACAGGAATAGTTTTACACAATAAACCTATCAAAATCTCAAATTTGCCACAAAATTAAAACAGTTTTAGCCACTACTCTTATAATACTCTCATAATACTAAATATATAAACAGGTTTCCTGTTGTAGAATGCATGTCAGTTTGGGAGAAGCTTAGTATGTAGATATTACTTATCGTGAATAACCCGTACCTCTAACGTCACAAGCAGTACCAGTCCAACCAGCATTGCATGTACATGTACACACATCACGTAACAGACCAGCATTTCCATTAGAACATGGATTATTACATCTTACAGTTGGCGCTAGAAATTAAAAATTATGATTTAATGGTCAAAACTATTTTACAGTATATTGATAACCCGACAAAATTAAAAAAACTGGATACATAAAAAGATGTTCTTTAGCCACCCATAGATACTAACAAAATGATCTCTTGTAAATATAAGCCATACTTATTATATATGTGGATGCATATAATATAATTCATTTTAAGGTAAACGATCCCTGATATCCAATCAATTTTTTAATCTAGAAATCTTGCTCATTTGAACAAACAGAATTGTATAAAACTAAAAAAAAAGAACTATTAGGATACGAAACAACCATTAAAAGGTAATAACTCACTACCACAGACGTTGTCTGTAAAATTTAATGAATAAAGATCCAGGAAGGATTCCACTTGGAAAATATTTTGAGTAACGCCTCCAGCTATCGAGACGAGGTCTGAATACTGTAAGTGAGTGCCCACTCCAATTACTATAACTCTGATACCGCTGTTAATCGCTGCTCTGGTAGCTAAAGCAGCTTGGTTTGGATCCAGTGGTGGACCATCAGTTATAAGGATAATAACTTTATTTGTTGTTCTTCCGTCACTTTGTAGAATTTGCACTGCTCTTTCGATACCTAGAAAGTTTAATTTTCGTGATGAGAAAAGAGGATAACAATTTTACAATTATATTCTTTTTGAGTGTGACCCCCAAAAACCAAATGTCATACAATCTCTTAATTTATGAAAAAGGCCTTTTGTTTGATATATTTTTCGGTTACAGTCAATATTTGTGAGTGACAGAGAAAACAGATCCATCATATATTTAAATGAATCGTCAATTTACATGTATGTATTTTGATTACACTAAACTGTGACTAAATTAGGTTAATGCTTGCAGGTAAGCTTCTCAGTGTATTTAAGAACACATGTTCATTTTCAGAGATCTGTTCCGAAAACGGCATTCTGTAACTTACCTTTAGAAGTAGCTGTTCCTGTAGCTGGGATCCGTAGGTCGTTGATGATTGTCTCGGACAGCATAGATTTATCTAAAGTTAAGGGAATAACAGAGTCGACATCAGTACCATATACAACAACACCCATCTGATTTCTAACATTATAAAATCTGTCAGCTAAATTAGCCAAATAATTCTTGATGACACTTTTCTGTTTACCGGCAGAGTCTGATCCATCCATAACGATCATAATATCTGAACAACTCAATCCAGCACTTAACTGGGGTAATGTGGACGCTGAAAGTAAAACAATGTTTAGATTATTATAATTGTTCATGTCTTTATGATGTGTGAAGTTTGTTATGTGCAGTATTCGTACAAACGTTTTAGAAAACTCCAACCAAATTCACAAATAGAAAAAAAAACTACCGAGATCACATGATCGCTAAATGGTTTTAAATAAAGCCCACTAATTGTCTTGGTGATGCTCATGAGTTACACAAAAAGGCAATAGGACAATAGGGGTCTTCAAATACTTACGTGGGCAGGCTACGGTATATTTCCAATCAATGGGTGTGCTGATATCTTGAATTCTGAATGATAATTTCTTCAACATATCTACCTGGGCCTTTTCAATAGCAATACTCACGACGTAAACTCCTTTGGACCAGGCATATGTAGCTTCAGCTTTAGATTTAGCCACATTATTTGGACAACCATCTGATATTAAAACAATAGCCTTTCCTTCGTTAGGTCTGTATGTACCGAGTACGGTGTGGGCTCTTCTTAAAGCTAGATAGAGATCGGTTTGACCTCTTGGTTGAATCAAACCATCTATTTCAAGATATAATTGGTTGAGTTCAAATGTATTGCGTGCTTTAAGTTCAATCTCCTGGGAGATGCCATTACTGAACATAATAACTCCTACATCAGCTTCCTTATACATATTAGTAACGTTTCGGATAGCGTTTTTCAGGTAATATTTAGCCTGACCGAAACCTAGTGGTGAGACACTGTCTGATCCATCAAGTATAAACATCACATTAACTGGACACAGTGTTACTGAAATTCAAAAATATATCTCAAATAGATGTTATCATTTTTGCGGGGATTGGGGAATATTAATTCATGTATCAAAGTGAGAGGGGATATTATTAGATTGATAAATTTTTTTTAGAAAAGATCCATATGGTAGAAAGTATATTTGCCATCAATATAATAGAATATCAGACAATTCAAATACTATGCTAAATAAAGTGGCTTACATACCAACAGGGAAGCCTTGATCTATTACAGCTATGCCATTGGTTGACATATCAATATGATCATGACCAAAACTGGTGTCTTCAAGAAGTCTTTGTTCTGCTGCTTGAGACGCTGGAGCTGTTTGAGCTCCAGAACCTAATCCCCAATCCATCCAACTGTTAATCCAGTCTGAGATTCCACCAGTGGAACCAACTGATCCAGCACAAGTGAACCCCAGCACCAAGGCCAGGGTCACCAACCTCAAGGACATTCTCATTCCGTTCCCGTGTCCTGAAAATGAAAAACAAATGAATATACTGTCGTCATAGATAACTTAAAATCAAAGAAACAAATGTATTGTTCAGAAAATCATTTTCAAGAAATTGATTTAAACCGTTTATAGAAAACTAATTTGATGTTATTGAAAATTGATTGATTTTTTTTTTGAAAAATGATTTCATTTTTTATTCTTTAGAAAATTGACGCCTATACGCTTCCGTACTGGACAATTGATTTCATATAACTTGTTCATATTCTAGAAATTTGATTTCACATTCTATTTTATATTCCAGAAAACTCATTTAAAAGCACCTAAGAAAATGTATTCAATCTATGGATACATTTTGTAATCATTTGGGTTATTTTTTAAATTTATTTATTTGTCATAGAAAATACATTGAAATTTCATTGATATCAATATCAAAATACATTGAAATTTCATTGATATCAATATCAATATGAATAAAGAAGGATTAGGAGAATAGCATTGCTGCACATCGGATATACGTTTCTGTAGATATATTCTTACAAGTCATGTCATATGAAATGTCTATATTACATTTGGGTAAGAAACGATTAACCATTGGAAGGGCTTTTATGTATGATCAGGAAAGATAATATTTAAGTAAATAAAGTTAAGGAATTATAACCACGGAGCATATGGCTATACGTTTCAAAAATGTGACTAGTAGGTTCACGCCTTCTGTTTCAATTCTTTTAATCAGTTCACCTTTTTTATACACAAATACGTGCCTGTCAAGTCTAAAATTCTATGAAATCACGTGACAAGCATCAACAATCTTATTGTCGTCGCTTCTTTTACAGATTAACGAGAATCAACACGTCGTCTGAATTTGTAAATAAAATACGGTGTTACTTTAAAGGACTACTCTCCACATTTACCTAGAGGGCGTACTGCGCGTGGCTCGTGCATGGTGCGAGTCAGGTCAGATTTCTTTTATCGTATCGTCGGGGCATCTAGTTGTCGTTTTGTGAGTCCGTGATGTACATAAAACCCACAGGTTTACCTTGCTTTGGATACAGTTTGAAAGTTAAATGGTGGTAAACGCCATTGGTGACGACAGTTTCAAAGAAAGCTCGATTTAGATTGTTCATTGATTAACAAAAGTTAAATCCATTTGATCGTGAATAAAACATTTAAGTTCCCCTGCCTTTTCTGCAAAAGGCGTATTGTTTATTTATACTGAATAAAAACATACTAACATGCATTTTTGTTTGCATTGACTTTTGAGAGAGAGAGAGAGAGAGAGAGAGGGTGAGAGAGAGGGGGGAGGGGTGTAAACCCTCTAATCTCCTTTGGCTCACTAACCTGGAGGTCCCATGTTCGATCCCTGCTATGGCAGAGAAAGTTCATCGGGACTTTCCGGCGTGCCCCCCACCCCCTTCGTTAGTGATGTTAGTGGCGTGCATGTAAAAGACCCTTGACAATTGTAATTCGATATAAGACTAGGCCGCAGCGCCGTTGTCCAGGCAGAATTTCCCTCATAGCACACACTGTATGACGTATGCCCGTCTTCATTAGCCCAGTCGGGGGAGAACAGTTGGACGTTAAACCCAATTTCAAGCACATTGATTCTATTAACTTAAAATGAAAAGCTTTACATCCTCTGAATCGGAATAGTACCAATCATTAATATAATTTTTTCAATAATATTTTAACAATCTAAAAGCAGTTAGGTTGAATGACATGATCAGCACCGTCTTCATTATCCCGGTTGGGGCAAAAAAATAACCCCGTTAAACCCCAATTCATTCATTCATTCCTGCCTCCCTTGGTATACAAAATGAAACTTAGATCAACCATTCAAGAAATGTTTACATTTTATTTCATATCGTACTCTATCATTTAGATCGCCCCGAAAAGACCACTTGCGAAATTTTTGACAATTAGAAATTAATGAGAAATTATGTGGACGCTTTAATAAATTTGAAAAGAACTTTTAGATTTACACCCAATGCTTGAAAACTCTTAATTTCATTTATTCGGATATTCAAATTTCTAGTTCAGGAATTTCTTTCATTTCAACTTTTGTCCTCAAAAAAGGCGTTATGTGATAGTAAATAGTATTCTTTTAAAGCCAAGAGAGCTCTTCATGTGTGAGAGACTCATTTCTTTCGGGAAATGTGGAAACACATAAACCGCTTCGTAACCAACCCCAACCGACCTTGAAGTGTAGCTTGTTTTGACCAGCTGCATTAATATGACATAATGATGCTTGAATGTTTCAAGGGATGAATGTTTCAAGGGAGGCTAGCGACATTGTTCAAACGCAAGATAAATACAATATGATAATATTTGAAGTATTTAATTATCACGATTCGGCACTTCAATATTGTATTGACAAGGAAGTTGTTTGTTACTTAAACTTAGCCATTTTGTTACGACTAAAGACGCCTTTCCTTTACCAGACCCCCCCGTTCTGCACCACTGACACGGGGAACCAGGCTAGAAAATTCTGAGAAACCCGGGACGCATTGGGGGAGTAAGCCAATACCACTCAATGAGTCACCATGACTCATTCATTTAAGGGCTAGAGTCAGGGTAACTCTGGATTTTCATAAACAGCCCCCCCCCCCCAAGTGTTTGGCGATTGAAGTGAATTAATCTGGGAACATTTCAATAAAATCGCTGATCCACTTACTTTTTGCACCTAGACAATGGAATTCTTGTTTGGGCGAATTTACCCACACAAAGCATTAAATATATAGATTTAAAGTTTATCAAGCCACTAATTAATTCATGAAAATGAGGTGTGTGCAAGAAGAGTATTAAAGAATAATACAAAATTCAACAAACGTAATCTTATCATAATCATAATCAGTATTTAAAAAATAAAAATTCTCCGTTCATAAAACGAACTCAAACATAAAATACGTGCAAACATTTGTCATTTCCTCTAATTATAATATGTAAACACGTTCTTTAACACAGTTTGGATTACATTTTATATAATTTATTCCAGGATAACAAAGGATATTTTTTTTTAAATTGGACAAAGAATAATTTTGACTATTCTCAGGATTAGGAATTCATCCGCAAAAGTCTAACCCAGATTTGTTTAGTCGTTGGGGTTTCCTCAATTAACATAATCCACATATAATTTATTCATACTGCACAAGAAGAACTACCTACTTCAAGAATATATATCTGCCCTGAATAGCCGACATATTCAAAAATTAGTATACAATTTTGTAATTCTGTTCGAATTCCTTTAATATCTATCATACACACAAAAACTAAATAAACATTTTCGATTTTATTGAATGGAAGCAGAATAATTACTTTTCAAAATCTCGAAATGTTTGCCGCATGCAATACTATCTGAAATTTACATTATGTGACGTATACTAAAGCACTATATTTAATTGGATCTGCTAATCAATTTCATGAAATCGATCTTAATTTACCAGACACAAATAGTTTTTGACTGTGTAAATTTTCTATATAAGGAAAAGTGGTATCGGATTCTCAAGAAAAAGTAAGCGTACGCAGCCTAGTGTGCGACATCCGGTATTTTTTTCAGACTGAGCAACCAGAAAGCTTGTTTAAATTATAAAATACAACCACAATGCTCTCTTACTGCTAGTATGCCAGTCTCAAGACGAACCGGTTTGTATCTACTGGAGTACTTCACATTAATTTGATATATTCCGGTGACACGCGAATGATTATAACATTGAATAAATTATACAGTTTGTAACAATTTGAATACAGATTAACTCAGCATTAAAATTTAAATGTTAAAATTGCAAATCATTCGGGAAGTAAAATATTTGTTAATGAAAAAAATTGAATCCAATGTAATGTTTGATTATCATGATTGTTTAAAAGAAAAAAAAATATTGAATAAACAAAGTGTTGTAATTATTTGACCCAATTAACATAGTTATGCCTAACGAGATAACAATGGTGGAAACGCCCACTAGAGTCAACTGGGTATATTCAAATAATCATTTCAATACAATTTTCTTAATAAAGGACAATAAGTCGATAATAATTGTTGAATTCTATCTATGCTTTAAAAATAAATTGTAGATCAAAGTGTCTTCACAAGGTATTCATTTAAATCTGGAAAATTCCTCCTAGTTTAAACGCAGTGTTGGTTTAAAACTGTGGGCGGACATTATTTGAAGCTTTCGTTAGTTCACTCTTTTTTTTTCTTTTTTTTTGTTTAGAATTTCATGAATTTTATACAGAATTACATATAGTGTGATACATATCGCATGCAATCAAAATCTAGTGCGTTTTTTTAGAACATCTTTATAGACTCGTTGCCCTGAGCACCTTGAATACGTACTAATCCAGCTGAACCAGTGCCAAACATATACGGAGACCCAGATATGCCTCAAATCTACTAAGTACCATGTTCCACGTAGTTCAAAATCCACCCCGAAGTATAAATATTGTGTTCTGTGCCCCCCCCCCCACCACCCACGGCAAATTTTAAGAAAAGCACGACCGCTTTATTCCATGAAGTATTGTTAAAAGAAAAAAAAAATTATATTACAAACTAATTGGATGTACATTATTGAGGTTTAAAAAAACAACCTAACATTTAAAAATGCAATGGTTTTTATAAGTAACCAGAGCACGAGTCTTTGTTTTCTATAGATAATTTAAGCAAATGCTATAATTCCAACTTAAACTCAGCCCCGTTCTTAATCTTCTATCCACGTTGTTACTCGCTTAACTGAAACATTTTTAAGTCACAAGTTCTTTACATGCTCGTACGGTATGTTTTACAAAGGATTCTAAAACATAATTATCTCACGTTTGAGTCATATTGTACGGAAGGAAATGGGTTATAGGGTACGTTCAAATCTCAGTTTTGACAAAGGACTTTTAATGCCTTTCAACATTAGAACAATATCGTAATGATCCGCTTAAACTGTGTGTTAGTTCTAATTCAAACAGATTAATTGATTGAAAGGTAATATTTGAGACATACCAGAATTAGATTACGCCTTATTAACAGACATTATCGTGAAAT